CTATATAAAAAGACAATAATGTTTAAACACTAAATTCAGAATAGCTAAATTCATATGTTAAATTCAGAACAGCCAGCAACGCCGACCATTTTATTGTCATGTTATCTGCTGGTAATGGTAAAGATTTAATACGTCATATGAAGAGTCCGGCTCGAACATTGAACATTTATTGAACAGGGGGCAAATGGGCAGGAGGGGCACCTAATGTTATGTAATATCTCCCATGGATCCAACATTGCCAGAATTGGTACGCTCTTTTCTTGAAGGACCCTAACTAAACTAACCAATTTTGACTGTATTACAAAACTTTGTAAGAAATCTTTAAGTTAAATTCACTCTCCATTGGCATAAGTCTTAAATAGCTTCTATTCATGGTTATTGTGCGTTAAACGTCAAATTCACTTGCTAAACGTCAAATTCACTTGCTTAACGTCAAATTCAGTTGATAAATGTGAAATTGGCTTGCTAAACGTCAAATGACTTGCTAAACGTCAAATTCACTTGCTTAACATCAAATTCAGTTGATAAATGTGAAATTGGCTTGCTAAACGTCAAATGACTTGCTAAACGTCAAATTCACTTGCTTAACGTCAAATTCACTTGATATATGTGAAATTGGCTTGCTAAAATTCACTTGCTAAACGTCAAATTCACTTTCTAAGATACTTTTGTCAACTAGAAGTAACGCATTGACGTTTGTAACTTGACGTAAAGTTCGTGCTTAGAATTTCACTTATCCTAAATACGCCTAGGGTGCGAATATTGCGAAAGAAACTACTGGATTGTTATTGTATTGGACGTAATATGATATATAATATTGCAAGTATTGGCAAGCAACATGATTGCTTTTTTTATATAAATTATCACCCTTTTTCTTCTATGCATCACCTATTCTATTAGCTCTTGGGAGCGATTCATATTCGCCTCAGAATTTAACTGCATCAAGATCTCATACTCTCTTTCGGCTGGCTATGTGTCTTGGCTTCCAAAATGAGAATCTTCCAGCGCTCCCTATCCCGTGCCATCTCGCCAAATGCTGGATTTCAGCTGCAGCAAGTCCCCCATTCTGTCGAACCAGCGGTACCAAGGCCGAACTACTGCCAGGAAAGCCGCCTTACCGCCCGATCATGGCCCATGAGCTGTCTGGACATTGTTCTCGCCTATGGGCTCCAACTCATCAAGAAACATTAAAAAAAACTTTGCATTGAGTTCGAGATTTTTTTAATGTGGCAATTTTGAATGACTTCGAATTTTAAGACGAACAAGCTACCAGCAGAATACATGACTTATTTTGTGTGTTTAGTATGGACACGTTTTTTTAGTTTTAAGTTTGGATCAAATTCGTGTATTATGGAATTTTTTGTTTGAATACTTACAGTTCTTTAAGATGTTTGTGTAAATGTAGGTGTAAGGTCCTTTTTGGACATATTAAAAAATGTTCTGCCATGGAAATTTGTGCCAGAATTTTTGAGGGAAACACGAGAAGTAGTTATTTTAGTGGCTATGAATGTACAAATAAGTTGTTATTAATCCATGAAAGCAATGTCTTAAAGAAAACCATGAAATTTCAACAAAACGTGTCCATACTGTTTTGATTTGAAGTTAATTGGACGAAACTTATTTGTAAACTATTAATTGAGCCGGCGTTAATTGGTTAGTTTATCAAGTATCGATCGTCCAACTGACTTGGTTTTGGAAAGAGCGAAATGAAGTTTTGATAGATTAGTAAACCAATTTCGAATCAATAAACCATATTCTAACTCTATTTTAGTATTTACTAACTGTTAATAGAGAATGCGAGTTTGATGTAATCTTGTTTCGGATTGGAAGGTCTCGAATATCTTCTATTCAGACGCAAAAATACATGGCCGAAATTAATTGAGAATTCTATTATTCTTGAAATTAGGTTCTGATTTAAAATAATTAGAATTTTAAAGTTAGTAATGCGGCAATTATTTGCTTTGGTCCAAAAACTTCATTTCACTCTGAGTATTTTTATGCACAGGTATTGAACTTAACTTGAATACATAACTTGATCGTTGCAATTGCGACGCATTTTGAACTACCAGTTACCATGGCCAAAACAAGACTGATTGCCAGAATTTTTGTGCACGAGGATTCGTACACGAAAATTTTGGTAATGATGAATTGCTATTGGACGTGGTGACTGAACTTTTATGAAATATCGAAAACTTCTTAACCTTATCTAGTCATTTGGTACTTGAACTCTGACAGAAATGACAAAGGAGTGCGTACTCGATTATATGCCTTTAGTAATAGGTATCACACGATGTTTTGTAACACGGTCCAAAAATCTGTTAGAATATTTTAATAGTTTCCCGTTGCTAAGTTACCGTATAAGTACAGCTGGTCTTTTTCTGTTTTAGCTGAAACAGAGGACCCTGTACGGAAAAACGCGGAAATAATTATGCGACAAACAACAGCTAACCCATTTCGCGTTAACGATAGGTGTGTACTATGCGTTTACTGCCAGGATTTATTTGAGGATCCTGACGAATTCCGCTCCCATATGAGCGTAGAACACCATGCGTTCAGCTCGAAAGTAGCTTTCTACAACCTACCCAAGTCCGAGTTCATTAAAGCCGATATCACAGACCTACAATGCCGTGTTTGCTCGGAGAAGTTTACTGATATTGAGACCGTAGCAAGGCATTTGAATGAGTCGCACAACGAGCGAATAGAATTCAACGCAAAACTCGGCGTGATGCCATACAAGTTGCTTAAAGGTGCACTAGCGTGTACAATATGTTTCAAACCGCTACCGTCCGTGTTCCACTTGAACCGCCACACGATAACCCACTTCCAAACCTATGTTTGTCACGTCTGCGGCAAAAGCTACGTAGCTACCACAGGTCTTCTACGCCACGTGCGTCTAAAGCATCAGCAGTACGAAATTACATGCAGAAATTGTGGGAAGGTCTTCCCCAATATGGAAGCGAAGGATAAGCATCATAGAACGGAGAAATCGTGTATGTTATACACGTGTACTAAATGCAAGGAGCGGTTTCAGGATCACAACGCCAGAGTTAAACACATGGAGACGAAGCACGGTCTCAATAAACGCACGTATAGATGTGACGATTGCAATATGACTTTCAATAGTGTGTCGGCGTATTATGCACATTTTAAAGTACATCATTCGAATGATTATATCGTCTGTAAACATTGCGGGCAGAAGTTTACGTCGAGATGGCGTTTGCAGCGGCATTTGAGTAAACATAACTTTTGAAAGATGAGATATTCTCTACTTCTGGTTCTAAATATGAGAAAAGACGAGGTTGGAACAGCGTTTGTCGATTTCACTTTCAATAGCGATGTTACATAAGTTTTTATACGTGATATCAGCCCTACGGATTTTGAGAGAATATCAAACTTTCATACAATAAACGAAGGGACCGGTGTTGCTATTAATATATCACGTCATGAACTTGACTCGGCAAAGTATTTACTTGTGGTATATTAGTCTTTTGTTTTCTTTATCTATTCTGAGGGTAGAATAGACAATCTGTGAAATTGATCTGTGAATTTAATTGTTTCAACAAATTTGCTGTATAATAAGTTAATACGAACGATACTATTTGGAAATCCTTGTATGATTTGATTTGACAATAAAAAAATTCAAGTCATTAAAATATATGAGACGTTTTATTATTTATGCTGTAAACACCTGCCGTGCGTTTAGAAACGCAAAAAAAAATTACGATCGCGTATAACATTATTATTTTTAACACGCCACTTGATCTTATAACGAAATGTATACTTTATACTACAATAGTAAACTTACAGGGCAGCCATTTCAAAATAATATAATCATGTTAGTTTTTGTCATAACTATTTTAATTAAATTTCACAGTTTTCTAGGAAAATCACATGTATCTATCAACTCCGTCACCTTACCGACTGATTTGAAATTTAAAACACATGGATTTTTTTTAATGTAGCCGTAATATTTAGTCAATGTAGTATCCAACTATGATGAAAAGTGGATTTTGTATTTTTTTCAATTCCGACATTGTTCTATGATCATGACGAAATTTCTGTTATTTGCAGTGACTTAAAATAATTCCTCAACTAAAATAAATTTGACTTTTCTGACTTACTGTTGCCGCGTATTTCAAGAAGTCTATTAAGTATGAGGGTGTGCAATTATTTAATCAATTACCGTCTAAAATTCGTAATATTAGCGCGTTTAACCAATTGAAAAGGGTATTAAAGATACATATTATTGTCACTGTATAATGATAACCTCGTATCTCAAAAAATAATTTAGTTTTATTCTTAGACTCAATACATTTAACTGGTCTAATCATGAAGTAAGGACTTATTTATGTTATTAATAAATAAGTCCTTTTTACCATCTAAAACTATGGACAAAAACACATTTTTCGTTTTTTTTTATATTTGGTTCTCTGGACATACGAGGTTATCACTCTACAGCGACGATATCAGAATGAGCCTAGTAGACTAAAATTAGGACGGCTGATGGCGACGTGTATCTCGTTCGTATACATTAAGTTTCTCCTGTTAAAAAAAAATTGTCATGAGAAATAAAGTTCTTTAAACATTTATCTCCGAAGAGATGCGTCATTGCGTTATATCTTGAGATACATATCTAATTTCAGACTACTTATTGGTAGTGTTCAGCCACAACTAATTGTCGCGGATTGCTTAGGGCGGCCATGTTTCCTTTTAAAGATAACTGATCATATAACACGATTTCAGAATACTAAAACATTTTAAATTAACAATACATTACCAAATTCGGTAGTTTCATGATTGTTTAATACCATGTAACCTAAATATAATGTCTAATCTAAATTCATTGGTTATGAAAATTTAGATCTAAACAAGAAAATGAAGAAGAAGACAGAGAACAGTTAAATGACCGTCGGCATTTCTTTTTGTTCTAGAAGTGTCCAATGAATATACCATCGCGAAGCGCAACGCAGAGTTATTGGTGAAATACACAACAACGTACCCCTTCAGACTCCCGGAGGAGGCTATGGTCTGTGTTTACTGCTGTGAGAGCATCCAAGACGGTCCAAGCTATAGAAAGCACATGGTTGAAGAGCACCCCACCTTCAAAGTACGAATGGCGTTCGCTCATGTCACAGAAGGATTTCTCAAAGCTGATATCACAGACCTAAGCTGTCGGATCTGCTTCACAGCATTCGATTCACTTGAAGATATTGCTCGGCACCTTCACGATATGCACCAGAAGCCAATAGATGTGAATCTTGACTTAGGCATTCAGCCCTTTAGGCTGGAAGGGGATAAACTCCAGTGCGCGATGTGCTCTGCGAAAGCAATATGTCTTAGACAGTTGAGCAGACACACTCAATCACATTTCTCTAAATTCACGTGTGAAGCGTGCGGGAAATCCTATTCAACTATCACCACCCTGAAACATCATATCACATACTCCCATAGCGGTGGTAATAAAATGTGTAGGAAATGCAAAACTACCTTTGATACGTTAGAAGCGAGAAGAGAACATGTTTACACGTCGAAAAAGTGTTGGACGAACATGTGCAATTTGTGTAACGAACGATTCCTCAATTGGAAGACCAAACAGGAGCATTTGACCCAAGTCCATGGTTTGACGAAAAAGACCTATGTGTGTCCGGAGTGTCCCCTCATTTTTGATGATAGGAAGAAATATAGAACTCACTTTCGATTGTCTCACACGGAGGATATATTCGTCTGCACGTGTTGTGGTCTCAAGTTTGATACGAAGAAGAACTTGGATGAACACAGAGTGATTCATACGAAAGAAAAGCTGTTCCCTTGTCCTGTGTGTTCTAAAGCGTTTCCGCGAAAGAAGAATTTAGTTCAACATCTCTGGATTCATAGTGAGTTGAAGAGGTTCAGTTGCACATTATGCAATAAGCATTTTAACCAGAGAGTCACGTGGAAGAGTCATATGAAGTCCTATCACCCTGAAATAGAAGATTATCAGGATATGATGAATAAGAATGTGAAAATTCTTCTGAGTGTTGATAAGAGTGATGTATGAAATGTATAAATAGATGATATCATTATAATCTCATTATTTTTGGTGCAAACTAGATTAACAAATTTACCGAAATCTTCCTTATCGACTGTTTTCTCGTTTAAAAGAATGTGTTTATTTACGTTGTAAGAAATTATTGTAATTATTTGTGAATAAATAACTTTGTTAAGAGTTTTGGTTTCTGTCAGCAACATCAAGATTTAAAATTAATCAAAACAAATCGAAAGTCCCCTTTTCCGACAAGTTGAATACAGTATACAATACTGGAGATATATTATTTCTTTTGCGAACTAGCGATCTGTGGAATCGACTCCCGGTTGGGGTCTTCCGTGAGATATACGACCTCCAACTATTCATAGTTAGAGTGTACTATTCCTTAAAGGCCGGCAACGCAGTCGCTAAAAGTGTCCATGGGCTGCGATGACTGCCCTTTATGGGCGTCCCGTGGTCGTTTGCCCTCCTAATATATATAAAAAAAAATCGATAAATCACTACTCTAACGATACCAAATACGATGGAGTAAAAGAAGAGAAAATAATGAAGCATTTCTGTCTGTTTTAGACCAATCATCCTTAAATTCTGCGAAGAAAAACGCAGAGATAATAGTCAAACACTCAACCGCCTATCCATTCCGATTGCCCGAGGACAAAGTCATGTGCATATTTTGCTGCGAAGAATTCGCAAAGCCCTCAGAGTTCCGCAATTCATATGGATGAAGAACATTCATTTAGTTCCGATATGAACATGGTCCGCACTTTCTCACACAAATACGAGGGGTACATAAAGGCAGACTGTTCCGTTTTACGCTGCCGCATATGTGAGGCTCCATTTGAGCGGATAATGGAGGTGGCGCAGCATTTGATCAAGGAGCACAATAGTAAAATGGATTCCTTAGACGTGGGGATACAACCCTTCAAGTTTGTTAACGATAGACTGCTCTGCGGGATGTGTGATAAAAATTTTCCTTGTTTGCGTCAGCTGAGTAAACACACGGCCAGCCATTTTCAAAACTACACGTGCGAGGAGTGTGGGAAATCCTATACGACCCAAAGTGTTTTGAAGCAGCATATTCGGTTCACGCATTCTGGTGGATGTCTATGTAGGCGGTGTAGGCAGACTTTTGCAACAGCGGAAGCGAGACGGCAGCATGTTGTAAAGAATGTCAACTGCTGGCCGTACGTTTGCATGTACTGTACGACTACCCGCTTCTTACGGTATTCTGAGAGAGAAGATCATTTGGTGAAAAAACATGGAAAGGGCGAACGGACGCATCGCTGTCCGGAATGCGGTGATACATTTTCCAGCCGCTCCAAGTATAGGGACCATTTTACTACTAACCACTCGGAGTTTTGTTTTGTTTGTTCGTATTGTGGTAAGAAGTTTAGTTGTCGACGTTATCTGGACGAACATTTAGTGTCGCATACTGGGGTTAAACAGTTCGAGTGCAGTGTTTGTCTGAAAACTTTCCCGCGGAAGGCGAATTTGTCCCAGCACATGTGGATACATAATGAAAATAAGCGATTTGAATGTAAACAGTGTAATAAGAAGTTCAATCAGAGGGTGAGCTACAGGTCTCATATGAAGACGCATCACCCTGACGTCAAAAACTAAGCACATACATTTTTGTAGTGTATTTTGATGGGCTATTTTTATGAAAATCTCAAAATATCGTCAAATATTAATTGTTTGAGGAAAATTGAACTTTTAAAGCAAAGTATAGAATCTTTTCTATTAATCGAAGTTTTCTGAATGAGACTATTCAGATAATAGAGGCAATAGATTAGGTGCATGTATCAAAGTACATTGGTTGTATAATTGACCAATTTTTTTTGTTTTTAGGTTCCAAATTGGAAATTCGGCGTAATGACACAAAGAAAATAATATTAGTGTACCAAACGCCACAGCGTCGTAACGCGGAATTGATATTAAAATATTCCACTGCCTCTCCGTTTAAAATGCGTTTCAGTCAAATACTCTGCGCTTATTGCCACGACGAATATGATACCTTAGCTATATTACGTGGTCATATGATAGCGGACCATTCTAATTCAGATTTAAAAAATGTATTCTATAGGGCGAAAGATAATTTAGTTAAAATTGACATTACGGGATTGAAGTGTAAGCTGTGCGATCTGGATATGGAAGATGTTGATATGCTTATGTCTCATCTCTCTAGAGAACATAATAAACCTGTTAGGTTTAACGCCCGCTTCGGTATTCTACCTTACAAAGAAATTAACGCCCAATGGCTATGTGTGTATTGTCAAAAGGTTTTTAAAGAATTCATTCATCTTAATCGACATATTCTATGTCACTTTATGAATTATAGTTGCGAAAAGTGCGGCACAACTTTTGTTTCTGATCACGCGTTGAAAGATCATCATAGGCAGGTTAAGTGTTTTAGGAGCGCGTATAAAGCCCGGAATGGGCGGGTACTCAAGCCTCGTACTAATGCTGAAATTATTCTTCAGTGTTCCACAGCGTGTCCGTTTCGAACTTGGAAGAGTAATTTCAATTGTGTCTTCTGTAGGGTACAAACAAATAATCCGAGCAGTCTTCGCGTTCACGTTGCGACACAACATGAGAACTACGATGTGCAGACAGCGTTTTATAAGAAACTTGGAAAGGAATTCCTAAAAGTTGATATAACTGATCTTCAGTGCAAGCTATGTTTTATGCCCATAAATAATTTTGAGACTTTAACCTATCATTTGAAGACTGATCACCAGCAGCCGATAAACTCTGACGCGCAAATAGGTTTGCTGCCGTTTCGATTGAATGACGGTTCCATTTGGAAATGCACAATATGTCCTAACGAGTTTAAAGATTTTGTATCCCTAAAGAAACACACGTCTGAGCACTTCCAAAACTACGTATGCGATACGTGTGGCGAGGGATTTATCACGGAGTCAGCGATGATAGCTCATACGAAAATACCTCATGAAAATAAGTATAATTGTAGCAGGTGCATTGCTACGTTCTCAAGCCTCCAAGAACGTAATGTTCACGTCAAAACACAACACACATCTACACCATACATGTGCGTGTATTGTAAGGACAAACCCCGTTTTGCAAATTGGGAGTTACGTAAAAAACATTTGATGGAGGTCCATAACTATAAAACTGGGGCGGATAAATACGAATGCGCGGCGTGTCAAAAGACATTTAAGACGCGGTCTGGAAAATATAATCATATGGCCAGGACGCATAGGATGAAAAAAGACTCGGAACTGAACTACCCGTGTCATAGTTGCCCGAAAGCTTTCACGACTCAATTGTTCTTGGATAAACACGTAGCAAAGAAGCATTTTGATATGTAACTTAAGGTATTCACAATAATAGTATGTCATCCACATATAATTTATTTCCACATAAGATCCATCATTACTCTAAATTTTATAATCAGCTACTTCGAACATTTAACTAATTTTAACAATTGCACAATCAAATGAAATTAAAACAATAAATAGCGTCAATGACACGTTTTTTTTTCTTCTAGGGTCCGGAAATTTTCCAAAATCCGAATCATTGGAATATGCCAAGGAATTGTTGCAATTCTCAACTGCATATCCCTTTAGATTGCAAGGGTCCTACTTGTGTTGTATCTATTGCGCCAAAGTGTTTAAACTACCGAGTGAATTGCGAGAACACATAGATGATTGTCATAAAACAATGGATGTTGTTAATACATTGTCGAACAAGTGTTCTGGGAAGGACATTTTCTATAAGGTCGACTGCACAGATTTGAAATGCCGACTGTGTGGAACCAGATTCAATAAAGTAGAGGATGTCGCTAGACATCTCAAATATGATCACGATCGAAGAATCGATCTAAACAGCGGAAACAGGATACAAGTTTACAAACTGACCGATGGTGAATATAACTGCGCTATTTGTAATAAAAATCTCCATAGCTTGATCAGTCTATGGAGGCACACGGCTGCGCACTACAACAAGTATACGTGTGACACATGTGGAAACAGATATTTGGCATTTGGATCGTTGAAATTTCACATTCGCTCCGTTCACTCGAAACCTAATTGCAGCAAATGTCACACTGAATTTGAGACCAACGAAATGCTGCTTGAACATAATAAAATCAGTAAAGCGTGCTGGCATTTCACTTGTGTGACTTGCGGAGAGAGGTTTAGATCGTTCAAAGAGAAACAATCGCACGCAGAGAAGGTGCATAAGAAGGAAAAGCTGGTGTACAGGTGCGCGAAGTGCGATATAATATACAACACTCACCGGCAATTTTATCAACACAGCATTGTGATGCATTCGAATGATTATTTCATGTGCTCGTTTTGTAGTATGAAGTTCGGCTCGAAACATACAATGAGACAGCATATGGCGACCCACACTGGGGAGAAGAAGTTTGAGTGTGACTTCTGTCACAAATCGTTTACGCGAAAGTCGAATTTGGTGCCGCACATATTGCTTCATAGTGGGGAGCACTATTCATGCTCGATTTGTTCTAAAAAATTCTCGCTGAAGAGAAGTTGGCAAAAGCACATGCGTGGACAGCACTCGAAGATCATACCGGGATCTAAAGAATTAACGAAATCGTGAATGGAAATATATGAAATTAATTTTAAGAAATAAAAAATTCCGACAGTCGTTTATTATTAGGGAAGATTTTTTGTTTAACAAAAATCCAATAAATGGCTTAAATTGTGTAAGCTTCCGTATGAGTTGCAAAAACTTGATGGATTGATTGTCAAATATACTTTGTGAGGCCTCGGAGACTTGAAAGTATTTTTTGTTTTATTCCGGTTTTAATTTAATTTAAAAATTCGTAGCTATTTACATATATCTAATTCAATATACAATATATATTTAAGCATTGTACATTTTGAAAGTAAAGAAATATAATATAAATCGTTATTTTACTAATATTTTATGAGTGAACGCTATTTAGATTGAAGAACTGGGTTTCTGCTTCGTAGTACAAGAGAATTCTGGAATAAAATAATTACATGGTTCTTTTCTTTTTTAGGGCTAAGAAGAGTTAAGGATATTGAGCGGAAAAACCCAAAGAGATTATTCGAAAGATCCGTTAACCAGAACCCACAACGCAGAAACGCAGTTCTCATTCTAAGACATTCCACCGCTATACCGTTTAAAACTAGATTTAATAGAATCATTTGTTCATATTGTCACGATGAATTGGATTCTATGGATAATTTAAGAACACACATATCTGATAATCATAGTAATGCAGATTATAATAGCGCGTTTTACAAAGTAGTAGATGATTTAAAAATCGATATAAGTAGATTTAAATGTAATGTTTGCTTGGATAGTTTTGATGATGTGGAAAGATTTATGAATCACATATCAAGTAATCACGGTAAAGTTGTGAATTTCGATGTCCCGTTCGGAGTGTTGCCATTCAAGCAAAACGATGCCGGCCTCTGGGTTTGCTTTGAATGTGATAAGTTATTTCGTGATTTTCCTCAAATTAATTGCCATATACGATCCCATTTAAAGATTTACACCTGCGAAAAATGTAGTGCTACCTTCCTATCTGAACATGGATTGCGGCAGCATGAAAGAAATTTAAAATGTTATACATCGTCGTATAAACCACGTTTTGGTAAAGCGATCAAACAGAGGAGTAACACAGAGATAATATTGAAGTGTTCGACAGCGTTGCCTTTCCGAATTTGGGGTCAAAATTTCAATTGCATGTTCTGCCGTGTTCAGGCTGGAAATCCTAACGGATTGAGGGCTCATATGTCATCAAGACACGCGAATTTCGAAATTGGTCTAGTATTCAATAGGAGATTAAACAACGAATTCCTTAAAGTAGATATCACTAATTTGCAATGTAAGCTTTGCTTCATGTCCATTGATAATCTGGACGAGTTGTTGGCTCACCTTAAAAACGATCACAAGCAACCTATTAACTTTGATGCTCAACCCGGCGTTCTACCGTTCAAGTTGAACGACGGTTCCAGTTGGCGTTGTGTGATTTGCAAGATGCAATTTACCGATTTCAACTCTTTGAAAAAACATACGTCTGAACACTACCAGAATTTCGTATGTGATACGTGCGGGGAGGGTTTCGTTACTGATGGCGCGCTGAGGGCTCACAAAAGGATACCTCACGACAATAAATACAATTGCAGCCGGTGCATTGCGACTTTTTCCACTTTGGAGGAAAGACGTGTTCATATGAAAAGCCAGCACACTAGCATGCCTTATATGTGCATGCACTGTAAGGATAAACCCAGATTCGCTACTTGGGAGTTGCGCAAGCGTCACTTCATGGAGATACACAACTTTAAACCTGGAGCTGATGCGTACGAATGCACCACGTGTCATATGACATTTAAGACTCGGTCGCAAAAATACCACCATAACGTCAAATCGCACAGGTCTAAGAAGGACACAGACTATGGTTTTCCATGTGGTCATTGTTCACGGGCGTTTATGTCAAAGCTTTCTTTGGATAAACACATCGCGAAGAAGCATTTTCATCTGTAGCCTATGCATTAATCCCGCGGTTATTAGTAATTATCCATAAGGATTAGTTTTGTTTATGGATGGTGTAATGGAAGAAGTTAGAAGCATTAGCTTATACAAATTTTCTATTTCTAGGGCAAGGGAAATTTGAAATTGAAGCAATAAAGATAGAAAAGGTTTGTAAGAAGCCAAAGTATCAGAAAAGCAAAAGCGCTGAAGCACGTCTTTCAATGAAAAAGAACGCAACCACTATATTAGAATGTTGGAGAATCACACCTTTTAGGTGGAAGAAGAATCATTTTAAGTGTGCGTTCTGCGAGAATATCTTCACGTGTTGTACCGAATTACGGGAGCACGTTAAAATATGTTCGACGCATCACAGCGTGAAAGATATATACAGCAAGTTTAAGGAAATGTCCCTGATTAATGTGGACGTCACAAACGCAGTGTGTAGGCTCTGTGCATGTCCCTTTTACAGCGTTCCCCAAATGAGACAACATGTTATTGAACACGGCCTCGATTTCGATAGTTCTCATCCGGATGGCGTCCTCCCGTTCAGTCTAGATAACAACCTATGGTGCTGCCTGATATGCCGAGAGAAATTCAACAATTTCCTTAAATTATATGAACATATGAATACGCATTATCAGCATTATATATGTGCAACTTGCGGTAAAGGATACATGACTGCGCCAAGGTTGAGAAAGCATTCAGAAGTTCACTTAAAGGGGTCGTACCCTTGTGACAAGTGCGGGCGTATGTTCACAATGCGTGCAGCTAGAGATTACCATAAGGCCAACGTGCACGCCAAAGGTCCTAGATACGAATGCCCGCATTGTGATATGAGGTTCTCTGGATACTATGATAGGATGAATCACCTAAACCAAGCCCATAGAGCCAAAGAAGTAGCATACGAATGCTCCCACTGTGAAAAAACATTTAAAACTAGTGGCCAGCGTTCGGTTCATGTTAGGAGAGAACATTTTCCACAGCAAAGGAACTATAATTGTGATTATTGCGAATGGCACTTTAAAACAAATTATGAGTTGAAACGGCATATGGTCAAGCATTCGGGTGAAAAGAAGTTCGCATGTGAAGTGTGTGGAAAGTGTTTTCCGCGTATCAGAGGTCTAAAGACACATCTAAAAGTTCATAATGAGCTGTGTTGTAGGTTATGTGGCGAGACGTTTGTTCGAAAACAAGCTTTGATAGCCCATATAAGTGGACATCATCCTGATTCCGAGCTGTTTGTATCTGATAAACCATAAGCGGTTATTAATTTACACTCAAAAAACACTTTATATTTGAAGTTTTAAAGACGTACCCAAAAATTGCAGATTCGAAAGATAATATAGTAGTCGTTTTCTTTTTTAGGTTCCTCTATTGCGGATACTCGGGATAAAGGTAGAAAGTTAAAAGAGCACGTCAGCGCTCGCCAAATGCTCAGGCGACGACGTGCGAATAACGAACTCCCGGAAGAGTCAGAGAGACGCATCGCTAAAACTATGATGCAAAGAAATGCGATAGCGCTCTTGGAATGTTCAACCGCTTGGGCATTTCGATGGTTCCGATGCGCGTACTATTGCTCCTACTGTGATATTAAATTCTTAGAACCAAATGATTTACGTGATCATATACGCTCCAACCATTTACACCAAAAACCCACCAAAAAACTATTTGCAAAGCTCACAGAGAATAATATGCTTAAAGTTGAAATTTCTGACTTAAAGTGCAGGCTCTGCGGTCTTAATTTTAATACTATTGACGGTTTCAAAGAGCACTTGGTTTTGGTGCATCAGAAAAAGTTGTACCCTAATTATAGCGATGGCGTACTGCCATTTAAGCTTAGCTCCAATGATTTTAAATGCCCCAAATGTCATATACGTTTTGCATCTTTCTCGAAAATGAATGAACATATGAACAGCCATTTTAGAAACTATATTTGTGATACGTGTGGCAAAGGATTTGTGTCGAAATCCCGGTTTAGAGCTCACGTTCAATCTCATGAAGTTGGTAGTTTTCCTTGTGGTGTATGTGATGAGGTCTTGGAGACGAGAACAGCTCGTATGTGTCACAGAGTAAAGGTCCATCTTAAAGGTGTTAAATACGCTTGCCCACGCTGTCCCGAAGTGTTTACTAAGTATAACGCGCGTCTCAAACATTTAGTAGAGAAACATGGCCAGCAGAAAATTTATTATCCCTGTGTTCATTGTGGAAAGTTATTCGAGACAAACTGCAATAGATCAGCTCACTATAGAATGTCTCATAAAGTTGGAAAGAAGTGTTCGGATTTGAATAATTCTTGGAATGATAAACGCGCGGATAGTTTGTGATCCATAAACAAACTTTTTTTAAGTCAGTCAAGTTGAATTTCTCAGAGTATATTTTGTAGCATAAATTCTGGAGAATTAAAAGAAAATATTTGCAGTTTTCAAACAAACGGTGGAATCTTACGGTGCTTTTTTTGTTTTTAGGACCAGACACTAAACCACCAACGAAATTATTATGGAAACAGAAAAGGAAATTTAACGATCAAAGAGACAACGCGGCTATTATTCTTGAGTGTTCTAACGCTTGCCCGTTTAGGTGGAGACGTGGATGTTATACCTGCGCGTTCTGTCCGAAAAATTTTGCAGATTTCGAGAGCATAAAGGAACATTCTATAGAACATCCAAACAAAGTGGATGCTCTTAAATTCGCGCGTACTTTTGACTACGTTAAAGTTGAAGTGACAAATTTACAATGTAACATATGCCGTGAAGCGATGCCGAATTTAGATAATTTAAAAGACCACCTCGTGGTGGTGCATGAGAAACCTGTCATCAAAGATTTAGATTTAGGCGTTACACCATTTTTACTGATGAATAAAGAGCTGTCTTGTACACATTGTGGCGAACGATTTCTCCAATTTACTAAATTAAACACACACATGAATCAACATTATCCAAACAATATTTGTTGTCACTGCGGCAAAGCGTTTTCTGCAGCCCATAGACTAAAAGCTCATCAAGTAATACACGAAACAGATAATAATAAATGTACTAGATGCGATAAGGTATTCGAAACTAGAGTGCAATTTAATAGACACGTTTATTTAACGCACACATCGGAGTTTAGGTATCGTTGCCCCTATTGTAATGAAGTGTTTAAAACGTACTCGGAACGTCTAAAGCATTTGAAAAACTCGCATGGTAAAAAAGTTGAATACCCTTGCAACTTTTGTCCAAGAATATTTTCTATGTACAATCAAAGGACTAGACACATACAGCAGGTTCATATTAAACATAGGCCGTTTCTCTGCGAACAGTGTCCGTACAAGTTTGGAACCGCAGCACAACTTAGGAACCATATGGTGAAGCATGAAGGCGAGAGAAAGTTTCAATGTGAAGTCTGTAAGAAAATGTATGCGAGGATGAAGACTCTGAAAGAACATATGCGGATTCACAATAATGATAAACGTTTCGTTTGTGAATTTTGTAACAGTGGATTCGTTCAGAAGTGTAGCCTGAAAAATCACCTTAGAATACACCATCCTAACGTTGACAATGTTCAAATTTAGGAGCCGCATTTTAGTAACTAACGGTTAGTTAAGATAATACCGAGGTTGAAGCTATATCACTTTTTCTATTTTTAGGAGGAAAAGCTGAGCTTAAAGAGGAAGAAATTACTGATTACACAGCAATAGCAAGTAATGACGACATTATAAACCGGAGAGTAGAAGGAAACGCGCGACGGGCAATGTTCAGAAAGAATATAAAAAATATTCTAACTTCATGCACTGCGTACCCGTTTAAGTACAGAAAAGGGGCTTATCTCTGTTTCTTTTGTAAAAGTAGCTTCCTGGAGCCACAGTTGTTAAGAGAACATTCTCAAAGGCATCACTCAGATATAGCTTTCAAACCACGTAAATACGACCCCCTAAAAATGGATTTCTCTGTCACAGTCTGCAGACTCTGCGGCGTTAATATAAAAGATTATTCAGAATTAAAAATTCATTTGAGAATTCACGGCAAAAGTATCGATTGTACGTACGGTGAGAGCATTTTGCCGTATAAATTGAGTAAGGATGAATATTGTTGTCAAGTCTGCGGTAAACGTTACGAAATGTTTCTTAGCCTACATAAACATATGAACGACCATTACGAGCATTATATTTGTGAAACATGCGGCAAAGGTTTTGCGACGATTCAGAGGATGTTGAATCACTCCCGTACACACGAAAAGGGTAGTTTCCCTTGCAAGCATTGTGGTGAACTTCTCCAATCATACGCTGGGCTATATGCCCATATAGCGAAAGTACATAAAGCGAATAAGCGATACAAATGTCCCATTTGCGACGAGAAGTTCTCCTCCTACAAGTATAGGATGAAACATTTAAACACGATACATAATGAGAAGACTGCCCTATTTCCGTGTCCATCATGCCCCAAAGTTTTCGACCTGTGTAGTCGAAGAACAGCACACATTCGCTCCCAACACTTGCAGGAGAGGAACCACGCCTGTACCACATGTGGAATGAAATTCTTTTCGAATTATGAACTGCAAGAGCACAGTATTAAACACGGTGGCGCTAGAATATATCAGTGTGATGTGTGCAAAAAGTCTTATGCGCGTTTAAAAACTTTAAGGGAACATATGAGAATTCATAATAATGATAGAAGATTTGTCTGCCCCATTTGTGGACAATCGTTTATACAAAAATGCAGTCTGAAGCAACACGTGAGAGTTCATCATCCAATGCAGATTAAAGATGGCTTCTAATGTACTGTAATCAAATAAATATGGTTTTTTCATTGAATATTTCTAAACTAGCTAATCAAGGAAAAGTGTAACTAATAAAATCTATAATTGAAAACTACTCGAAAGGATTGCATGATGAAAAGTCTGAACACATTTTATTCTTCTAGGTGAAAGTCACGTGGAAGCCAGCAATATGGATACGCGTATAAAGAATGATAGAAAACTGAAAGACCTAGACGCCATAAAAGCAAGGAAAAAGAACGCCACGGTACTTCTAGAACATACAAGGCTTTGCCCGTTTAGATGGATGAAGAATTTATACATATGTTTCTACTGTGACCAACAATTTATAGATCCAACTATATTGAGACACCACATCTTTGTCGATCATAACTTTGTGACTTCCACTGTAATTAAATATGCAATGTCAAAGTTAAAGAGACACGAACTAGTTAAGGTTGACATAACTGATATTTGCTGCAAACTATGCGATGAACTAACACCAGATTTAAATTATCTAAAGCGGCATTTAGCTGATGTTCATAATAAAACCATAGATTTGAATACCACGGATGAAGTTCTGCCATTTAAAGTGACGAAAGATAGTTTTAATTGCGCCTTGTGTGATGAGAAATTTGACGAGTTCAAAACGCTGAACCATCACATGAACGTTCACTTCCAAAACTTTATTTGTGAGCAATGCGGTACAGGTTTCATAACTCCAGAACGGCTTCGTACGCATGCGTTTTCTCACGAGAGCGGTTCCTTTCCATGTGAATTGTGTGATAAGATTTTTAAATCTATGAACGCTAAGAACGAACACATTGCCAATGTTCATAAACAAGTTAGAAGGCATAGATGTCCCCATTGTCCTGAGGCATTTAGGAATTATTTTCAAAGGAACAAGCATATCGCAACAGTTCACGGAATCAAGTTGAAAGAATTTAAGTGTAATCTGTGCTCTAAAGTTTTCACGTCGAGTGGGAAATTGGGAGTCCATGTTCGGACCGTTCATTTGAAAATGAAAAGACATGGGTGTAGTCTATGCGAGTGGAAGTTTTATTCCAAGTCGGAGTTGAAGGAGCACATGATCAGGCACGGTGGGGAGAGAAAGTTTAACTGTAATATATGCAAAAAGTCATACGCCAGAAAGTATACACTGCGCGAACATATGCGGATACATGAGAATGATCGGAGATTCGTTTGTAGTTATTGCGGTGGTTCGTTTGTGCAAAAGTGTAGCCTTAATCACCACGTTAAAGTTAATCATCCGACAGTTAAAATTAATGAGTTCCATCCTATGTCGACATAGAATCAAAAAGCAGTGATAAAGTGGACTTACAATAAGGGGAATGAAGTAAAAAAATCTTGTGTTTGAAAAGCTTCAGTCACTTCAAGGACCGGTTCATTGTTCCTGTTAATCGATTTCATCCATCTTCAGCAGCCTTTCTACTCTGGCTCCCTCGGGTTGTGCATGAAATTATCATACCTGTGGTGGCGGAAGATTTGATCGCTCCAGAGCGTTTTGAAGACAGTCTAGTTAACTCTCTTTCTATCTGGAATTAAAATATTCGCTTTTAGCAAATATTGTAAGGAACTCGGAATAACTTATTTTTAAAGGATATATATTAATTACTATGTTTCACTTAAAGAAGCGAACTTATACGTTATTAAACAGAAAAAAATATCATTGAACTCTGAACTAACGAATACTAGGCACTTAGTCATGAAAATGGAAAATATATGGAATTTATTTATTTTCTAGGAAAGGAAAGAAAAGCGCCCGCAAAGAGGATAACACCACTGTTTCAAGTGGCGTACGATAGGAGCCTATGTAAACCTTTGGGTACACTCTTCGACTTCAACAGAATTCGTGTAAAGAACGTAACGAGTGCACCTATTACTTCTCGGAGCCCTTCACCAGTTTCGATGGACAGAAGTCCACAACAGGAGAGTATAGTAAAAGTAACTCCTAAGCCGGTGTCCGTTAAAAAATCAGATAACAGACAAAATGCGTTACTAATATTCGAGTTCTCCACAGCTTATCCTTTCATTTATGGAAACAACAAGTACAAATGCTTCATCTGTGCGCAGCCGTTTTTAGACATAACAGTGCTGAGAGATCATATGGCGAACGCACACACGTTTGCATCCCTAAAACGATTGTTGAACAATAAAAAGGAATGCGTGTTAAAGGTGGAGATCAGCGCTTTAGCCTGCAAAATATGCTCGAGTCCTCTCAATGATTTGGTAGAAATCAAACACCATTTGAAATCAATACACCAGAAACCAATTGATTCCGAACTTAAAGATAACATGATACCTTTCAAGCTCGAATTACAGAGCTCGTTTGACTGCGTCATATGTAGCCAGAGCTTCATCAAGCTACGACCGTTGGTCATCCACATGAATGTCCATTTTAATAATTACAGTTGCGAAATTTGCGGAACGGGTTTCATGACTTTACGTCTTTTGAAAACGCATTTAGAGGTACACGAAAGCGGTAGCTATCCTTGTGATAGGTGCGATAAAGTTTTCAGTACCTCCCATAAACGGTCCATACATATACGGGGTGTGCACTTAAAGCAGTACCCGCGTAGGTGCCCGATGTGCCCTGAGAGATTCAATTCGAACTATCGAAGGACCATTCACTTGCAAGACGTGCATCAGCAGTCAACGCGTGTCCACAAATGCGAGACTTGCGGTCGGGCGTTTCATTTGAAATATCATTTGATATGTCATAATCGGTCGGTGCATTTGCAAGAGAGGAATCATCAGTGCAAGGTTTGCACGCAGAGGTTTTGTAATAAGGAGACCCTGAAGCGTCACATGGTCATACATACGGGTGAGAAGAATTATAAGTGTGACTTTTGTGGGTTGGCCTTTTTGCGGCGGAAAAATTTGAAAGATCATTTGAGGAGTCACGATGTTGTGTGAATGGTGCGATGCTGATTTGTCTTTGGGTCTTGACAATTTCTTATTTATATTGTTACTATTCGAAGAATCTCATGTTCTTGGCCTAATGGCTTCAGCGTGCGACTCTCAGAGTGTGCTCTCATGTGCGTATTTAACATTATAAAAAAATATTTAAAATTTAAAAAAATCCTATTATAATGTGGAATCCCTGAGATCAATCAACCCATGTGCGATGCGCGTCCATAGAACGAAACGGGGAATTCCTCTTCGCTTGTTTTCAGTCTATGCATTTGCGTGTGCGTCTATTACAGGGGACTTCCCCGTACTAGCCCAGAGCCCCAAAAATTCTCTATCCGCCCATGCTATTTACATTCAAAGTAGATTAATTCCGTTGGGCAAAAAAGTGGATTGGAGTCCGACCAAAATTGATCTTCGATTGAAGATTGGTGTACAATGTTGCTGGGCGTCTATTAGTTGCACGCTGAAATCTATAATGCTTGTTCTCTTGCCATACACAACTTCAGTGAGTTGCAGTGTCATTCACTGAGTGACAATTGACTCAAGGATGGCGTGTGTTTTAAATTAAGGATTTTAACCGATGTAAATTGTTGACAAAGCACTAGATTGCCGTCGTTGTGTAATTGGAAATGTATTTGATGAGGTATTATTATCTAATGAAATATCTGTAGCTCCACCGTGATTTTGAAAGGACTTTTTGGACATTTAAGTCCTGTATATACGTTTGTCTAAAATCAGCCAGAATTATTGAATGTTAATGTCGACACTAGCTTAATTAGCCTTTTAACTAATATAATATAACGAAAGATATTCAGCCGTAGCGCTTGTTACAACATTAATGTTTAGCTGTTCTTTGAACGGCTAATTAAGCTAGTTGGCTGCGACATGTACATAATTATCGCTGGTTGCCACCGACTGTTAGGGTTAGGATTAGGGTAGTAGGACTCCTTTTTCCGCAATTAGACTCCTAATTGGTCCGTTGTGCGTACGAACTTGCCATCGACTGAAAGATTTTACATTTATTTGTTTAACAAATTAATATGTCTACAATGCGCTATTGGACAAACACTGTATATAAAATATTATATTATAATCTATACAAATTATCTTTAAAAATTCAAATTCCAAATTTAAATACCCGCCAAATGCTTCTCTAAACAAGATGGCGCCGCGTCAGTTCCTAAGAAACGTGCCTGTAAACACGTGTATCTATTTCGATCAAAAACAGTCTCCAATTAAATCAAATTCCAAGAAGGATTACACAATATTATTAGGGGTTTTGATAAATTAATAAGCTTTTTTATTGTATAACGCTTAAAAGACATGTTTAATACGGATTACTCTCAATAACACTTTAATTATGATACTGTCAAATGGCCTAATACACAAATATCTGTTATCTAGAGTAGTTTGTCTCTTTCTCTCAAATTGTGTTTACGTGTGATCAAAAGAGTCGGGAGTACTTTAGTCTGTCTCTATTGAAGCTAAGACGAAGTACCAAGAGATTGTGAAATTGAGACAGCGATATATTGAAATGATTTAGAGTGAACAGGGCAACAATGTCTTTGTTTGACTTCAGTAACTGGAGCCAAATAAATTGTAATATTCCGTTGCTGACTGTGGTAAAATCTATATTTAATTGCAATTGTATATTTTGAAGCTTTGGAGTAAAAATCAAAAGATGTTCTAATATCCATAAACTAAATAAACCTTTAAGCCAGTTGTAGACCAAGAACTAAGCAAGATTAGTGTAGCTTCGCTCGTGTAGTTTCGTGGGTGCAGAAAGAAAGCTATATATACTTAACTATGTAAAGTAATATACAACGGACCCAAACCTACGCGAGCTAAGCTAGAACCGTTGCACGTTTGAGAGTATCGATTTATGTGATGAAATAAAAAAAAAAGTGCGTGCGTAAAAAGTACACATGTCAGAAGTGAAATTTATTTTCATCTAAAACTTTAGATTTCCGATACTGAGAGAATTTAATGAATTTAATTTTTATTGAAATATTAAGTGTCGAAAATTAATACAAATTATAAAATTATTATTTATTTCTTCGATAATAAAAGTAATTTACAATTCGTGATTTGAGTTTTCAATCAATTATTTTGCATAAAATATAAAATGCTAATATTTCATAAATTCTCTTTACGAAACTTTAATTTTAAAAATATAATTTCTATGAGGTAATTCGCCCTTATCACTCTCTCTCAATCGGTCTCAATCGCTCTCTCTTTTCTTCGACAAAAACGCTGCACATATTCGTGACGTTTCGTAAAAATTTTATCCTAAAGAAGTTTCACTTCAAACATATTGCAATCGTCAAACAATCTCCAATGTCGAATAAGAAGTTTGTGTGTGTCGAACTAAATTGCTCGCATTATACTGACTTCGCTTCTGCAAAGCTCTCGGTCTCAAACTGGCTTCATGGGGGAACAAAACTCGTATTATATTATGTCCAAACAATAAATGCATATAAAATGTATGTACACTTGCTTTAAACTATGTTTAATTATGTATACATAATATGTAGTTAATATTGTAAATATTAGTGGTAAAAATACAGCTTGAATAAATGATTTTACATATATATTTTTTATTACCCCTAAATTATCATTATTCATCAACAGATGGCGTTGTGAATACTGTTGCTAAGTGTAAAACGCGATAGCGGAACGTTGCCATTGAAAATAAAGCATTTATTATTAAATTATTTTTTTGTAATTAAAGGCCGCCATAGTTATCTTGTCTCTACGTTCTTCTGTATAAAAGGAGTCAGATGACCTTCAAACACATTACACAAGGTGACACTGGTGACTGGACCAGGCCTGTACTCTGTAGTGTATCTGACCATGCATGACCTACTCAAACTAACTTTAATTCATATAGGTAAACAAGTACACTTATGAGTTATGAACGTCAGAAAAGAAGTTAAATTAATTGTAAATTTACATTTACTACCAGTACGCAAGTCAAGAGCGTAGAGCGGGCAAGAAACTCCGCCACCCTACGCTAGCGTAGTCCTCGCTAGTGGTTTTTTTTTTAATTGAAATATGTAGGTTTGGTTAATTGACAATTGACATCACTTAGACGTTTACTTTTAAATAATAGAAAAAACACATGCTAAAATAAAATATATAGGGGGGGGGGGGGGGAGGGGGGGGGGAAAAAAAAAAAAAAAAAAAAAAAAAAAAAGGGGGGGGGGGGGGGGGGGGGGGGGGGGGGGGGGGGGGGGGGGGGGGGGGGGGGGGGGGGGGGGGGGGGGGGGGGGGGGGGGGGGGGGGGGGGGGGGGGGGGGGGGGGGGGGGGGGGGGGGGGGGGGGGGGGGGGGGGGGGGGGGGGGGGGGGGGGGGGGGGGGGGGGGGGGGGGGGGGGGGGGGGGGGGGGGGGGGGGGGGGGGGGGGGGGGGGGGGGGGGGGGGGGGGGGGGGGGGGGGGGGGGGGGGGGGGGGGGGGGGGGGGGGGGGGGGGGGGGGGGGGGGGGGGGGGGGGGGGGGGGGGGGGGGGGGGGGGGGGGGGGGGGGGGGGGGGGGGGGGGGGGGGGGGGGGGGGGGGGGGGGGGGGGGGGGGGGGGGGGGGGGGGGGGGGGGGGGGGGGGGGGGGGGGGGGGGGGGGGGGGGGGGGGGGGGGGGGGGGGGGGGGGGGGGGGGGGGGGGGGGGGGGGGGGGGGGGGGGGGGGGGGGGGGGGGGGGGGGGGGGGGGGGGGGGGGGGGGGGGGGGGGGGGGGGGGGGGGGGGGGGGGGGGGGGGGGGGGGGGGGGGGGGGGGGGGGGGGGGGGGGGGGGGGGGGGGGGGGGGGGGGGGGGGGGGGGGGGGGGGGGGGGGGGGGGGGGGGGGGGGGGGGGGGGGGGGGGGGGGGGGGGGGGGGGGGGGGGGGGGGGGGGGGGGGGGGGGGGCCGGCCGCCGGGGGGGGGGGGGGGCGCGGCGGGGGGGGCGGGGGCCCCGGGGGGCCGAGGGGCGCGGGGGGGGGGGGGGGGGGGGGGGGGGGGGAAAAGGGGGGGGGGGGGGGGGGGGGGGCCCCCCCCCCCCCCCCCCCACAAACAGGGGGGGGGGGGGGGGGGGGGGGGGGGGGGGGGGGGGGGGGGGGAAAAAAAAAGGGGGGGGGGGGGGGGGGGGGAAAAAAAAAAAAAAGGGGGGGGGGGGGGGGGGGGGGGGGGGGGGGGGGGGGGGGGGGGGGGGGGGGGGGGGGGGGGGGGGGGGGGGGGGGGGGGGGGGGGGGGGGGGGGGGGGGGGATTTTTTTTTTTTTTTTTTCCTAAAAAAAATAATAAGGAGGGGAAAAATCCCCCATAACAAACGGACAGGAACTTTTGTTTTATCATTTTTTCCATTTTTGACAGAACTTTGGGACCGACTACGTATTATTACACTAATAAAATCACATTTAAGTACAGTGTGTTGGGGGCCTCATAGCCCAGCGGTCTTATTAAGTGGCAGCTAGGTGAGGGGTACCGGGTTCGATTCCCGGTTCGAGGGCAAGTTTTAATTTTAATTTAAAATTTGTTCTCTTCAAATGCTTCTTCTCGGCCTTTGGGAGGGTTGTGCGATACCGGGCGATTGCTTAAACCGTTCATGGAGGACACGGTCGAATTTCTATTTCACGAATTATAAAAAATCCTATACTTGACGCTGGCTAATGCACAAATCGTGCCAGAGCCATTAAAAAAAAACACAATGTTAACTTAAATATAAAGAAGAAATAAAGAAAAAGATTATTTCAGACTAGTGTTACTAATTACATAAAAAACTATTATTTGAACGCTATGGCGAATAGTCTGTTATTTTCGCCTGAAATCTTTTGCTGCACCAGTAATTTTGTTTTCTTTACTTATTTTATTCATATCTTGCGATATAGAGGCATCTTCGTGATAAATCACGCTCAAGCAATCCCAATTTGTAATCTAAAGAATGGATTTCTTAGAAAGTTCGGTACATATGATGCCGATAGTAGATTTTTACGGGTTAGAACAATAAAGCGACAAAAGAACGTACAACGTAATTTCGGCAACGTAAAAGTACTTTTTATTAGAGATTTAATTGTCGTTAGTGAGTGAGTGTACCATTGTATGGAATTTAAGCTAAACCAACCAAAGCAGAGATTTCGACGCTTTAGGTGGTTTGACGGTAATCGTAAAAATTATATATTTTTAACTAATAAAATTACCTAAAAAAACAAATAAGTTTACACGAAATTAACCACTTTATATGTTTTAATTTATAAACAATGGATAACCACTATTTGAAAAATAATATTAACTCAATATCTTGTAAGGGCGACCACACCGACCGCGCCCTGCTTTTATAAATAAATAAATCGTTTATTTGCAAAGAAAATGTTACATTATATAATTAAAATCAGCCATGTTAAAATAGGCATGCAAATATCATATAACTTTCATGTTATAATAATAAGTCAATTTATTAAATGTTGTCTTATAATAAAACTGATGTTTATCTATGTTAAAAATACATTTATATGTGACGGAACACAAATTGATCACAATTTTATCCGTCCACCAAAACGTTCATTACAATAATTTCATACTTAAAAACGAAATTAGGTATTACACGTCGGAAATATCTGCGAACCTCGCTGGAATGCGCTTTCCCCGCACCCCGCCCCGTTTTCGCCTATCCAGTACCGTTGCCAACGCAATCGCCGACGCACGTGTATTATTCTTGCTTTCGTAATCGCATTTTAGTGTTTATTGTTTCTCTGTTTGGTGAAATATTACATAAACTACCTATTTAGTGCTGTATGTAAGATGGGTAGGACTATAATATATCAATAAAAATAAGTACACAAATAAAATATTTTTTATGTTTACATCTTCAATTTTTTTTGCTATCTCTCCAGTTTGTATGACGTCATTAAGCCAGGTTCGCAGATATTTCCGACGACTTGTACAAGAATTAATTACGAAGATTCATAAAACATGGACGCGTTATTTGCACCTTAATTAAGGTAGGTACACAAATTTTTATAGATGGCAACACTTAAAATGTGGTCTGTGAAATTAACATAGATAATAGTGCTTACTACCTTTTTACTATCAGAGCCGTGTTGGCCTAGTGGCTGCAGCGTGCGACTCTCATACCTGAGGTCGAACGTTCTATCCCCGGCTGTGCACCAATGGACTTTCTTTCTTTGTGCGCATGTAACATTTGCTCGAACCGTGAAGGAAAACATCGGATCACCTACTTGCCTATTTGATTTAAAAATCATCATGAAACAGATTAATAAATCTGAGGCCAAGACCTAAAGAGGTTGTAGCGCCACTGATTATTATTATCACTTTCTTTTCAGCACCAGAGGACTCCCCGACGCCACGCACAAGCATTTGGCAAATGACAGTTTATGAAAGGTTGAACGCGGCGTCATTCCTCGAAAACACAACCGCGAAACCGTTCTACTATTACCAGGCAAACTTCAAATGCTTCTTCTGCAGTGAGATCTTCACAGAAGTCACCTCCGTCCTTCAGCATACAGACTCTCATCCAATGACCGACAGGTCAAGTTTACTACGCAACTATCTACGAAAGGGAAAACGCGTTATAAAAGTAGATATATCCAATTTAAAATGCCGCATTTGTGACGAGAAATACTCAGATATTGACGAGATTCGAAAACATTTAGCTGGCGTTCATAATAGGGAATTTAACAGCGCCGGTAATGGCGTAATCGCTTATGACTTGCGGGTTAACAATGGGCTTCTATCCTGCCACAAATGCAATAAAACATTCAACTCCTTCTTTCTACTGAACAGGCATATGAATGTTCACTTCAGTGTAGTGTGCGAAACGTGCGGCCTAGGTTTCATGTCGCACCACAGACTAATAAGCCACAGAATCGTTCACCAAAACGGCGTCCACAGATGCGATAATTGTGAAGAAGTTTTCGCTACCAAATTGAAGTTGAGATATCATATGTTCAAAAAGCACGAAATGAACACGAAACGAAGGAAACCCCTCAAATGTCCGCATTGTTTGGAGAGGTTTGCAGAGCATTATCGGAAGATGACGCACTTGAAAGAGGTGCACGGCATAACATTCACATTCGACTGTCAGTCCTGCAAAGCGGTGTTTCCGACGCGGCGAGCGTTGACGGAACACACGACCAAGCAACACACACAAAAGATACAATGCAAAGTGTGTGGGAAGTGCTTTGGGACGCAGTCGTTATTGAAAATGCATTCAAGGGGGCATACTGGCGAGAGGAATTTCTCATGTGGCATCTGTCAGAAGTCATACATGCACGAACGGACGCTACGCCAGCATATGCGAGTCCATGGCCCGGTTTGGAAGTTCACGTGTAGCGAGTGTGGGCACGGATTTCATAATAGAAACGATTTTAATAAACACATGAAGCAGTGGCACCCGCAGACTGTTAAAAACTTTGGTGATTTGAGAAGTTGATCATTGAGTTCGGATCAAGATATTTGAGATCGGGATCAGTTTTAATTTAAATGTAACAGATAGAATGTGAAAATCTTGATATTATTCGTTCGTAAACTGGAAAAACAATAACTTCGCTGTCAGAATTGAAATTATTGTGTCAGATAGCTACAGATCTCCTTCGTATTGACGAGTTCGGATACCTAAACCTTTATAATTCATAACAAATAAAATGTGACTTGCAATTCGTTCGTAAAGTTGAAAAAGATATCAGCCAGTGAAAATAAATATATCGTCTCAAAGTTCGCAATGAAGTTATTTAGGGTGCGCAGGACACGCGTAAATGGTGCGCATTCAAATCTGACAGTAAATGCTATTAGTACAAGCCCAAGTAAAAACTTAAAACCTAAACCTCTATATTAATAATTGTAATAATCATTCTTGTGAATTCAGCCAGCAACTAAATAATAGCTGGGGGAGCCGCATTCTTTCAGCACGCCGTTTTAGTGTGTTTATTTACATTTAACTAAAGTATGTAGGTTCCATTTGTTAAATTATTGAAAAAAAATTATAATTTGAAAAAAAAATTGCACTTAAACCAAATGCTCCTACAGACACTGCACGTATTGAAATTATCATGTCAGATAGAAAAATGTCAAATATATTTTTCTACATTAATCTTATATAATTTGGAATTATCTTCTTTAAAATCTCAACTTTCAATGAACAAAAACGGGCAAATACATATATAGCCAAAGAAAAAAAAAAAAAAAAAAAAAAAAAAAAAAAAAAAAATCCCCCCCCCAAAAAAAAACACACAAAAAAAAAAAAAAAGGAGGGGGAGGAGAAGGGGCGCGGAAAAAAAAAAGCAAAGAAAACCCAACCCTTTTCCCCCAATCTAAAATACAGACCTAGATAAGAGTTTAGTTTTTATCCTTAGAGATGCGCTTGCCGCCATTTTGATTGTCATTTAATATTTTCGTCAATTGTCAAACAAGAATTTTGTCTTAAATTGTTGGTCATGTGATCTACATTTATATATTATACAAATATTTAAATGACACAATTTAAATGTTTCGTGCTTTTATTGTATTAATTGAATCTAGTCTTAACAAATGTGCCTGAAAATTTTTCTAGTTGATATAAGAAATAATTGTGTGTATAAAGTAAAACGTGAATTTAAAATTGCATTTGGAGAATCATTTTCATTTGAATCCTCCATTAAAATATCGTCTTTATTAAATTGTATTAATGAACATTTTACAATGCACTAACAACGCAATGTATTTCTTTCTGATGATATCACTGCGTCAGTACTCTTTCAATAGGTATACTGATTCCTGCAATTTTGATTTAGTTTCCATAAGGCTATCTCGCTCTTACCCGCTACTATTAACTCCCATGCTAATAATGCTATCTCGCTCTTACCCGCTACTTTTAATTTCTCCAGTGAATAAAGCTATCTCGCTCTTACCTACTTCTTCTAATGCCCGAGTGAAAAAGGCCCTCTATCTCACAACTATATTAATAATATTAATGACAATATAATGATTTATTTCACAAGTCCTCCTATTTATTTTTAGTTAGTGTTTCTAGTCTTTTTTTTTAATTATGTAATTTCTATATTCTAACTCAATTTAAGAATATAGCTTTAGGACTTAAATAGCTTTGGACTCTCCTAGTGATCGCGCGGAAAAATAATAACATTGAAGTCACTATCCCAAGGTTACAGAGTACCAAAGCTAACCATAGTTTTAAGCATACATCCCTTGAAGTATTAACAGATGTAGAGACATATTAATGTAATAATTATTTTGAATCACTGTAATGAAAAATGCATAGAAATTGCGTAGTTTATAAGGTACTGGATGGTTAAAGAAATGGATCTCATGCAAGCTTTAATAAATTTTAATGACACTTAAGTTTTCATTTATTCCCCTCAAAGGAACTTTTTGGTTTAAAATATCTTGAAATTTAACTTGTCAGTTCCTTTGAACAAATTAAAAATATATTAAATTGTCCTTTTCTAAGTGGCCAATAACATTGCACAAACAAGGACTTTTTTGTATATTAGACAATTCTTATAATGAAACTAGCCATTTCCAATAAACAAATTAAAAAGAAATTAAATTTTAAAAAACTACTACTACTTTGAAAAAGGTAAATTGTCGTTGTCTTAGTCGCCAGTAACATTGCACACATAAGAACTTTTTTGTTCATTAGACAACGTCTTAAAATACTGGACCAAATTCGAGTAGGTATGATCCACAAAATTCTCTCAATAAAGGCTCTAGGCGAACTATTTTAACGCGGATCAATAAATTTGGGGTTACATTTTTAATAGTACACGTTATGAAGCTCATTTGCGAAGAACAATCCTTAAACAAATTACATATTACCATCACATACTACAAGATTCTGTAGTGATTATCAAGGAAGGAAAATATATTAAAATTATTAAAAAATAAATAATACAAACTTCAACCAAAAAAAAAAAAAAAGATTACAAAGACAATACTATGACTCGGATATTTTTATTTCAGTGCCGGAATTCGAAGGACCAAAACCTAGTACAAGCGACGCTGACACACAATTAATAGAAAGATTAAACGCGGCAACAATCATAGAGAACACCACAGTCAAACCATTTATATACCTCCAAGCAAATTTCAAATGCTTCTACTGCAGTGAAGTTTTCCCAGAAGTGTCATCAGTGTTGCAACATTCAAACTACCACACGCTTCCGGACCGGCCATCTTTGTTAAAAAACGACTATCTCAAACAAGGAAAACGCGTTATTAGAGTTGATATATCGGATTTAAAATGCCGTTTATGCGACCATAAGCTCAACGAATTGGAAGATGTAAGACAGCATTTGGAAACCGAACACCACAAAGAGTTTAAAGCAGCTGGCGACGGGCTAATGGCGTACGATTTGACGGCGAATAACGGGTTAATCGCCTGCTACAAATGCAAGGAAACTTTCACGTCTTTCCACCTTTTAAACAGACACATGAACGCGCATTCCAGCTTTGTCTGCGAAACGTGTGGCGTCGGATTTGTATCGCAACGCAGATTAATCAACCACACAATTGTACATCAAAACGGCACCCACAAATGCAAGCAATGCGACGAAGTGTTCCCAACCAAACTGAAACTTCGGTATCACGTGATAACCAAGCATAATAAGACAGATAAACGGATCAGACGAAAGTGCCCACACTGTTTGGAACGCTTCACAGAACACTACAGGAAAATGACGCATTTGAGGGAAGCGCACGGGATAACGTTTTCCTTCGACTGCCGGTTTTGTAGCGAAGTTTTCCCCACGCGGAAAGCGTTGACGAAGCACACGACACAGCACCATACGCAGAAAATCCAGTGCACGATTTGCGGCAAATGTTTCGGCACCAACACGCTGCTGAAACGGCATATGCGCGGACATATTGGCGAGAGGAATTTCGTGTGTGACATCTGTCAGAAGGCGTATATGCACGAAAAGTCGCTTCGGCAGCATATGCACGTACATGGGCCGTTATTTTAGAGTGTAAACAAGTATTAATATCAATAAATGGATCTCACACTTGGGGGCAAAAGCACAGCGTACAAAGGTGTGTTAAGGTTAAGGTTAGTGGACTCAGTTTCCGCACTTAGACTCATAATTGGTCCGATGTGCGTAAAGTCCTGGCTAATTTAGCCACCCTAGCTCCTTCCAGAAGCACAGAAGTCTCCTAGGCACTTCCCAGGCTTAACGGAGCTACCTCACTGCTCCGAGGATTTTTGTACGTTGTTTAGCCACAGTCTCGTATTCCAGGACTACGTGGGTGACTGATTCCTCTGCTCTGAAACAGCCTCTGCACATGGGGCTGTTTGTCGCGTCTAGGACAAAAAGATGTTTATTAAGGAGACAATGGCCCGTAATTGTCGCTATCATTGTTTTGGGATTGCTTCAATTTAAGCTTAGAAGTCGCATTGTCAGTTGCTGGCTCACTGCTGGCAGAGCCATTTTGGACTGCTTGCAGTCCTCACTTCGCGTCCAACGCTGATGCTTGAGTTCAGCGAATTTCTGGCGAATCCAGGTTCGCACTAACGAGAAGGGCATGTGAAGGAGCGGATACGGGCACAAAATAAAAAAGAATAACTAATATGTCACAAAATATATAAACTTTAGTGGAAATGGGCACATGGCAAGAGAAATAGAAAACTGAAGCAAGAAAGTATTAAACTGGCGCCAAAGGTGCGTCAGTGTTTAGAGGTTCCTCTTTTGAAGAGCTAGTTTTCTCTTCTTCCTTCACCTATGTAAATATTCTTTATCAAATGTTTTATTAAAAGTATTTAAAATCAAAATGACTTTTAATCACCCGAGTGAGTTATGAGCGACAGTCTTTAATCATAGGATTGAGACTCCAAAATGCATTACATAACAATGTTTCGTTTAATTCATTGACTTACATATATTTAACTCTAATAATAATAAAAAAGTGCGTGCGTACAAAGTACACGTCGGAAGTGAAACTTATTTGGCAAAATATTTTTAAGTGTTGTTCATATTTATACAAATCTAAAACCTTAGATACCCGAGACTTAGAGGTAGGGAAAAAGGAAGATATGTTAGGAATTTAATGAATCAAATTGTCATTAAAATATTAAGTGTCGAAAGTTAATACAAATAATAAATTTATAAAATAAATTTAGTTTTATAAATTTATTTTTTTAATGTACAATTCGTCATTTGAGATTTCATTAAATTATTTCGCATAAAATACTTATATTTCATAAATTCTCTTTACGAAATTTTAATTTTAAAAATATAATTTCTATAAGGTAATTCGCCCTTTCCCACTCTCTCTCAATCGGTCTCAATCGCTCTCCCTTTTTTTTGACAACAACGCTGCACATCTTCGTGACGCTAATATTATTGCGTTTCATCCGTAAAAATTTTACCCTCATGCGCCTAAAGAATACTTCAATAATTAACTGACAAAACAATACACTTATTACTGAATAAAACAGAACATTTATTAGATATCGCCATACCCAAAATCTACTTACAAGAAACAATAGCTTATAAAATCACGAAATATACAGGATGGCCCTGAACAAAGTATCAATAGTCGAATTGGTTGGGAAATCCTTCAGTGGGCAGCTGGGTCCACATAGTGGTGGCGCACGGAAAAAACTCCCTTAAACGCTCAGTTGTGGTCTGTGGAACGGCGGAGGTCGAGGTAATACGGGTGGAATAAGAATTTATTATGGTGGTGGTGTTTGCTGTATAAAGCCCATAAATACGGTGTATATATTCAAAAGTTAAAAATCATTTATGAAAGAAATATACATTAAATGCTTCTAATTTTACATTTACTGCCAGTTCTCAAATCAAGAGCGTAGAACGGAAGAGATGAACTGGCAATAAACTCTCCGCCACTCTTTTTAATCGCCAAGTTTTTTGTTTTACACAATGTTTGTAAGGAGCTGCAACCATTACACCATGTTCCACATGACATCTTAAGTAATAAATAATAATGAAATAAATTAAAAACAAAGATTTTTCCTCTATTAGTATATACTATATATTCAATGAATAACTCTCATACTCTCATCAAGCTTAAACTTTCTCTTTTCAGCTGCTGCATCAAACGAAACAGAGATCCTTGAACGCCTAAACGCAGCCACCTTGATCGAACACACCACCATCAAACCGTTCCTCTACCAACCGCCCAACTTCAAATGCTTCTATTGCTTGCAAACAATCCCAGATATCCCATCACTACTCCAACACGACACCCATTCTATACCCCGCAGACATCACTTGATAAAAAACCACTTGAAGCGTAATTTAAAAGCGGATATATCCGATCTAAAATGCAGGATTTGCGGCGACGGATTCGCGGACCTGCCTGACATAAGGCTTCATTTAGATAAAGTCCATAAAAAGCTGTTTTATAACGCTAATAATGGCGTAATTACGTATGATCTAACTTTAAAAAATGGAATGCTAGAATGTCACAAATGTAAGAAGATATTTAATTCATTCTTTCTCCTCAATAAACACATGAATGAGCATTCCAATGTAGTCTGTGAAACATGTGGCCTCGGCTTCGTGTCAAAGCAAAGGTTAATATGTCATATGACAGTTCATCAAAATGGCGCCTATAAATGTGGTAATTGCGACGCGGTGTTGCCAACTAAATTCGCTTTACGTTACCATTGTCTATCGAGGCATGCGGTTGGGAAGAAGCGCTTCAAATGCGCTCTCTGCTTCGAGCGATTTTCCGAGCATTACAAGAAAATGACACATATGAAAGAAAAACATGGGATTTTATTCAATTTTACCTGTTCAATTTGTAAAGCGAATTTCCACACGCGCAAGGCTTTTTGGAAACACAAAAATAAGATGCATACCCAGGCAATTAAATGTGAGATCTGTGGGAAGTGTTTTGGGGAGAATTGGGAGTTGAATTTGCATTTGAAATCTCATACCGGGGAGAAGCCGTTCGTTTGTGATATCTGTCAGAAATCATACAAACAGAAGAAGTCCTTGTTAAAACACAAGACTGTGCACGAAACATCGTAGAATTATTCTTGTTATCAAATATTAAATGATTGAAATGAAGAATACCCAATATAAATTTAATAAAGATTCCCAACATTACATAATACGATATTAAAAAAAAAGAGTGGCGAAGATTGTATTGCCAGTTCTTGTCATCCGTTCTATGCCCTTGATTTAAGAACTGGCAGTTAATGTAAAATTAGAAGCATTTAATGTATATTTCTTTTTTTGACGTTCATTGTGTTACCTACATGAATAAATGATTTTTGACTTATAGACTTATTGCCTTTTTTTTATTGGAGAAGTTTTTAAAAACCATATTCATTAAGTAGACCAACAAATACGATATCGGCATATGTGATATCAGACCTACATATTATACTCAAATATTCTCCAATTGATTGAAAGCCGCCATTTTTATGTGTTGGTAGCTGCGGTAACGCAAGAGCTTTTTTGTCGAGGGCATAATAAGTGTTAGCATTTTTAAGCATGTGTATTAAGGCATTCGTGGCCGAGTGGTTAAAGGTGTCTGCCCACTATCCCGTAGCATACCATGACCGTGCTAGGAACGTATCCAGCACGGAAAGCAATCCGGTACGCTCTATTTCGCCCACTGAAGTGGGCCGACGGCGTTCTGAACCCGTTTACAACCCGTATGTAACCCGTATTTAATCTGTATGATGCCCGTATGTGACACGGCAGAAATCTTTTCAATACACTCGTAAGGCATCGGTTCTTTCTCGTACAAATATCAGTGTTGCGTAGACGCCTTAATGTGGTGAAATATTGAAATAGTTACTTATGGCTATAAGGAAACTAACGATTGAACAACTGGCAATGATTGCTATCATTTTGGATGAAGAGGAAGAGGAATGCCTAAAAAACACTCGACGCTACTGGATTCACAATTCTATAAAAAAACGCAAAACGGAAGGAGAACATTGGACATTATTCAGGCACTTAGTAGCACTCTCGTTGAACTAATGAACGAACTGGCAACAGAGCAACACTGCTACAACGCATTTAAAACGGGTTTGTAACGGTCGTACTCCCCGCTCAGTCACCGTTTAGCCGCCTGCGCGCAGCGGTCTGGCAACGTCGCGTGCCATGCACGTAGCGTGTCCGCACCGGCAAAATATTCCCTCCGACGAATAGTTGACGGCCCGTGCATGGCACGCTACGGTGTCGGCCGGTGACGGAACGGTCTAGTGGGCATAGTCTCATACTTCTCAATACAAAGAATAGTTTTTTGTCTGAAACGGTCCTAGTACGGTCATGGTATGCTACGGGATAGTGGGCAGACACCTTAAGGCGTCTGACTCGAAATCAGATGCCCTCTGGGAGCGTAGGTTCCAATCCTACAAGCTGTGAGAATTTTATTTATTTAATTTAGGAAATTTAATATAAAATGCCGATGTTTCTTCTTAATTACACCAAAATCTTCCTCTACATTAAATAAAAGTTTTCTATGACCATATATTCCAAGCCCTGCAAAAACCGCCTCTGTCTGCACTTTGCCACTCTCTGCCGTGTTCTGTTCCCTCAATCTGGTCTATCCACCTTCTTAATCTTTCTCTTTTTCGTTTATTGTCCCTTGGGCACCCAAAGCCTTTGCTGCTTCACATTTCTGTTCCTCTTACCAAGTGCCCAAGTGTCTCCATGTCAACGGCGAGCTTCCAAAAAAAACGTGCTTGTACTTATGTACGCCTTAAAAGTTATACTTCTTTGGCGTAACAAGATAAAACTCTTTTCAAAAAATTTATTCTACGTTTGTAGAAGGGTGTCGGTTTTTTGTGACGGTGTGAGCGCGCATCGTAAAAATTTACTCTCACCATTTTTCCCTAACGCGCCAAAAGAAGTATAACTTCAATAAACAGGGTAATGTAAAGTGCAAAAAGTATTTATATAATTTCATTTCATATAATTAACATTCGCCAGAAGGGAAAAAGATCACTGGAGTCTCACTCCTTCCCCGGTGAAGGCGGTTTTTTACCATAGTCGAAGAGTTTTATTTCAGGATTACTAGATAGTAAGTAGATAGTAAGGGGTTAGATAACCCCTTTAATAAATAACTGACATCTAACCTTAAATAACTGTTAAAATTTATAACTTCTTTTAAAGTTTATAATTTTACAATACCTAGTGTGTTGCCGGCCAGCCTTCCCGCAGTTAGTGTCCACAGGCTGTATTATTTAACTGGTGGAACTGACTGTTTGTCAAAAAACTTTGTTTCAACTTAAGAAAAGCAATGTCTTATTGTAGATTTTGGTTAAGAAATTTTCTAAACAATAACTATAATTGTTTGTTTTAAATGTTTTGAATTTTTATCTTTGTTTGAAAAACTTAACGTATTTGAACGAAAAAAATCATTCCATTCAAAAATGTGACATTTGTCAGAGTTTTCTATATGAAATCGAATGTTACTAGTCACAGATTAACTAACACTAGCGAGAAGATGTTTATATGTGATCTGTGTAATAACCCCTTTGCAAATAAAGAGTCTATGAACGTTACATGTTAACGAACGCATGCAGTTTTTCATTAAATAGATAAAAAAATAATATCGTATTTTATCTATGTTAAATGGGTTATATTTTTGAACAATTGCTATGGGTAGATTTTGAAATTAAATAAATATATCACTAAATAAATATATTACTAATTATTCTGGTAATTAAATTACCACACAATTTAAGACCAATTAAATTTTATTATTAACAATTACGAGTATGTAGTTAATAATGTAGTATATTTTATAGTTGTTATTATTATATTTTAAAATATTTTTTCACAGATATTCCAGAGAGAACAAAACCGATAGATCGGCGTGGTGTTGCCCCTTTATTGAGAAAAAACTCGCTTATGCTTCTCGCAAACTCAACTATGGTTATATTTCAATGGAATAAAAGCCGATATAGATGTTTTTGCTGTAAAGAGCCGTTCTTAAACATAAATCAACTGCGAACACACACTGACAAACACACTATTCAAGAAATCGAAAAAAATATAATATGTCAGCAAAATAAACTTATTAAAGTTGACATATCAGTTTTAAAATGCAAACAATGTAGTAAAATATTGGAAGATTTAAATGCATTATGTTGCCATTTAAAAGAAACCCATGGATTTGCGACGCTAAAAGACAATTTGCTTGTGCCTTTCAAAATCGAGAGCTCAGGATTACAATGTCAGATCTGTTCGCAAAGTTTTAATTTATTTAGATTATTAAATATACATGTAAATAAACACTATCAAAATCATGTTTGTCATGTCTGTGGCGCTGGTTTTACGAATCTAGTTTACTTAAATCTGCATAAAACGAGAAATCACCGCCCGTTACGATGTGCTCAATGTAAAATAGAGTTCAAAAGTCGCATTGACAAGCGGAAGCACGATGTTGCCATCCACAATCTTAAAATAGAACGAAAATCGAGATTCCCATGTCCATATTGTGATGAGCGATTTTTTCAGGAGAATTTAAGGGTTTTGCATTTAGTTGAAAAACACGAAATGGAGAAACCGGATCATATGTGTGATTTGTGTTCCAAGACTTTTTTAACTCGCAGCCTGTTCAATAACCACGTTCGATACGTACATTTGAAGGAGAAGAATCAGGAATGTGACATATGCCATAGTGTTTTCTATACGAAATCGGACGTTAAGAGGCACAAAGTGACTCACACAGGCGAGAAGAAATTTAAATGTGATCTGTGTAATAACCTTTTTGCGACTAAAGACTCTTTGAGGCGACATGTTAAAAGAACGCATGCAGTTTTTCATTAAATACATTTGGCTCCTTACTATCAAGCTATTTATTTACTTGTATGAAATACTACTTTTAAGGAATTTTAAAGTACTTCTAGGAACTATTAGACTCCCAATAGATTTTTTTGGACAGGGGTTTCATCTGATGTAAATGGATTCAGCCCGTAGATATTCACATCGGTAGGATCCCTTGCGCTTTGCTTGCCTTTTTTGGTATGCTCGTTTCTTGGAGGTCCGAATTCCTATTTGGTTTGAATATAATTAGTATAGTATAGTGTTCCTTAAAGATTGCTTTGAAATTTGAAAGATTATAAGAGAGTGCAAGAAAGATTATAGAAGAAGCCAATATTATATGATTCTATTAGTAAGGGAGAAGAAAGAGAACAGCGTCCTCAAATCCAACGATTTCTATTCGCACAGACTCCAACATAATTATGAGACTATTATAGTCACTCTGTCCACGCTGGTAACACTAAGAAAAAATAAATAAACACATCTTTTTGACACATAACTGTCACAAAATTTTACAATGGCTAAGGAAAATAAGAATTTATACGCAATTTGCGATCATATACAAAGAACTAAACCAGATATTCAGGTCACTGAAGGTATGTAGGTATAATATATTGAAACATTTTAAAAATACGAAATCAAGGTAGCTTTGTTTAATGTCTATCCAGACTGAACATTTAATAATAATAATATAGCCTTTTATTCAGTTCGACTTAGGAACACACATAAACATAGTAAATTATATTAACCTAGGTACCTATTAGAAGATTGAAAAAACTATTCTAATACTTGGATCTTGTTTACCATTTGGCAAAGGCCTCCTCCAACCTTCCCCATTGATGCCTTTCTTGGGCCACTCTGTTCCACATCACTCCTGCCACTTGTCTGATGTCGTCTTCCCATCTTTTATGTGGTCTTCCTCTGCTTCTTTTGCCTTCCTTAGGGTACCATCGTGTCACTCTTTTCACTTGTCACTTCAATGGAAAGCAGTATGTTTAACGTTAAAAAAACGTTGAAAAACCGGGTCATAAGACACAAGACAAAAGTCTTAGACATTACCTCCACAATAAGAAGAATTAAATGGCTATGGGCTGGGCACATGATAAGAGGAAAAGACAAATGGAGTAAAATCAAGACTGAACATTTACGGAGAATATATTTCTTGCGACCCCACTCGATCGTACAAGCACAGGACAGTTTTCAACTATGAAAATGTTCTATGGAAATTGTTCTTGGGAAATATCGAAATGCATTTTTACCCCCCATTCAGTAACCGATCCCAAGGCTAACTAGCCTCGTGGTAAGCTAGAGCAATAGGGTAGCAAATAATGGATAAAGGGTAATATAGACATCGCATTTTACGTTTGTAAAATAGAGTCGAAGCCAGAAATCACTTAGAACCTAATTAGTATGTGTCATACATTTACCAGATAATTTAGGCATTCGCTTGATGATCCCAACTCACTCTGCTGGCTCTGCTACCCAAAAAGTGTCTTAGCCTCCGAAACAAGAATCTTCTGGCGCTTGCTGTCCCGGCTTACAATTGCAGGCTTACAGCTGCAGCAGGTCCTCTTTCAATTTATAGTCCAGTACCGAGCCGGCCTTGTGATCGGAGACCAGTTTGTAGCACCGCCCGATCTTGGCCCATGCGATCAAGGTGTCCCAGTCAACCTAAACCATGGGCTTTGTGTTATAATATTGGGCTGCGCTACCAATTCTTCTATTCTGGCGTCTTTTCAGACATTTTCACCGGTAGCTTCTGCTCTTTATCCTTCTTCATGGTTAGCGTCCAAATCTTACTGTTATGCGACCAAACGAAAGATTAGTAGATTAGTAGTTAGAGGACCTATTGTATATACTATTATACTGTTAAGTATCCAAGCTATACTATTGTTGAATGTTTACTTTTAGAAATAGCCAAGGAGATAGGAAGTAATTTTCGCACACTACCTGCATTTGAGAAAGGCCTCTTTGATTACGTCTATCGAAGACATTATTCCATTGAAAGGAATGAATTGTTAAAGTGCCGTTGGCTACAGTACAAGAAACATATTGAAGATCGCGTCTTCGCGCCATTTCAGTTTCCCTGTATACGGTTAGATTTTTTTATGCTTGCAACATTAACGTTGGGTCCAGAAAAAAAAAGTGTAATACTGATACAGTGTAATCTCACTAATCCGGCACTATTAAAAACCGGAGGGTGCCGGATTATTGGAATGTTCGGATTATAGTGAAAAAGTCATTGGTTAGGTAGTCAAAGTGTCTTGTGTTAGCGTTTATTCGACATTATTAACTATAACCTATTCTCACTTGAAAAAAACAAATACGTAAGCACGTGCACGTGATAAGTTTTGAGGTCAGACTGCTAGTCAACGACGCAGCGACCGAAGCGCACAGGTATAGAGGGATGAGGGAGGCGTGGGCGGAGGGTGCCGGATTATTGGACGTGCCGATCCATCGAAGTGCCGGATTAGTGAGATTATACTGTATATTATTTTTTATTTGTTCGATATTGGAAATTTGAATATGTTAAAATAATTTTCCAGAGACTTACATTTTCAAAATGGCGCTATTCGATTTTTACCATCTGAATCAATTTACCGCTACCCTGAACATAAAATGAAATTGAAACCTGGCCCCGGAGTCGACTTCCGTGGACAAATGCCAATACCTCAAGAGCTTCTTATGAAACGGGGTACAACAAAGAAAGATGGCGTGGTTAAGAAAGATAGAAAGAAAAAGAATAAATAAATGTTTATTAAATATACAGTTAATTTTATATTATTAAAGGTGAAAAATAAAACATTTAGATAATATGGTTGTCATCAAATGACACCCGGTACCCCATGTCGCTAGCAATACCTGCCTTGCGATTCTGTAACTCACTTTGCGAACTCACACAGCGATTTTCGCAGCGGCGGTCGCGCTCAAATCAGTCGTGAAGCAGTCATTTTATGATTTGGCATTCTGATAAGGTCCCTCCTTGTAGTTTATTGTCTGAGCTCTAAAAACGGCAAAATAACATTTCCGTTTCGTTGTCAGCTGCAGTATTTTAAAGCAGCAGTTATCTGACGTCATTACAAAGTATAGCTTAAGATTACACACGTAAGTTTGGCTATGTAGCTTTACAATTTTTGAATAATAAATTGTAACCTAAATATGTAAGCTCTTTAAAATTCGGCTTTATTTTTTAGTCTTGCTGCCATTTTATGTAATATTTTAAGAGCGGCCAACCCGTCTATCTTTTCATACAAACGCTCGTACGTGGTTATGGCGTTGTAACAGATATTTTTTGAAACTTTTGAACTAATAGGCATCTTGTGCACTATATCTAGGTTTCTATTAAAACGCGAAATCAAAATTTTAAGAAACAAATTCAGTACAAACCTCCAAAAATCAGCCTTTTTGCACAAATTTTATATGAAGTTTGGGCGTTTATAATGTACTCATTAATTGTAACCGGAAAGAAATTTTTGCATAGAAACCTTGCAAATGTAATCGAGTTTCGTTCGAACTTTTTTTCATAATCTTGTAAGGCTTACGAAAAAACACATATTTCTTGGAACAAGTTTTATGAAATTTCCGCACACTATTTTTCTTTCAATGTTATCGCGTTCTCACTTGCTTGTTAGCCATTTTTATGAATGGCTCGCTATCTATCTATGCTATCTCACTTCGCTTTACCTCTTGTTCTGACATTGCGCTGGATGAAACAACAAGCTTTTTGGCCATGCTCGCTTTGCCGTTCGTCAGACGGGGAAGGGCGCTGTTAACGTTTTTGTATGGCAATTATTTTAACGTTTAAAACGTAATCTAATCTACTATAGGTAATGTTAAAATTAACTATAGAGCAATTTCATAAAAGTTGAAACAAAAGTTTAAACTATAAAAGATATTATATTCAAAAATATTACATTTACCGCCACTATGGTATGGTTCAAGGTACTATATCGTGAATAATCAGACGTCATGTCTTTGTGGTTACACTGTCAGTGGCAACTATCAATATTGAAGTCTGAAGTCTGAATATCTAAAAAAATGGCCTTGGTTGCAAGTTGCGGGTTGTTTTTTATTTATTTAGTTTTTCAATTTTCAAAGAATTACGGAATCTATATATCTGTTAATTTATATGCAAATGATGGCTTAGAAATTATCTAATACGGTTATCGGTTACAAAACGCATATCCATCATGGAAAGCGGTATAATGGTGGAGACATTACCATTATTTGGTAAATGTTGTTTATGTTTAAAACTCGATGTGGTTAAAAGCATGTTAACGCCAGATTTAAGAGAAAAGGAGAGTTATTCCGAAATGCTGCTTAAGTGTTTTTCTATAGATGTGAGTATATCTATGTTGTTATATTATAAACTTTTTACATACGTACGTATCCCGCGGCAAGAACTAAGTGATAATATTATTTCTTGTGAGGTTTATTTCTAATTATTTAAAAGCTGTATAAAGATTCATTCTCTATACAGATTATAGCTCATAGATACAATAAAATATATGTATCAAATCTAAAACAAAAATTACAAAAAAATAACTAGCAGAGAGATATGCTGAAGATGTCTTCCATTCAAATCATTGATGCATGTTATAAAAAAGATCTTTATTTTCCAATAGGAATTGTCTCTCCACCAAATTGGTATTTTACTGGAAGTGGAAAAATGACAGTTTTCTGTACTTTTCTGTAATTGAAATAAACCTTGTATATTTTAAATATATTAAGCATAACTAATTACTATTAATTATGTACATAATCTTTAAAACCTTTGTTATAGTCCTAAATAGCTTTTTTTGAATCAAAATACTATGATTAATATGTTTTAACTAGCCTCTATTTATTGTTCATAGAAGAATTTGATGGTTGTAATATAACTAGCTTAGTTATTATGTGTATTAAAAGCATACCCAGCAGGAACAACTTAAATTTATATATGTATAAGTATTTTTTAATGTATTTTGCATCATAAGTTCTGATTGTAGAAATGACATTTGTGTTCCAACCTAATAATAAAAAACTAAATTCTAGATAGGAAACATGTCCTTAAAGGAGTGTTCATTTGGTCTGAAGTTTATATTCTTGAGAAATTGTATTGAGTAGTATATTTTTATTATATATATATATATAGATATAAAATGCTTATCACTACAATAACATATATTATAATGTTGCATGTAAATTTGTCATTTTAAAATAGTTGTCTATAAAAGATAAAATAAACTAGCCATTAAAAAATGTAGCAGAGAGTTTTTTTGCAGTCTCAAATAACATTTATTGCCAGTACTGAAATGACCTTGTTAATATTATTTTGGATTTTTTTTTATTCTCATAACTGTACATTGTTAACTAAATTCACAATTTATGGTAATGGAACAAAATTAACATTTCTAAAGTTAAAAGTATTAACAAGTTTAAAGTATTCTTAACATTTTTAATTTCACATTAAAACATTAATAATTTAATAACAACATTATATGACACAGTTACACACTTAAATGTCCTTGGAGTGGTAGATTACTGTTCATGTATGGTTCCTGGGTCATCGAGGTGCTTTAAATAATAGAGGGCTTTATTTTTACTCTATATTAACCACTCCAAACAATAATAGAATATATTATGAGAAATAATGAAATAAACTACATTATCCCTAACTCCGAAGATTTAAAAAAACTAAGAAAACCTGAGTGAGCAAAATGTGCAGCCTTGGCTCGTACAGTTCTGTTCTCTTAAGAATCCATTAGCACAAATATTTAGCACATCCTTAGGAACTAGTGTTGCATGTTTAAACACTGGGCTACTTTTCCGATTTCAGATATCAATTCTTGATTTAGAAGACACAAAATGCCTAATCTGTAGACCATGTATAGACCAATTGGGAGCTTGTGTTAAATTTAAAGAACAGGTAGACACTGCCTTGAAGTCATTGGAGGCAGCAGCTAGGATTAAAAGTATGTATATAACATGGAAAGATCAACTTATTTTATATTTTAATATAATTTCAATAAAACCGCTCTTACTATGTCCGTTTTGATCTTGTTGTGGGAATATGTTGTAGAAATAAACAAAATTTTTGTGACTGGATATGCATGGCTGGATATTTATTTTAGCCTATGTTACTCAGGGAAAATGTAGTAAAGGAATTCCAGTTTTGAGTTTATTTAATATAATAAAATCTTTTCTTAGTATCAAATTAGATTAGATTTATTAATGTCAACAAATTGAAAGAATTCATGCCGAGTTAACAAGTTGAAGTGTGGTCAAATTAAAAGATGGGAGGACGATCTACCAAAAGGATGGAGAAGGTCTGCCAAGGAGACGTAGAAACAATTGAGGGTGGCCTTTGTCGACAGACAACCTGACCAAAGTGGTTGCTAATAAATTATTATTTTCGCTATGTAGTTTAGATACTACTGTTAAATATGAGTAGCATGTAAATTTAAAGATCAGTGAATAAAGGGCTTTTATTATAACAAGTTGAAGCTCGGTTTCCGGGAAAGTATTTTTAAAAAGATATTTTATACATATTCGGACAGTCATTATGTTTTATAATTTTAATATTATACTCATATATTATGATTTTTATTTTAGAAGCAGATGATGACTTAAAAGTTAAAGAAGAAATATCAAATGATGATGCCAGCGGTAAGTCACTAAATGCACTAGATTTGTACTTACACTACACAATCGGACAACAATTTTAAATTGTAAACATCACTACATGTGCAATATATCTGATAATACTAATTTCCAATGTAGATAAAAATATCTCATACTTTAACCAACATAAAAATATAGATTGGTTATTTATAGTTAATTTTTAATAATTTTATATAGTTTCCGCTGTGGCATTATTGTCCAAATGCTAATCGGTCCAGTTGGACAAAACTTTATATTTTAAAAATGATTTATTTATCTACCTATTATCAATTATTTTAAATTAAAATAATTAGAACTAAAATGTATTAATAAACCTGTGAACATTTGAAAGTGTAAAAATTTTAATGAGATATATTTCAGTTAGTTAACCCTTTCTATATGATATATTTTTTGCAAATCTGAAGCATTTTACACCTCGTCCAGTCCATAGACGAAGGAGCTTAACCAGACAGAAAAATTTGCTAATTATTTTTAATGTATAAGTTGACAAAATAATATCTCTTTCAGATGATGATATCCTGTTATGTCATTTCAAGCAGGAGTCAAACGATAGCTACTACAATGATGAATGTATGTTTTTTTTATTACTAGAAATTTTTGATTAATTATTGTCGAATTGAATAAATATATAATCAGTTTTTAAATAATATGAAAACAAGAATCAAGAGATTAGGTTTGATTCCCTGTGTAAAATCTTTATTTTGGAGCTAAGCCACATATAATATATATACCTAAATTCAAAAGATGATGCACTGGATATTTACTTAGACTACACAATTATTGGACAATATTTTTAAATTGTAAACATCACTATTATGAGCAGTGTTGGCCTAGTGGCTTCAGCGTGCGACTCTCATACCTGAGGTCGCAGGTTCGATCCCCGGCTGTGCACCAATGGACTTTCTATGTGCGCATTTAACATTCGCTCGAACGGTGAAGGAAAACACCGTGAGGAAACCGACATGTCTTAGACCCCAAAAAGTCAACAGCGTGTGTCAAGCACTGGTGACTGGAGGCTGATCAGTGATCACCTACTTGCATATTAGATTTAAAAGTGATCATTGAGCTGTTTCCGAAATCTGAGGCCAAGACCTAAAGAAGTTGTTTATCGTAGGCTCTAGGCTGTAGCTCTTTTTTTTTTTAAATACCATGATTCTAATTTTTTATTTATAATATATGTATATTATATATATATGTTAATTATATGACACCATCTAAGCTACGAATAGCTAAGACGATGTAACCAAAAATTCTCAAAAACTACTGAACCGATTTGCCATATAAATTTATCCCTGAATCCTTTATACCTTTTGCGAATTATTGTGATACCGCGTTTTAGAAACATTGAGCGCCATCTAACGGTGAAGCGTCAAAACTATTTCGTTGCTATATTATTTAACTTGCTGACACTAAATTCAATTTTTTTTGGGGGGCCTCATAGCCTAGCGGTCTTATTAAGTGGCAGCTAGGTGAGGGGTACCGGGTTCGATTCCCGGTTCGAGGGCAAGTTTTAATTTAATTTAAATTTGTTCTCGGCCTTTGGGAGGGTTGTGCGGTACCGGGCGAGTGCTTAAACCGTACATGGAGATGGAGGACACGGTCGAATTTCTAAAGACAAAGCACGAATTATAAAAAAAATTATACTTGACGCTGGCTAATGCACAAATCATGCCAGAGACATTAAAAAAAAAGAAGTTTTTTAAATCATTGACTATGATTGTACAAAGTGTGTATCAATGATATAAAGTATATATGTATTGCAAATTATGTTAATATGTTTCGAGTGCTTTTCAGCCATTTTTAAAGGACTTTGTGAAATTCTTACATTTTTAAATTAATGACAAAAATAAGTCTAAAATGTAATAAAAACCATCTATTTTGTTTTTTTTTTTTTAAGAATTAGGTGTTACGACGTAAACTATCAGCTGTTAATGAATTTCATAAAATTAAAATCGTCATTATGTACGTACAATTCAGCTGTTATATAATTTAATATCTATTATCAATCAGTGACGCTACAACATTTTTAGGTCTGGGCCTCAGATTTCTGTATCTGTATCATGAATTGTCAAATAGGTGATCAGCCTCCTGTGACACACGCCGTCGTGTTGGGTCTAAGGCAAGCCGGTTTCCTCACGATGTTTTCCTTCTCCGTTCAAGCGAATTTTAAATGCGCACATAGAAAGAAAGTCCATTGGTGCATAGCCGGGGATCGAACCTACGACCTAGGGACGAGAGTCGCACGCTGGAGCCACTGCTCATTATAATTACATAATTGATAATTTTAATAGATTTTTTGGGTAAATTTTCTCTTTTTGATAATTTTTTTTCACAATGAAGAAAATTTTGAAATAAAAATTATAATTTTGATCGATTCATGTCTTAGATGGTGTCATGATTAAATAATATAAGTAGCAATATTTAAATTAATGTTTTAATAATAATTTATTTACAAGAATATGGTACGAAAATGTTATGGTGGCACAATTTTAAGTTCGCATATTCTGCCACATATAATGGCGGGCAAATTTGTCTTAAAAATGAATTTTAATTATAAGTCATATTAATTAGTCAATTATTCTTATATTATTTGTAGTGATACAATATCACATTATTAAAATGTATTATTATGTTATCAAACACATATTATTTCTGATAATTATTATAAACCTCGATTGCCATACAAAAGGTTACGGGGCGAGGGGGTCTTTGATTTTCTTATTTGGTGATTACGTCAACAGTAATTATTTACTTTATATTAAAAAAAAATAAGATTTTTTATTTGTATGTTATAATTTCAGTATTGGAAAATGGCATTCACAAAGACTCGGAAGACGAAAGGCGGAAAACGAGAAAAATATCGAAAAAGAAGAAAATCACATATTCGTCCGTTTGTAAGAAAGTTGTGGACCTCGATGAGACCATATACCTTCTGAATGCTGGACTTTTCCCATTCAAGATGAGCAAAGACGACTTCTCGTGCACCATATGCCCCGAAAAGACCACCACCCTGGAAGACTTGAAGACGCATATATCCCAACACAGCACATCGAACATCGCGACGGCCTTCAAGAAAATGTCGCAGTCGACATCCCAGAAATTCTCAAAAGAGAAAAATTGCCTCAAATGCAAGACGTGCGCGGTCGAAATCAGAAGCTTCGATGATATGAAGCACCATATAGACGCCTGCATCCGGCTCGGATGTAGGTGGAACCAGCTGCCCTTCAAGCTGGAGAAAGACCAGCTCGACTGCCCCATCTGCAAGAAGACCTTCCTGAACTTCGTGACCTTGAACACGCATATGAACGAACATTACCCGAACCACACGTGCGATAATTGTGGCAAGGCGTTTGCGTCCAGGTCACGGCTAAGAGGGCATCTAAGGACCCACGAAGTTGGCAACTTTCCCTGCCGTTTCTGTGATATGGTCTTCGATAAGGTGACGAAACGTGAGAACCATGTCTCCAAAGAGCATAAAAGCGGGATCCGATATGTTTGTAAGCGGTGTAATATATCCCTGACCTCGTTCTATGCCCGCCAGAAGCATCTGGCTGAAGTACATAACGAGGAGCTGAAGAGGTACAAGTGTAAGGCCTGTACCCAGAGTTATATTACTCCTGGACATCTTTCAAGCCATGTCCGGAGAGACCATTTGAACGAAAGAAATCATAAGTGCCCGAAATGCGATCTGGCGTTCTACACGCGGAACTCCCTGAAGATGCACATGATAAAGCATGATGGGGAGAGGATCCACGTGTGCAGTATATGCAGTAAGTCATATCAGAGGATGAAGACGCTGAGGGAACATATGCGGATTCATAATAATGATAAGAGGTTCATTTGTCCCGTGTGTGGGAGGGCCTTTACGCAGAAGTGTACGTTGAAGGGACATTTGAAGGTGCATCAGCGTACGAGTGACATTGTGTGATGGACGGAGACGGGCTAATTTTAAGTTGTGTAGTTTGTAGGGAACGAAAAGCAATATGTGTGCAATTTTTCTATTCCGCGATAGAGGGCGTCATTTTAAAATATGTTTAAATGTTTTCAGTTTTAAAGAATGTTATCTACTCCCTGATAGATGTCGCTATATCAAAAGTCACAGTGTGTATGTCGCAGCCAATTAGCTTAATAAGACGTTCAATAAACTGCCTAGTTTTGTTTTGTATTTAAAATGTAACTTATTAGTGTTCTTACACTTTACACTTAGTGTCACTACACTCTTCCATACGATTTTTAATTAAACTTTGGAAAACATTATCAAATAATTACGAAATTACATCCGTATCACCTCGACGTCCGTCGTTCCAGAACTATGCGTTTCTTAAGGCAGTTTTTGCACCACTATGTGGAACCAGCTTCCCACTGAAGTATTTCCGAACCAATTCGACTTAGGGTCCTTCAAGAAAAGAGCGTACCAATTCTTAAATGGTCGGCAATGCACACGCGAGCCCTCTGGCATTGAGTGCTCATCGGCGGCAGTATCACTTAACATCAGATGAGCCTCCTGCCCGTTTGCCCCTGCTCTATAAAAAAAATCATCAAATTTGTTTGCCGACGCTTTTTGACTGTTTGGAGTTGGTGGCAAAAAGTGGAACTAAATTGAAATGAACAGTATAGGCAATTAATGTAACGTCATCGATTCAAGTAATTTGCCTAGCTGTTTGATAAAATGGCTTAATATCTTTGAGGCCGCTAGTTAAACGGCGCTGTTTAGTTAAGAGGCTAGACTGTTAATGGAACGGCTAATTAAGCTAGTTGGCTGCGACATATATAGCAAGATTGTTTTATGACATTCACTTACAAATTGTACGAATATTTATTACTGTGAAATTAGACGCTCTATTTTTTTTTAATGGCTCTGGCACGATTTGTGCATTAGCCTGCGTCAAGTATAAGATTTTTTATAATTCGTGCTTGTCTTTAGAAATTCGACCGTGTCCTCCATGTACGGTTTAAGCACTCGCCCGGTACCGCACAACCCTCCCAAAGGCCGAGAACAAATTTAAATTAAATTAAACTTGCCCTCGAACCGGGAATCGAACCCGGTACCCCTCACCTAGCTGCCACTTAATAAGACCGCTAGGCTATGAGGCCCCTAGACGCTCTATTGTTTAAATCAAAATTTAATATTTTTGTAAATAGTTTGGCCGCTCCTCGACAGATGGCGCTAATACAAAGCAATGTTAACGCATTGGAATGTGCAATAAATTTATGTTTACATTCAAATTAAATGTACTTTATATTTCTGGTCCTTTTATTTTAAACATATTCTTCCTGAAGCTTAATATGAATGGTGGCATATGTCAACACTGTGGTAAGTTCGACGCTAGTAAGGAACACATGGTAAAAAAAAGGGTGCGTGTACTTATGTACGCGCGTAAGAAGTTATACATCTTTGGCATTATTAAATAGTTTTTGATTGCATGAAAAAAATTAATTACAATTAAATAATCAAAGACTGGAAAAGGAGTCATTGACTATAATGACATGATAAAGTTCATTTTACATTTGACAAATTAAATAAATAAATATTTATTATTATTCTCTTACATTAACGCCTTTAGTACACCTACGCGTTCGTATGCGGCTGCGAGTCTTTGCGAAATAATTGCGGTAGCGAAATATCTGCGGAACGTTAGTACACTGCAGTTTTTTCGCAAGGAAATTTTCCTCCGTGCCACCTCTTTTTATTATGCATTTTTGTAATTAACATGCCCAACAAAATATAATTCGGGATAATTTCGAATCAAATTTAATAATAATTCAATATTTTTGGCTTCCATTGTGCGAAATTCTGTCCTCACTGACAGAACGCGTGGTGACGCATTGCGATGCGAAACTCCGCTAGCGAAACGGCTGCGTCTGTGTAACAGCCATTTCGCAGTTACTTGCGAAACAATACCGACAAGGACGCAAGTATTTCATCTAGCTATATAATAGAGCGAGACAAAACACATGCGAAACATTGCCATACAACTTACAGTTTTTTCGTCGTTTCGCTGCCGCATGCGATTGCGTAGGTGTACTAAAGGCGTAAGTGTAACATAAATTCTATTATTATTCGAATGTTGTTTTTAAATTATGTCCGGTGTTAGGAATCTAAACTTATCAGCATCTCAACTGGATTGTTTTAAGAAAGCTCATTGTAGGGCCCAGAATGCAGAATTTTAAGGACCTATCTGGTCGCCAAACTCCAAAAAAGTACATCGTTTCTTTCCATTTTTCGTCATCGCTTCTATAAGTAGGGCGAATGGAAATAATATATGGTGGAGTTGAGTATATGTATCCATTTTGAAAGAACGATACACGATTTAAATAAATTCGTTCGATAGAAAAAAATCCAAACATTGCCAATTTTTGACACTTTAAATTCATTTTATGCCGAAAATGTATATAGAACATGATTTTTAAATTGACACGATATACTTTATCGCAAGCCAAGTACTCCATTTCAGAAAAAAAAATGAATAAATTACATTAATTTAATATTTAACATAACTAATTGTTATTACGGGCCGGTGCGCCTCAGTGCTCCAGCTTTCCACTGCGCCCCGCAGTCCACCTCCACCCCGAGACACTGACACGGCAAGTCGCGCTGGGATAGGGCCTTAAGAGGACATGACAACCTTAGAAACAATGCGTAGAATAGCTTCAATAACATAATTACGTTCAAAAACGTCTACTATGTGCGTTGTAGCATGGTGCGGGTGAAAGTTGCTTAATTTTTATTTCAATTTTATTTGTAGACTAGAACATTCTGACTGGGTTAAATTTAAGTTACTACAGTTGATGATTTAATATATTACGAATGTGGTACAGCTGAAATACTAAGTAATAATTTCTAAATCGCGGCAACTTTCAAGAGTAAAACGAAAAATTCAGCAACTGTCACGCGCTTTATGTTACTGCGCTCATACTATAGTATAGTTTTAAATACCAAAATGAGAATATATTATATACACACTAGCGCCACCTGTTTCGTATACTAACCAAATTATGTACGTTGATTCATTCTAAGACATATTATTTAGAAGAAAAAAATCCAGTGGCGAAGTATGGTGGCGGTTTTACTATGGAGATGTTTTAATAAAACTCTTTGTTTTAATCTGGATAACAACTGACATTAATGAATCTGTGTTTTGTGTTGCACACTCCCTCGAGAGGGGTGAGCTTTGGCCCGTTCGGGGCATATGCCCCCCTTCGGGTGGTGTTTATGTTCGCGCCCTGCTTATACAGGGCGGTACGGGGGCGGTCAGTATAGCCTTTGGAGAGGGCTGCAGCGCGCGGGGAGACGCGGTCTCTACTCGCTGCGCGCAGCCGATGGGGTCGAATCCGGGGTGTCAATCCAGTGGTGAGGGGCCAAGGAGTAATCTCAACTTGACCCTGGTGTCGTAATCGGTGGTATCGGGCAGTTACGCGGCTCGCGGTCAAGCTCCGCCGGGTGAGTCCCCTGGTGGCCCCGGGGGAGGCCCAGCGAGGCGACCAGCGGTCGTAGCCGCGATTGCTGCCCTGGTGTCGTGACCGGTGTTGTTGGCATCCGCGCAGAATAGCTCACGCGGATACCTGAAGCGATCTGGTGGCCTGGAGTGCCACGGCGCGATGTCCTGGAGATGGGGATGTTGAGAGGCGTCCGCTCGATCAAATATCCCCTTTGACACTAATAAAAAGCTTATAACTAACACAAAATTAGGAGTAGTGGGGTTGCGACGCTAACAAAAACAAACTTGGCTTAAATAAATTTGTTTTTAAAGTTATACTTGTTTAGGCGCGTTATGAAAAATTGATGAGAGTGAAATTTTACGATGCGCGCGCACCGTTACACAAAATTAACAGAATAAAGTTGCCCACGGAAGATGCTACGGCAACGGACATAATTTAAAAACAACATTCGAATAATAATAGAATTTATGTGTAACTTAAAGTAAGAGAATAATAATAAATATTTATTTATTTAATTTTTCAAATGTAAACTGAACTTTATTGACTATAATGACTCCTTTTCCAGTCTTTGATTATTTAATTGTAATTAATTATTGACATGCAATCAAAAACTATTTTTAATAATGCCAAAGAAGTATAACTTCTTACGCGCGTACATACTAAGCTGTACACGCACCCTTTTTCTCTCTTTTTCCTCCGTATAACGAAAACTCCCTATAAAGAAAGGAAAGGCTCGCGGTCCCTTGACATACGTTATAAAGAGTTTACATTGTATTTTATTATACGTTTTTGAGACACGGCTTTGTAATATCAAAGACATTGAAAAACAAATGGGTTTCAAATTTTAACCTTGAAAATGTATTAAACTAAAATAAACAGCTTTTTAAATAAATGCGAACAGATTAAGAAAACATGGTGCTTAATGAATATATATAAGTTGATAAAAATAAATTTTATCTGTATCATTCATTTAGATCGAAGTTGTCAATTAAAAATGTTGAAAAGTAAAAATTATATTCACGGCGGCGACGATGGCATTATACCTTCTCACGTTCATTTGGGTAAATTTATGTTATTTCGTGCAAAAAATTACGATAGAAAGATCGCTATGGTAAGTTAGAAAACTTAATTTATTTATATTAATAATATTTTTAACATTTCACACTGTTTCACTTTCTAGCATTTTCTTTTGCGAACTAGTCAACTGTGGAATCGACTCCTGGTGGACTTCCTGGGAGATACGAACTCCAATTGTAAAAAGAGTATACTATTCCCGCAAAGGCCAGCAACTGCTGATGACTGCCCTTTTTTGGGCATACCATTTACCTTCCATATGAAATAAAATAATTAAAAAGTGCGTGCGTACAAAGTACACATGTCAGAAGTGAAACTTCTTTGGCAAACTAAGGGTGGGTTGCATCAACAAATTTGACGGACACGTAACCGTTAAAATGGCGTAACGAACGTTAGACAATAAAAGTTTGATTCACCATCCATGACAGCTTACGTTCGTTAAAAAGTTACGTTACGTTAACAGTGCTTGAACCATTGGTAATCGTCAAATTTTGGTTTGTAACTTCGTACGTACTTCCTAAACTCTGTTTCCTCTGAATTTAATATTAGAGATGGTTTGATTAATAATTATTTTGCAAGGTATGTTAAACTAGATTATTGACTTCAAAAAATAAATTGCAAAATTAATATTAAAGATTCCTATATTCAGATTATATCTTTTTATGGCATGGGTGTATGGGTGGTATGGTGAAGGACTAAGAATTCTATACTTTTATATTGCTTATGCATGCCTTTGGTAAAGAAATGAAATATTTGTCAAAAATAATATGCCTTTACTAACTGAATTACAGCCTACAGATTTTATTAATTTAGACCAAAAGTTAACTTTCATTGACAACAAACAGAAAACTAGTTTTCTCTTAATTTAATTTAATACTAATATGTGAATAATAGTTTAATTATTATATTTTGCAAGGTATGTTAATATTTAGATATTTTTAACTTCAAAGAAAACAAATCTCAAATTATAATTTAAAGCTGTCTTATTTTTCAGATTATAACTATTTTATGGTATGGATGTGAAATATGGTGAAGGATTAACAAATATATTGCTATTGCATGTTTTGGTGGAGAAATAAAATGTTTGACAAAAATAAATGCTTTTTTACCGATTAAAACTACAAGCTGCCTATGCAAAAAAAAATAAATTCATCTTAAAATCTATTTTTTACAGTTTTTATTATTTTTTACACTAATTTTATAACATTGATACACACAAAGATTATTTTGAAGACATTTTATACTAAGTTTCAAGTAATTCTGATCAAGTTATAGTAAGTTTATTTTTTTATTGTAAAGGTAAATAAGTGCCACTTTTCATACATTTTACATTAGAAATGGCCTTTCATACAATCTTACATCCTTTTAGTATAATTTTAGTAAGTTTTTTTTTTCTTTAGTTTTAAATAATTCTTCCCCCTTCCTCCCCTTCTAATTTAGATGTTGAACACCACCTCAAAAAATTTTCTTTTTCATATTTATTGTCTATCTTAGGGCAAGATTAATAAAAACACCATGTCCTTACTTTTTTTTGCTCTAATTGTTAGATTTATAATGTCTGTCTTTTTATTTCAATAAGATGTGTTTATGTTTTTCTATAAAATTTCTAAATGCAATCCTTCAACTTAAACAATATAACTTTCTAAAATATATATTCTTTGCGGATATACAATTCATGCAATATAATAATAAAATAATAGCTTTATACTTACTTTGGCGGAAAAGGTTCATTATTTACATTAAAATTAAACACTTTTAAAATTTTCCTTTCAATAACAATAAACATTGATGTCAAACTTAGTCAAATCGCGACGGTATTCAAAGGTTTTTAAAAAAAAAAAAAAATTAATAAAGGAAAACTTTATTAAGAAAGGAAACTTTCATCCTAAATTCTTAAATTAAAAAAAAAAAAAAGAAGAAAGGAGCCTTTTTTTCGAAGTTGGTCGATGTTAGTCGATATGAGACTCTTATCTAAGTTGGTCGAGTGTTAAACCTAAGGAGGGTGTCGATGCAAGACCCTATCACTATGGTGGCCGATATTAGACTGCCTTTAATATAATTATAATCTTACAGCTAAAAAAAAAAAAAACCGAGAAAAGAAAAGGGGGAGGGGGGGAAAAAAAGGGAAAAATAAGACTAAAAAAACCCCCCACATGATAACTTTGATTCCTTGGTGTACACTAGATGGGGGAAAACACTTGTTGTGAAGGGGTTTCCTGGGGGGAAAAAAAAAGAAAAAAAAAAAGAGGGGTGGGGGGAAAAATGGTTGGGGGGGGTTTTGGGTGGGTATCTGTGGTGACTTATTGTAACTAACTTGACAGAATGTATCAAATGACATTGCTTTTTATCAATGTTGTTATTACTAAAAATATTCCCATAAAACATTAGGTCAAAAATAGCGTTACGCAAACAGGCAACCCCATTAACAATGACGAACTCATTTTTTTAACAATGAAGCAACGCTAACAAGTTAACAGACGTTAAAGTTCATACGTGTCTGTCAAATTTTAACGAACGTAAGTTACGATAGCAAATGGTTTGAAACAACCCACCCTAACTCTTGTTCATATTTATACAAATCTAAAACTTTAGATTTCCGAGACTTAGAGGGAGGGAAAAAGTAAGTTATGTTAGGAATTCAATGAATTTAATGGCCATTAAAATATTAAAAGCGTCGAAACATAATACAAATTATAAATTTAATATTTTAAATTTATTTCTTCGTTAATAAAAACAGGTGGCATTTTAATTAACAATTCGTCATTTGAGATTTCAATAAATTATTTTGCATAAAATATAAAATTTTAATTTAAAAAATATAATTTCTAAAGGTAATTCGCCCTTCTCTCTCTCTTTCTCTCAATCGTTCTTTCCCTTTTCTTCAATAAAAACGCTTTCATCCCTAAAAATTTTACCCTCATGCGCCTAAAGAAGTTTCACTTCAATAATTACTTCTGAAAATTGTGCTGGCGTGGCACGTATTTTTATTTTATCTGTTGACTTATTTCACCAACTGGGAGATATGATCCTCCAATAGTGTAAGGCCGTTGCTCCACTGCTCCGGTCCGGCAAACGTTAATTACCGATCCAATTTAGAAACTCCCAACAGTACTTACGTACTTCTCCACTACTCCGGCATCCGGTATTTAACGATCCGATAACTTGCTAGATCGGATCGCGGTGTTTTATCGGTCCAAGTATATCCAAGAGGTTATAAATTATTATTCACAGGTTTATTTATAGTTTCTTTAATTTGAAAGAATCTGGATAACCTGGACCAAACCAAATTATGTTGCTATTTATTTATATGTTTATACCATAGTATTAGTGAACTATTTATTCAGTAGATTATAATATTTTAAGATAGACAATATAAAAAAAGTAATAAACTTGCCAGGGCAATAAAATATTCAGAATTTAGTACGTTTTATTAATAAAATAAAGAATATGGGTGTTAGTTAATATAAGTGTTGCATGATAAATATACAAGTATCGATTATTGTCGAATCGGATATAGTGAAGAAGCGCAATCCGGCCAAAGAGAGCATACTCTCTCAAAGGCCGGCTTCGCACCTACTACTACTACTACTACTGTCCTTTTTGGGCGTCTCGTAGGCTCGTTTGCTTACTTTATAGAAAAAAAATTACAATTGTCTTACGGAATTGCTAAAACCCCTACTCACTTCAGTACACGGTTGACTAGAAACTTTACACGCCTTAAACAAACACAAATATTTTTTGAAGTTCAAGGGTAGGTACTATTTAGTTTTATAATGCAGTGGAATCTCGATACTCGAATGTCAAGGGAAATTGACTTAAGAAGAACTTCGAGATACATATGATTTAACTGCTGAAATTTCGACTTACAGACGCACGATTTCTATGTGTATTTTTCGATTTGTAGAGACGAATTTGAATAACAATTCAACTTAAGCAATATAGTACATATATATTTTTACATGTTAAAACGAATAACGTAAATTAATTAAATTAAATTAATTTAGTAAACTGAACTCTAAAAAAAATTTCAATTTCAAATTCTATTAAATAAGTTAATGTGACAGTTTAAAAAAAAGGGCGATATACTATATCTGTTTCACCAAGGTCATATTTCAGCGAAGAGTGGTAATAAATTATAACGTTCTAGACATTCGTCAAAATTACCGTCGTAATGTGTCGTCCGTAATTATGTTTAAAAAGTGAAACAAAAAAAATGGAGGTCGCATAACTGTCACAATTTCAAAGACTATAGACTTCAATTCTGTTCATAGATTGACGCGGATACAGATAAACGAATGACGTATACGGAATTCGCGCAATTATCTGTGAACATTGCTCTATCGTTGAAAAAGCTGGGAGTGGGTATAGGCGATGTGGTCTGTGTCTGTAGCGAGAAGAGGATGGAGTTCATGCCTACAATAGTCGGAGTATGCTGTACTGGAGCCAGTTTTGCTGCAGGAGACAATAGCGTTAAGAATAGTGAGTTAAGACAAATACAAATAAATATTTTAAGTGCACATAAGTATTTTAATTTACGAGTTATGTTTGTTTATCTGTAACGCGAACCGTGCCGACTGGTTCCGATACCACTGATCACGCGGGTAGTTCTTTTCATGACGTTGCCTTGGCAAATGACCTGACACAAATGGTTCTTGCAATTACGCCAATACCAGATGTGAATGGTCACCAACCAACCTTGTTTTCTGATGACTTCACACCCAGAAAACTACCAAGTCTCCGTCGACCCTCCTCTGGGTATATCCGAACCAATTCGACTTCCTTCAAGAAGACCAGTCCTTCAAGAAAAGAGCGTACCAATTCTTAAAGGCCGGCAGCACACTCACGAGCCCTCTGGCATTGTGTGCAGTGGTATTACTTAACATCAGGTGAGCCTCCTGCCCGTATGCCCCTTGTTCTATAAAAAAAACTTAGTTTTTTTTGGACTATGTCTAAGAAGTTGGATATTTTTTTAGTTTAGAGTTTGTTAGCTCCAGGTCATGTTGAAAATCGATGTTCCTCTCATAGAAGGGCGCGCCCGTCGAACATTCCACTTCCGGCGGATGAAATTCGTTAACAATAGAATGAGCAACTATGGCCAATTATGTTAAAATTCTTAAAAATATGTTTATTTAATAAAATATAATGTTTTTCAGATGCATTTCTCTACCGCATGAACATCTTGAAGCCAAAAGTTTTGTTCATATCCCAAGCGTCGTATGAGATACATAAACATACGTTGTCCACAATGAACACAGAACACATAGTTATATACGGTAACGGACCGGAGAAGACCTTCGAAGAGTTCCTCAGTGAAAGTGCTGATGTAGAGGAATTTGAAGCTACGCCAGTGAAGGTAAGCTGTTCACCGGTTATTGAAGTGAAACTTCTTTATCGACGTATGGGAGAAATTTTGTAGCAAATCGTCACGTTTTTCGGTTACGCGCCATCTTTTTCTTGTCCCTACCACGGTTGATCCGAAGAGATTAGAAGCCATTAATAACAAAAATATATAATAACGATAACAATGATAGTAATAATTCTATTACAATTAATGAAATTCTGTAATAATCTTATCTAGTAGTAATATGGTAAAATGAAATAATTGTGTTTGTATTCATGTTTATGATAACAAAAGCCTTTTGTTAAACTTTATCTAATTTAACTTTATTTAACCAATTTCTGTAAAGTTGCATATAGTAGATCATTTTTCGAAAAATAAGGTCATAAAGAAGTTTCACTTCTTACGTGTGTACACCTAGTACACGCACACATTTTTATTGAAAGTACTTAATCTTTATTTCTTTAAATAATTTCTTTGCACCGACTGTTAATAATTACACAACACAAAACAAGATAATATAATACAAAGAGGGGCGGCCCCAGAGCAAGTAGGAAATAATAAATGGCTCAAATATACGAGTCTTTTGTCCAACTTCCATATTGTTCCCTTTGTAGTAGACTCTTGGGCCGTGGGGTTCAAGTGCACAGCTAATTAAAGATTTATGTTGGCGCCTGGTTAGTACCGGTGACCCGAGATGACGTTTTCCTCAACGAATAAGTATCGCAAGACAGCGAGGAAATGCTGCCAGCGTTAAGGTACACTGCCACAGGGACCAAACTTTTATTTGCTTGTTGTTCCCACGAGAATGTAAGTGCGTGCTCCTATTTTACCATGCCTACTGCTGATAGAGGACAAATCCGTGTTCAATTTTTTATTATTATTATTAATTAACTAGTAGTTACCTACTTAAGATTTCATGTGGAACATGATGTAATGGTTGCAGCTCCTTACAGACATTGTATAAACAAAAAACTTTGCGATTAAAATGAGTGGCGGAGAGTTTATTGCCAGTTCTTCCGTTCTAACCCTTTGATTTGAGAACTGGCAGTAAATGTAAAATTAGAAGCATTTAGTATGTATTTCGTTTTGACGTTCATAAGTGTACATTGTGTACCTAAATTAATAAATGATTATGATTTGATTTGTATATTATTATTTTCTGTTGCCGTATGAAAAGGGATGGGAGGACATCGCGGTAATACAATTCTCGTCAGGCACGACAGGACTTCCAAAGGCTGCGAAATTCACGCATTTGAACTTTATACTGGCTATAACTCAGAGTAAACGGAAATACCAGAGTTTTGATGTGAACAAGTATGTTTTTTTTATATTTTATTTATTATATACATGATCTTAAATAGTAAATAGGTTGGTGTGGTGGAAACAAACTGGACACAGTTTTTCTGTCCTCGAGGACGTCGAACATATTTAAATAACTAACTTATATACTAAGGACAGTGACATATACACTATACCATTATAACCATTAAAATTGTAAGTAAAACGCCACAAACCAATTGAAACATTGACGCTCCACTGTTAGCCGACACAAGAAACCTGTTCTTGACGAGAATTCTCATTCGAATACAGGATGTATTCCTTTATTCGAATAAGAATTAAATGAAGATGATGTCTGAGTAGCATAATGTTTGTTATGCATATTTTATAATTGTTTGATTTATGTAATAATTTTTTAATTTAAATTTAATGTTGTTTCTTGTAATATTAGTAAGAAGTGCAGCTGCCTTGCGATTCTGTAATTCACTTTCGTGCCTTGCGATTCTGTAATTCACTTTTCGAACTCACACAGCGGTTTTCGCATCGGCGGTCGCGCTCAAATCAGTCGTGAAGCAGTCATTTTATGATTTGGCATTCTGATAAACAATAAACTACAAGCTCCCACCTTTTCAGAATGCCAAGAACAAGAAAAGTGAGTTACAGAATCGCAGGGCTGGTAGGGAGTTTATTAATGGAATAAGATAGTCTTATGTTTTTTACCCTTATATTATTATATTTAGGTAATAGAAATTAAATTACTGCGTGTTGAATAGTGATGGTGAGTTAATTTATTAATAGATAATAAGAGGTTCAAACCCTAACTTATATGATATTGGTCAGTTCCTAAAGTTCTTATGTTGGAAGAAACTAAAACAAGAATCACTCAAGAATATTTTGTTCGCACACACTGAAAAATCTAAGAATATCCAAGATCAATATAATAAAAACACAGCGATTTAAAACCGAATGGAGGATAAAAGTTATCTTTTTAGGATCCGTATTAATGAAACTTCGAAAATAAAAAATTGAATTGTTTACTTAATTAGATAGGTTCTAAGAATTACTTTTCAATTGTAACGAAAAATCAGAATTTGATGTATGAAAAATGAAATTAAATAAAAACTAAAAATTGGTTGCGATAGGCCGGCACTTGAAGCCTTTGGGCATTGAGTGTGAGTGAGACCATTTAAAGGTCGACAACGCACTCGCGAGTCCTCTGGCATCGTTGTCCATGGGTGATTTTATTTAACGTCAGATGAGCCTGCTGCCGTTTTTCCCCCTGTTCTATAAAACAATATATTAAGCAATTTAAAGGCCGGCAACGCACTCGCGAACCCTCTGGCATTAAGTGTCCATGGGTGATTTGACTTAACATCAGGTGAGCCTGCTGCCGTTTGCCCCCTGTTCTATAAATCGAAACAATTTAAAAGCCGGCAACGCACTAGCGAGTCATCTGGCATCGTGGTCCATGGGTGATTTTACTTAACATCAGATGAGCCTCCTGCCGTTTGCCCTGTTCTATTAATCAAAACAATTTATAGGCCAGCAACGCACTCGCGCATCCTCTGGCATTAAGAGTGTCCATGGGTGATTAGTAACATCAGATGAGCCCCCTGTACCATAAGAAAATATGTAAGAATGCCTATTTTTTTTAGCAAATACGCGGGGTCTATGTCACTGGTGACGCGCGAGTGGTACTACACATATGGTCTTTATCATACATTGAGTTCGTTGGCACTTGGCGCATGCGTCGTGTTCACGAGGGAAAATATTATGGAAGATTACCTTCGTGCAATTGAAAAGTATAAGGTAATTATGAAGAGTTAATATATAGGGGAAGGTCGGGACCCTTCGTACGGTTTTCACATTTTATTTTTTTATTATTTTATTTTTCCATGAATCAATCATCTGCAAGCTTAAATTTATAGTCTAACTATCTGAGATTCATATAAGAAAATGACAAATGATTTCATCTGATGGTTCAACCATAATTATGATTTAAACTAAATCTGGAAAACGTACGAATCTACCCCATCAACGGGGCACCTTCGTACAGTGTTGAGGGTACCTTCGTACGCTGTGGGGTAGTTCCGTACGTGCGATTAAAACGACACATATAAATCAAAATTCATTTATTAGCAATGAAATTAAACACAAAAAAAAAGATTTAACTTCTAATAAACAAAAATAAAATACTTTAATTATAGTGAACAAAAATTACATAGCTTTTCTTAAGAAAACCAAAATTTAATTAGTTAGGTATCTTAAATTTAGAATCACATTCTTTAATCTTTGGTGCGGATTAGCACTTCTTATTTTCGGGTGTGGCAGTATAAATTCGTGGTTTTCCTGGCCGTCGTCATTTTGTTTGTTTTATTACTTCTTACAACATGCGGATGGAGGTGTCAAAACTGACTTCGAAGGAACTACTATTTGATGGATTGGTAAATTATTCAAAGCATCTGGTTCACAGGCATCAAAATCAACCTTAATAAAGATAATAAAAATAGGTATTAATATACATCGACGATAGCAATGATGCAACACAGGGCAAAGTTAATGCAAATGAGAATTAGAACTACACAATCTTTCCTACCTACCAGAGGGTTTAGTCAAGATGCCTTATTATTATTTGTATGTAGCAAGTCGAAAACTTAATTTGTATGAAAATGACAGTTCGTGTCGACAAAATATTTTCATACAAATTTAGTTGTTCCCTCAAATGTTCCCCATCTAGTGCTGTCCGAAAGTACCCTACTAACTGAATAACAACAAAATATAACTTATTTTAATATTAATAGGAAAACGTCATAAATTAAGTATTGGAGACGTATCTAAGTATATTTTGCTAGTTACTGATAGAATACTCTACACGAAAACTTATTTTATCTACGGTAACAAGAGACAAAAACATTGATCAAAAATATTACTTACCGAGCGCGAAAACACGTCCATGCCTGTAACTTCATTCTCATCGGTGCGAATTTCGCGAAACTTCGATTATGTATAGTTCGTACCTCGACTCATGCATACATACAAAAACAAGACTGTACTTTGTTTCGTTCAAGTTTTATTTCGACTGTATGAATGTGCCCCGCGTACGAAGGGTAACAATCTTCCCTATATATATATATGTAACTTACTTTTCGAACTCACACAGCGGTTTTCGCATCGGCGATCGCTCTCAAATCAGTGAAAAGGTGGGAGCTTGTAGTTTATTGTTTACCAGATGACAGCTTCATGACTGATTTGAAAGCGACCGCCGATGCAAAAACCGCTGTGTGAGTTCGAAAAGTGAGTTACAGAATCGCAAGGCAGGCTCGACATTCGTATGTGATATCAATGTGAAACCTTTTGGCTACACGACTTCGAAATTGTACATTGAAACTCAACTAACACAGTACATAGTAACAGTTAGACAACTATACTTAATGACAATATGCAGAGTTTTTTGCAAAGCAAATCTACATAATATGTAAAAAGGCTTACTATAAAGTTAACGATTATCTAGTTGATAAAAGGGCCTGGGACTAGTGCTAGACAGGCTACTTCTAATTAATTTGCGATATTTGTTTTAAAATAAGCGTTGTTTGATGATTTGATATTTTAAAAGAGTACCGAGAGTTTTTTACGCCGGCTTTTTCTCTCGGCCTACACCCTCTGTCTTCTTTGCCGATGAGTAGGGATCTACCGATTCAAATTTAATGACGTGGAATAAGTTATACCTGTATCTTATATTCCATAATAGACATATTTTATTTTTTATTTAACGCTTTTTCTCCTTCAGAGATCTTTTCTTTAACCACTTTCAAAACGTTAAACATTCACTAACAATCTTCAGTAATTTCTGAACCTGTCCGAGAAAGTTGGGGTTCAAACAGTAAGTAGGGATGATACAATCCAACACCGCCGGTTGAATAAACCCTTTAAAACGCTTGGCCGCCGCTTGAATGAACCCATGTGTAGGAAAGAAGGGGGCAAGGAGTTCCACTCTGCTGTTTAAATGATCCAAATCATGTACCTGGGGATGTCAACAACGAAGGGGCGATATTTCAGCGTGCTTCTAGAGATGGGTAGTTTGAAATGTGTGCGACGATTAGTGCCTATAAACCAATTTATTTTTCAGATAAAGAATCTTCAGATCGTCCCAAATAGTTTGATAGACATAAAAAATTGTGTAAATTGTCAAAAATATGATTTATCATCTGTGGAGCATATCCGCAGTACCAGTTTACCTGTTAGTAAGCATTTGATTACTGGTCTCAAAATCATGTAAGTTGTTTTCTTTTTTCACGATTTTTAATCTAAAAAAAGGGTGCTTGTACTTATGTACGCGCGTAAGAAGTTATACTTCTTTGGCATTATTAAAAATAGTTTTTGATTGCAAGCAAATGATTAATGACAATTAAATAATCAAAGACTGGAAAAGGAGTCATTATAGTCAATTAAGTTCAGTTTACATTTGAAAAATTAAATTAATAAATATTTATTATTATTCGAATGTTGTTTTTAAATTATGTCCAATGACGTAGCATCTTCCGTGGACAACTTCATTCTGTTAATTTTGTGTAACGGTGTGCGCGCATCGTAAAATTTTACTCTCATCAATTTTTCATAACGCGTCTAAAGAAGGATAACTTCAAAAATTATGGTGACGTATCCTTTAGTGTGAATTAAATGATCTGCAGCTGAAATCAATCATCGGACGTTAAGGCAGATTTCATAATACCATCCGTATCACCTCGACGTCCGTCGTTCCACAACTGAGCGTTGCTTAAAGCCGCGTATCGACTACGCGCTCCAAGAGGGCGAACATTGGCGCGCGCTCCGCGGAGGAACATTTGGAACGCGCCAATGTGTTGTTGGCCCCGAACGCGGAGCGGTCCGTTCCGATGGGTGTCGGTTTTTTACCACGCATCAATCGTGGCGCGCGCAGTTGGGACGGACATATCGTATTTTTTGTGTTGTGCCTCCCAATTATGGATAACCAAAGTTGCCGTAAATTAATACAACTGTATGGTACAAAAGAACTACTGTGGAATAGCAAAAGTTCTTCGTATCATAATAAATCGCCTAGAGAAGATGCTTGGAGAGAAATCAGTAGTGAAATGGGAGTCCCTATGCCGGAATTAAAGAAAAAAATGACTGGCTCCTATCAACGTAAGAAGAGAAAAATTTAGAGTATCTAAAAGCCAAATCACTGCTCTGCTTTTCTTGTTTATAATACTGTGAATAATTACAAAAGCTGCTGTGACTGGCTTGATGATGAAGGTCGAACACTGGAACAGTTGCCACGCGCGCAGGCGCGCTTAGTTGATATACTTCAAATATTTGGAACGCGTTTCACGGAACGCACTCTGGTGGGTCATTCATGGGGCAGGAGCGCGTAATCGATACCCAGCTTAAGGCAGTTTTTGCCGCGCACACCACTATGTGGAATCAGCTGCCCACAGTATTTCCGAACCAATTCGACTTAAGTAAACAGCGTACGAATTCTTAAAAGGCAATGTCAGTTTCGGTATCACTTAACCTCGGGTGAGCCCGCCCGTTTACCTCCGATTTCATAAAAAAGAAATACAAAATTAGTGATTTAAAATGGCGGATTCTTTGCCATTTCCCTTGAATTAACTAATAGTAAATTTAGATAATAAGGTAGGTAGGTAGGTAGGTAGGTTAGATAATTAGATAGTAAGGTTAGGTATTACCAGGTGCCAACTTAAATCTTGAATTTGCTGTGTATCTGAAACACAGCCCAAGAGTCTCTACTCTAAATCAAATAGCCCTTTATTCGCTGGCCTTTTTACAAAACATGCTTATAAAACAGTAGTGTTCTTAAATTTAATTTACATAAGAAAAATAATAAAATTATTAGCAACCACTTTGGTCAGATTGTCTGTCGACATAGGCCTCCCCCAACTGTTTCGTAAAGAGAATTTAAGTATTTTATATTGTATACAAAATAATTTATTGAAATCTCAAATGACGAATCGTAAATTAAAATACCACGTGATTTTATTATAGAAGAAATAAATTTTTTATAATTTGTACTAATTTTCGACACTTTTAATATGACAATTCCTAACTTATCTTCCTTTTTCCCTCCCTTTAAGTCTCGGAAATCTAAAGTTTTAGATTTGTATAAATATGAACAAGACTTAAAAATTACTTTGCCAAAGAAGTAATCACTTCTGACGTGTACTTTGTACGCAAGCACTTTTTTTTTATTTATATCATCCCGAAGGAGTAGACAGAGACCACGATCCTCCACCTCTCTCTCTTCATCCACTGTTATGAGATCCACCATGATCATCGTTTATTGGCGTTTATAACTTGTCCTTGTCCCTCTATGTATTTGCGTGTTGTTCCCACGAGAATGTAAGTGCGTGCTCCTATTTCACCATGCCTCAAAGTCAAAGTCAAATCGTTTATTTCAATTAGACCATCTAAAATGGCACTTTTGAACGTCAAAAAAAAAAAAAAAATAAAGATGATTCTAGTTGCCCCTTCCAAAAGGTAGTTTCGTGTGGAGAAGAATGGGCAAGAAACTCCACACTTACTCTTTTAAAATAGGTTTACAATATTTTGTTACATTTGTTAAATAATTATATGTGAAGACAATGTACTCTTAGAATAAACTACTATACTAAAAAAGTTAGTATACATGTTCCTCACATATTTACAAATATCGAAACCTTAGAATATTAACATTAAAGAGTAATAAAAATATTAAAAAAAACACAACAAAACAGTGTGTGAGATACAAAAAAAAAATAATTACATTTGTAGCATTATATAAATTAAAAAAAATAAAATAATAATAACAAAAATTAACATATTTTTTTTTAGCAAAAAATCAGCAACCAATTTGATTTTGTCCAGGCTATAGAGCCAATCATAGGATTGTCCTATGGAGCAGGACCAGCATGTTTCCAAGCATTCTTATCTTGAAACCTCCTGCTGATAGAGGACAAATCTTTGTTTTTTTTATTTTTATTATTAATTACTTAAGATGTCACGTGGAACATGGTGTAATTGTTGCAGCTCCTTACAAACATTGGGTAAAACAAAAAAACTTGGCGATTAAAAAGGGTGGCGGAGAGTTTATAGCCAGTTCTCTTCCGTTCTACGCCCTTGATTTGGTAGTAAATGTAAAATTAGAAGCATTTAATATGTATTTCTTTTTGACGTGCATAAGTGTACTTTGTGTTACCTGAATGAATAAATGATTTTGATTTGATTTTTAAATATTAAAGAAACGGAATTATTAATTAATTTAATGTATAAAATTTTAGCTTTCCCAACATCAAGGCTCTAAAACAAAGCTATGGAATGACGGAATCGGGTTGTGTTATACACGAAGAAATCCCTAAGGGGGACAAATTGGGGACCGTTGGAACAGCCTGCGTGGGGACCATTATAAAGGCGAGTGTTTAATATAGAATAATGTGTAATCTTGTGTTTTTTCCTAGCGTTAATTGATTGATTTTTGTAGGTGGTTGATATGAAAACAAATGAAGCGCTTGGGCCGAATTGTCGCGGTGAGATTCGATTTAAATCTTTGTCGTTAATGGCTGGTAAGTTTACTTATTGGAATTTTAATTTTGTAATTATGTTTTAACACGTATCATTGCCCCTTGCCGTACAAGTATTACGTAAGCAGATTAACTGCAATTTATCCCCCCTCCTCTTGTCAGCAAAAGTACGCAAAGCTCTCAAAAATAATAGTACATAAACGTATTAATTTTTTGTAGGAATCCTCGGAAATGCATTTCGTTTTCAAGCATAGACAATGTGTGGGTAATATGTGTAAAAAAGTACTTACTGTTGACGTAATCACCAAATATGAAAATCAAAGACCCCCTCCCCCTATGGTGCTTACGTAATACTTGAACGGATACTAAGGAGGTTTTCATAAATAAATAAATGGCGATTTTCAGGTTACGTTGGTGAATCAAATCGTGATTATTTGGATGAAGAAGGGTTTTATAAGACCGGTGACGTTGGGTATTATGATGATGACAAATATTTTTATATCGTGGATCGAATCAAGCATTTTCTGAAGTACAAAGGAGCAACGGTATTAAATTAATACTTTCAGGTTTAAAGAACTTTATTTCTCATAAGAACTTAATACTAGTTCGCTTACAATGAGATATAGTACTTAATTCTAAATTATATAATACTAGCTGGCCTGGCGAACATCGTACCGCCTAACAGTCGATTCTTTATTTTTTTTAAATACTTATTCTGCTATTCGGTACACCGGTCTAGCTAGTAAGATAAAAAAAAAAGAAAGTTGATAAGACAACAAAAACATTATGTCAAAAAATAAAAATTTACCTTCCCGGAACCCCTCCACTAACACTTGACCTTTATGATATGGTATTACAGTTCAAATTGCCTTTAAATATTATTACGAATATTTTGTATGGGAATATAGAAAAGTGTTGTTTTTAGACTTTTTCACTCAATTTTTTAAATTTTTCTCTCCGTAAGAACCATCCTCGTACTTCAAGGAATATTATAAAAAAAGAATCAGACAAATCGGTCAAGCAGTTTTCATGTTATGTCGTGACAACGGAAAACGGGTTTCATTTTTATATATATAGATTAGTAGCCTCTAGAGCGTTGGAAACATTACACTGATTACAAATAATCTTTTAGATTTCTTTTGAAGACATTCATATTATCGCACTGTTTTAATTCCTCTGGTAAATTGTTGAAAAACTGTGCTCCTTCGAATAATATCGTTGTTTTTCCGTAATTAGTCCGCGGTGTTACCGCTTTTCCAGAAGTAGACCACGTATCTCCACTTGCCACGGCCCTTCAATTCTCGCTTCATCCACTTTCATGACGTTCCGTTCCTAGTACGTCCTGGCTCTGGTCCTGGTACGACAATGCCTACCCAACCCGTGCTCACCATCCACGATTGTCAAAGTATTATGTAAGGAATGGGGGGGGGGGTTCCTCTTAATGGAAGTCTTTAAATTGACTAATGTATTGTTTTATAGAACAGGGGGCAAACGGACAGGAGGCTCATCTGATGTTATTACTTAACCCGCCCATGGACAACGATGCCAGAGGGCTCGCGAGTGCGTTGCCGGCCTTTAAGGGTTTAATTATTGTTATATAGAACAGAGGGCAAACGGGCAGGACGCTCATCTGTTGTTAAGTGATACCGTGGATACTCTTAATGACAGAGGTCTCGCGAGTGCGTTGCCGGCCTTTAAATGGTTTCATTAGGTCGGAGGAAGAACAAGAGCGTATTAAAAATTGTGCTGAAGTTGCACGTATTTTATATTATCTGTTGACCTATTAGATTTCACCAGCTGAAGTAGAGATGGCGTTAATCAAGCATCCGGGATTGAAGGACGTCGGCGTTACGTCACATCCGTTTAGCGAAGCGCCTGTTGTATTTGTAGTGACTCAACCCGGCTGTGACGTCACATTACAAGAAATAAATGATATTCTTCACGTTGAGGTAAAAAAGTTATAGGTACTTTAGTATACCTGGTCTGTGCTAAAAACTAACGACCTTCGTGGTTCGTTTTTTGTCCTCTGTGAACAGTCAAGAGTCAATTGTCTATTACATTGATCTTTTTTCTACTCTATTGTTGCAATGATTTTGCATCTACATTTTTTACCGCGAACTTTTTTCTTATTAGGTACCGTATAAGTTCGATTCCCGGTTCGAGGGCAAGCCTTAATTTAATTTAAATTTGGGAGGGTTGTGCCGTACCGGGCGAGTGCTTAAACCGTACATGGAGGACACGGTAGAATTTCTAAAAAAAGACAAGCACGAATTATAAAATATATATATATATATATATAACTATAGTCGTTTTTTTAAAGCTATCACAATACATTTAGGTTTTTAGAAATAGTAATTAAGATAAAGTATTGTTTTTAAAAAGAGATTAATGCGTATTATTTCCTATATATATTATTTCCTATTATATCCTATACTTGACGCTGGCTAATGCACAAATCGTGCCAGAGCCATAAAAAAAAGGTACCCTATATTCTTCTTTTTATAGCTATCACAATACATTTAGGTCTTTAGAAATAGTAATTAAGATAAAGTATTGTTTTTAAAAAGAGATTAATGCGTATTATTTTTTATATAGAAGATTTTTTTTATAGTCTGTCTACATAATATTAACGTGGAAAGAGTAGGTAGGTACTCCAAAACTGCTAAGCCATCCCTCCCAGTTTTGCATCCAGGTAATCCTAACTAAAGAAGACAGTAAGAAAAAAGAAAAATCAAATGCTTCCCACTGCTCTTGGTCGATTTCAGGATTTTTATGTAGAAAACCTACAATTTAAGGGAATGAATGCAAGAAAAAATAATTTTAACTAGAGTTATGTAACCTAATATTAGTTAAGTTACATATACAGGATGTCCCAAAAGTCGACGTCAAGTCGAAATTTTCTCATAGGTAATTAAATAAAGCTGCTTGCCAAACTGGAGTAGTACATTTTTTTTTCAGGACGATCAGTTGAACTAGTGCGAAAAATTAATTTTGAAAACTTGGTACGGTATAAAATGACATTTTCCTACAAGTTGGAGTAATCGGCACAGGGTTTAGGATCATAGGTTACATAAAGCACTATTCGGGATGACGTAAGAGAAAAAAAAATGGCAAAAAGTAAATATTTGTAACAACAGGAATGAAAAACTGTCACATGGTGTACATTTTCTGGAATAAAAGGAAAATTTCCATAACTTCAAAAATACATGACTTAATTTTTTTTTTAATTTTTCTGATAACTGGTGTGGCATTACCTATGAGAAAATTTCGACTTGACGTCGACTTTTGGGACACCCTGTATATATAATATATATATTTCGTTAATAATTAGTAAAATAATTATAAATATTAGTTTAGTTTTTCCCAGACTCGTAAATCTTAATACATATATATAAATCGCGATGGACTCCTAAACTACTTAACCGATTTTAAATTAAATTTGCACACCGTGTGCAGTTTGATCCAACTTAAAAGATAGGATAGCTTACATCTTAATTTATAGCCGCAATATTATTTTATTGCAAATTATTTGCTTATTATTTGACACAATTTTAACAGATGGCGCTGTGTTGAAAGTACCAACGTTTCACATAAGCTACAATTTAATGGCATAGCCACCAAAAAAGCATGGTGATCCCCAAGACTGTTGTTTTCCTGCTGTTTCCTTTGAATAGTTTACTACTATGTAATATAACAAAAACCTTAGCTACAGCAACGCTGGGCCGAGTCTGCTAGTTGTAATATATAACATTCTCGTTTCCGATAATGTCCAATAGGTCGCTTTTATTCTTTATAGGTAACAAAAGTGTCACTTAGATTTCAGAACCCTTAAATCCCACTGTAAACATCCTAAAACAGATAAAAATATTTATAATAACTGATGAAAATCCATTTTCTTTCAGATGCCAACAGCTAGTTTATCAGAAATTAGATTTGTTGCGGCAATACCTCGAGGCGTTGGCACGAAAATTGACAGAAACGCGTTGAAAAGCATGTTAAAATAGTTTTTATATACCATAAATGATTTGTTTTATATATAAATTATATTATGAAAAAGTTGTTTTACCTATAACGTTCCTAAAGACTGCGACTAAAAAAATATATCTTTATTATGGAATATAAGATACAGGTATCACTTATTTCACGTCATTAAATTTGAATAGGTAGACATCCCTACTCATCGGCAAAGAAGACAGAGTGTGTAGGCCGAGAGAAAAAGCCGGCGTAAAAAACTCTCGGTAGGTACTCTTCTAAAATAGCAAATCATCAAACAACACTTATTTTAAAACAAATATCGCAAATGAATTAAAAGTAGCCTGTCCAGGCCCTTTTATCAACTAGATAATCGTTAACTTTATAGTAAGCCTTTTTACACAGCTTTTCTTTAATACATTTCTTAAATTTATTAAAAGGTAGAGATAAAATATAGACCGGAAACCCAGAAAAGTTCCGGTCCGCAAAAACCAATATTGGAGTTCAGACACCATTCTTTCGAATTCTTCGCGACTTCAAGGGAAAAATAGTACTCATCCGGAGCTGGATATATTCGGTAGTGGTTTTAAAGAAAGCATTGTTAAGTGCCCATCTCGAACCTATCCGCTGTTTTCCTGGTAATTTTATTTGTGCTTAACAAAGTATCTGGTATTTTATTTTGTAAGTATATATTTTAATAGTATTTTTTATTTGTAACATGTTTATCTAAATTGTTATGCATTTTAGATAAAAAAAATTTTAATAAATAAATAATGAATGAGTGACAGTTTTATATAGGAGAGAAACCTTACTTAGGCCAGTTTCAGTAACTAAAAAGCTTAAGTTCTCTTTTGGGGTCATGTTCTCGTTGCAGCAAGTTGTATTGCCACGGCATTCTCATGGTAATTGAAAAACTTGTTGTCAAAACTTAGTAGTCAGTCTGTAACTTGTCAAATCTTATAGATTTTTGGCATACGGAAGTCATATTTACCGCGAATCACAATACCTGTCATAGATAATGTACCATAAACATTTGTCTATGATTCGTAATTTTTGTTATTTAATATCATACTTAAATATATAATAAAACTCAAGGTGGGTGGAATATAATTTATTAAATAAAATTCTAAACTGATTTCTGAACACACTATTTGTGAATAGTGGAGTTAAAATTTGTACATTCTAATACTATATGACACGAAATATAAAAAAAATGACTGGCAATTAATTAACTTGTTCTAAAAAATAAAACGGAATAAACATTTTTAATCTATGACTCAAAGATGACAGCTGACATTTCAAAGTGGAAAATCACTTGACATCTTATATATCAATGCCAAGGAGTTTCTTGTCAAAGATGAACTCTCCAAGGGCTGAATGACGGTCCATCATCTTCTTAAGAGTGGTGGCCTTTCCTGCAAGGTCGCGTTGACCCTTGTATTGTTCTTCGAGGAACTCGCCAGTTAGGTAGTCGACGAGCTAAAACGAAAAGAAATATAATTATGTAACAAATATTTTAAATAGTATCGCAATACAGCGAGGAAATGCTGCCAGCGTTAAAGGTACACTGCCACAGGGACCAAACTTTTTAATTTTTATTATTATTATTGTTACTATGTAGGTTAAGAGAATTGTAAATAAGGTAATTAGTAATTGTATATTTTTAGAAAGTTATACATCTTAATATATATAAATCACGTGTCACGTTGTTTGTCCGTTATGGACTCCTAAACTACCGAACCGATATCAATCAAATTTGCACACCGTGTGTAGTTTGATCCAACTTAAAAGATAGGATAGCTTACATCTCAATTTATACTCGCAATATTATTATATTGCAAAATATTTGTTTATTATTTGATACAATTCTAACAGATGGCGCTGTGTTAAAAGTACCAACGTTTCACATAAGTTCTTCTACCGTTTCCCTTGAATAGTTTACTACTATGTAATATAAGAAAAACCTTAGCCAGCCTTGGCCGGTCTGCTAGTACATATATATATATATTGTCGCAGCCAACTAGCTGAATTAGCTAGTCAATCAACAGCCTAGCTTCTTAACTAAACTGCGAGCTTTATGGTTTTCTAAGCGTAATAGCCAAGTTTAGAGTTTTTTTTTATTTATTATTAAAAGATTCGAGGATTAATATAGATTGTATAATAACTTGCGTTTAATAAAAACAAACTTGAAAAAACCCCTGGAATTTTAATCTCCTAAATTTGGAGGAAAATCCCCCAAGTTGGTATCACTGTTCTCATAACCACAGAATCAATATAATACTTACATGGTAATCATTGTCATCTTGACCGGCGGCGGCCGACCTGTCATGTTCACAATTGACAATGACAGTTCGGATGGCTTTTGTCACTTCAGTTTCCATTTTGAGAGCATCTTCTAACGCCTCCTGTCCACTTGACCACGTCTTGCGTTCTGGGGCCTATTTATAAAAAATACAATAAGAACTGCTTCACGTATTTACAAAACTATCTGGACTAGTGGTTGTTGCGACGGTAATCTGTGCATTTTTTCTTGAGGGTGCGTTCAAGTATTACATTACGAATTTTGGGAGGGGTCCTTTTATAAAACGTTACGATGCGGGGCGGGGATTGAATTACGCGTTATTGTTAATATTATTTTAAGACTTTCCAGTACTTTACACCACATAATGGTAACTTTTAGGTATAAAGAGTCACAAGGTGATCACGAAACGTTTAACTATAATATAATACTTAGGTACAGTACTGTACTTGGATACAGAAAAACGTTACGTTACGGTGCGTTACAAATTGGTTGTGGGCGTAATACTGAGGGCCTCTAAAAAAAAAAAAAAAAAAAAAAAATTTCCAAAAAAAAAAATAATCTCCAAAAATTGCACGTAGCTGTTACACCGGATATCTTAACCAAACCTCTTCTGATTGAAAGTATATTTCTTTATGCATACTTTTGACTAAGAACAAGAAGATCTGAGATGTGCTGAAAAGAAAACGAACTGTCCAAGGATCATCCAGAGTTCCTATTCAACAAGAAACTCCTTGAAATATGACCATCTCTTTGCTTGAAAGCTTATTTCTTTAAAGTTTCATACTTTTGAGAAAGCTTCATGAAGATCTATAGCTCAGATAAACTGTACAAGATAACTGACTATCCTTAAGAGTCAGCCAGAGTTCCTATTGGACAAGAAACTCTTTTTTTACATATAAATCCAATAAGCTATAGTATGTGTCAAGTCTCTTCTTTGAAATTTTAGAATTAACATACCCGGACATTGATGAGTGAGGTGAGATTGTTGGTTAGTTCTCCCCTCATCAGCATGTATTCGATGAGCTTCATGGCATGTTGACGTTCCTCCTTGCTGGCTTCGAAGAATAGATTGGCGAAACCGGGACGGTTAATCTAGAGAATTCATGGGTCTGTTATCGGATGAACAATGACATGGTAATGCGTGGCTATATCTCAAAAACTACTGAATCTATTTTGATGAAACTTGGAGTGTTCCCTAAGGAATATAAATAAACCAGAGGCACTGCGACCTTTGGTCTCGGCCTCAGATTCCTGTGTCTGTTTCATAATGTCAATCTAATAGGCAAGTAGGTAATCAGAGCCTCCAGTGCTGACACACGCCGTCGACTTTTTGGGTTTAGTTTAATTATGTGTCCATAGTTTTGGTTGGATTTTTTTATAGGACAATAGGAAAACAGGCAGGAGGCTCATCTGATGATAAGTGATACCGCCGTACCCATGGACACTCACATTGCCAGAGGGCTCACGAGTGCGTTGCCGGCCTTCGGAAATACTTCACTGGGCAGCTGGTTCCACATAGCGGTGGTGCGCGGCAAAAATTGCCTGGTTAAAAGGACTTATTTAATAACACAAATAAGTCCTTACTTCATGATTATACCAGTTAAATGTCATGAGTCTAAGAATAAAAAAAAAAATGTTTTTTTGACATGTCATATCATTGTACACGAAATGTCACTTTTAACTCACCGAGTCCCTTGAAAAGTGGGCGCCCATAGCCAAGTACTGGATAGAAGCAGAGACCTCCATTTGAATCTGCTTTCGAACACTATCCCTGCACCCACGGGACATGGTGATCCATTGTTTTGGTACGTTTACTGGATCCACGTTACCTGCAATAACATTTTTGGTTTAGACTTGTTCACAAGTTGATCAAGACGACGCAAATAAAGTCTCTTTCCTATTTTTGATGAAGTCTAACGCCCGAACACAATAATCAATCCACAATCTCAGATTGAAAAACATCTGAGATCAGACCGTGACAGTCGATCGATCTCCTATCTGCATCCCAATAACCAAACCCTACGAAGACAATCCATTTTTGGCGACGGATAAAATGCTCTTTGTCGTTCCATTTTACCGAGTTTTCACTCATATTTGATAATCAATGTAATGTAAACCAAATAAAGTAAATTAAAACCGTACAAATAACATTAAAATATACATGTGTATGTTTAAAACATATCAAACACTTTTTTTTAATTATTTAAAAAACTGGTGTAAGTTAAAATCTGTTAAAATAATTAACTATTGAAATCGAGCTTTCGTCAACTCATTTTCATACAAAGTCTATCCACAGACACCGATACGACCTCCCATGGATAGCTTGTATCTACAGATGGCAGATTACATACCGTCGATTGGTTATTGGCACAGTTCTTACCACATTTGGCTACTATCTCAGATGGTGGATTATGGATTGAGATATGTTATTGGGTTCGGACGTAAATGATTTCATGTGTTTACAGAGACACCTTGTCGGGAAAACTCGAAAAGCACTAATATTAAGCCTTTATTGCTGATACCCAGAATAATATAACAACACTTATTAAAGTGAAACTGTGAAAAAAAAGTGAAACTTTTTTAGGCGCATGAGGGTAAATTTTTTACGGAACGTCACGAAGATGTGCAGCGTTTTTGTCGAAGAAAAGGGAGAGAGCGATTGAGACCGATACATATCATTATTATTTTATTTAGTAACTGAATTACCATTTTTGTTGGTTTTGTATTTTTATAAGGGCACAGAACCCAGACCTTTTTTATTTCAGAAAATGTGGACATAAGTTAGCAATTATGATAATAATGAATTTGTTATATCATTTGGTTATTGTTACCATATTTATCCTGGTTTTTAATTAGCCTTATTATTCATTAATATAGAAAGACTGGCAAAATTAAATTATGGGATTTGGGCAGCTTAATTACTTAATAATTAATTTACAAAGTTTCACTTCCGACATGTGTACTTTATATGAACGCAGTTTTCTTATTTTAGACTGCCTTGAGTAATAACTAACTTTTTTTGAAAATTCTTTTGTGCACAATGTTAGTAATCCTCGTTAACCTAATTTTACATAAAAAAAAAAAAAAAAAAAAAAAAAAAAAATTTCAAACGGAAGGAAAGGGAAATTAAAAAAAAAAAAAAAAAATTAAAAAAAAATTAAAAAAAAAAAAGGGGGAAAAAAAAAAAAAGGTTAAAAAAAGGGGTAAAAATATAAAAAAAAAAAATACCATCGGCAAAAAATAGTGTTTTACTAATTTTACATTCCTGAAATAGATCGCAACAACCATAAAGATAGTTGTAGTAATTATACCAAATAATCTTACAAAATGCGATAGTTTAAAAACAAATAAAGAGTGGTAATAGATTATCACATCGTCGGTAATTATTTAGGGAGCGTTCAAAGTATTACGTAACGCAATTTTAGGAGATTATTGACCCCCCCCCATGTTACTCGTCGTAACGTTTTTCAGTACCCAAGTATAGTAAAACGTGACCAACTAGTGACTCTTTAGATATTTTCATCCTGCAGAAGAGGGCTATTCGTGCAATCTATAATTTAAAATGTAGGGAATCTCTTAGAGATAAATTCAAGGAAATTAATATACTTACCTTTCCCTCGCAATATATTTATGAAAATATTATGTATGTATACAAAATAGTGATAAGTTTACTAGAATAGAACATACGCACAATGTCAGACTTCAGACCTCGTATGTATCTCTATCTTCTTCTCTTACTGAGGTTTCTATTTAGTTTTCACTGTTTTCCTATCTTTTAATTTATGTGCATATGTATAAAATGCGTCATATTTTCTTGTATGTTGCATATTTGAGGTCAATAAATTCCAATATCTCAAATTACGATCTCGGCTTGAAAAGAAAAAGAAATACTCTAACTGGTCCAGCAAAGAATTTATCTTAATTGAATATTTCGAAGATACTAATTCTAAATTCAAAAATATGTACTACCATTTTTATACCTCGAACTTTTCAAAAAACATTCCAAATTCAAATTGGATAATGCGCTATTAGTCCCTTTTACTTATGCACTAATATATTTGACATTGACATTTTCTTACCACAGATAACAATTCATTAAGGTTAAGTGCATGTTATTTTCCTATAGATAAATACGGCTTATATAACTATTTTTGTTGTTGTTGCGTTTGCCAGCGAAAAATTTCTTCACAATTATGCACACCCCTACTGCATTGGATACACATCCATACTGGATTATCGGCGAAAATTTTTGTAGGTAAAAAACAGATGGTCGAAACTGCCTAAGAACAATTGTCAATATGTACTTGTCCCATGTCCAACGGGCCTCCCCCTTAATATTAATATCTAATATGTACAAAGTACCTACAACTTAGTTAATGCGACGTTGCCAAGTTTCACTGAACTTTGATCTCAATATATTATCAGAATAACTAATTGCATGCAAATGATATGTCGTCATCAGACCTGTGTACTTTTTCATAATCCCAATCCAGAACATGATTCTTAATTTAAAAATAGTTGTAACCTATAAAAACTAATTATTCTAAAATCAAAAATGGAAATATATTATTCAAATTATATTTCGGCCAATTGACTTGTATCCAGGTCATATAACAAAAAAATCATATTCTATGTTTCTACAATGGAATAGCTTTCCATAATCACGCATTACTGTTGACACTTTAAAAACTGATACAATAACTATTTAGTACATTTTAAAATGTAATATTGTATCAATTTTACGGAAGAATGGTTATCTATTCTAGAATGTATTTCCATTTTCAAAAACCTTCAAAGCCAATGATTCTAAATATCTATAAGCCATGGATTTACTTATCTAATCAATGTCATGTATTTGATAAAAATAATCTAGATAAAGGTGAACGTACCATCTTTGTAGCCTCGGTAGACAAAGAAAATAAATATTATTAGATGACAACAATGTAATGTAATTAAAAATAGATTTTTTTATTACAGTACAATACTTAAGTATGTAAGACATATTTAAGGTCTACAGAATTGTCAATTTATGTACAGCTGTTTTTTAGTTAAATTGTAGTAATATCAATTTCCTTCTACACAAACCTTTACAAGAGCCCTTTTGGTCTCTGTTAGTTACATTGTTTATTTAGGTCAAAATAATGTAATCTATTACTGTAGAAACTTCATTATAAAGGATATGTGAGATTTCACTATTCATGTGTGAGGGCATAACTTAATAATAGTAAGTCTCACTGGGAATTGAACCCAGGTAATTCATAAATAGAAACTAGATTGATAAATTTTGATGAATACATGTATATCTCAACTCATGTTTATCAGATTTACAAATTACATTACAGATTACAATTTTAATTTATTTATTTCATTTATAAGAGTAGCTCAGTGGTTTTATCCTTGTCTTTATTTATCAATCAAATAATTTTTAACAGTGTTTATTTATTTATTTTTCTTACTAGTGTCTATTCAAAATTACATTATATAAGCTAGTTTAATTTATTCAAGTTGAGAAATTTCCTTAATACTGCTAAAAATTAAAAATGCTTGCATTTACAGATAACGAGTGTAGATAGTTAAGCATTATCTAACCTAATCGAGGCAGCTTGATTTGTGGCCGTAAACAAATTACATATATTTAATCAGCAGCAAAAGGAAAGCATCAGAAATGATCTTATTTAACCATAAAAAATCCTAATTCGCAATACAGATTCTAAAAAAAACGACACAATTAAGTTAGCTTTTTTTGAAAAAAATTTGACGTTGACACAAGTAACCTTGAATATTAATTTGTTTTGTATCAAATCAATGTACATAAACTTTAATACCTTAACAAATTTTTAATCAACATTTCCACAATGAATACCTACTTTAAACGCAGCATGGAAACGAATATTTTTTGTCCTTTGTTCGAATTACAAATTAGCAAAAGGTTTGATAAAGGAACTAGGAAAGCGTATTTGTATTGTACTTATTAGTTAACCATCGGCAATCTATATAAAAAAGGAAAGAAACTTACATTGTGTGGCGTAAGCAGCTGAGCAGACCGCCAGGAAGAAAGCCAGGGATAGGATCTTCATTTTGTCTATATCACAGATATTTTGACGATTATTATAATTATAAATTGACGACGCAAAGGTACACTGTCGTTTGAGAAGTGCCTTTACACTCACTGGCGCAGAAGGCTACTTATCAAATCGAAAAACAAAAACTATTTAGCGTTTATATGTCTCCGATTACTAAAACTGCGCAGTGATAATGAATAAAATCATATTGACAAGTAGTTCGGAAACACAATGACACACGACGATAAAAAGAGATAGAAGATTCGAGGGCGTCGAGGTTTTGTGTTCCAAGGGAATTCGAGGTTTATTTCTTGGAATTAAAACTTACTGGAAGCTGCAATGGTAGTTTTTTGTATTATTTTCAACCTCTTTTATCTTCTCAATACTTAGAAACAAATAAAACTAACACAAGATCACACTTATGCTGTGTTGATGCAATATGAAGAAATTCCTTGAAACACAAAACCTCAACGCTCTTTGTATGGCTATCGGTGCGCGGGATAAGGGGAGAGGGGTATAGTGTTGCTACTGCTTTAGTTTCCGTATATTTTTGGTTAAAAAAACGCAAACTTATCCTCCATAAACTCTTGCGAATTCTAAAAACAGATTTATTTATGCTTCAGGTAGTGCTCGAACCAAATTTTGTTTCATTAATTTAAATTAGTATTAAAACTATTCCGAGTTGAATGTAGAAAAAAGCTAAATATAATTACTGCATTGGTCACCCCAGAACAAGTAGCCAACTTCATCCACTATTTGGAATTATATTTGCTGTCAGCCGATCATACGCGGAAAATATTGATAAGTCATTCTATAAAATATTTTGTTTTGTCCCAGTAGGACACGAGTTAGATCATTATTCTTTGTCGAAGTCGCCTTCTGCGCCAGTGTGTGTAAAGGCTGCACTTTCGACGGTTTACCAGCGCTTTTCTCCTGTTATTCAAATCAATTACGCATTAATTTGGTAAGTTTTTATTTTGTTACTTACTTCCAAATTGCAAATCGTACATCAAGATCGTTCTATTTTTGATGATTTTTTTCTATTTGAGTTGGTATTAAAGCTTAAATTAGACTTTTGTTTTTTTGTCACGGGCATTCATAAATAATTTTGTTTGACCTGCCTTATCATTATTTTACTATTTAACAGATTGTATAGACAATTATTATATCACTTTATCAACTAATTAATCAGTGTTATTCGGCTTAATAACACCAATACGAGTTGTATTTGTTTTATCAATGATAAGATTTATGACTACATGATTATACAGTCACAGATTGATAGAATTTTATGGATTAGACAAATTATCTTTTTTATTGTTTATTTTAGCAATATGAAGGTCATCGCCGTGGCTATTTCCTGCCTCCTGGCTCTATCTGCTGTTTCAGCTGATACATGCTTCAGTGATGTATCTATGGACTGCAGTCAAGCTTCTAACAGTCTTGGTAGGTGATTTTTTAATATATTTTTTTTGTTTTGTTTAAAAAAAGGTTCAATAAACCTTTTCAAACAGCCAGTGTATTGTGAGTTTGATATATATATAGTAGACAGTCTTAACTAATTATAGTCTATATAGAATGTACTACAAACAGAAAAACACCCAGTTTGTGTGTGTTTTTATTGTATATTATATTATTCTGATTAAAGTACATCCTGAATGATTTTGAGAATACTTAGTACAAAGGGCAGATATTTTTACTGTCTGGCTACTGATTGTTTGTAAGTTGGTGCCTTAGTACCTTCTGTTAACAATTATAATTTTGCCTGACCCTAAATAATATCAGTATGGAAAAGATTATTCAACAAAGACTTACAGGAAAATCTTTATGTCTTGTGAAATGTATAGATTATTGATTTATACCTACTATTTTATCTTTGACGATAAAGCTGTGTCACAGAGATAATGTCATTACATTATCATATTATATATATCTTTGTCCTTTACAGACATACTTATGTATCCATAAATTTCCAAAACCATCTTCATTAAAAATTTTAATTATGAATTATGTTTTTTTTTTAATGGCTTTTATTTGTGCCAACTGGGCACAAGGTACTTCGCCAGTGTCGTGTAGATGGAAAAGGCACGAAGGAGATTGAGCGGTGAAAATAATAATTAAAAAAAAAGGTTAAAATTTGATTGTTAGTTTTAAGACAGCATAGACAACACAAATATGAGTAATAACATTATTAAATACCTACTATTTCCTATTCACGAATAATTTATATACATTACACTTTAATTTTATTGCTTTCTATACTAATTTACATAAAAATCTACAATATGGACTAAACACAAACATTTAACACTTAAAGGACGGGGGACTAATTATGGTTTGATTCCTGGTGAAATTCAGAAAGTTTTAATGCATAAGTCAATGTCAAATCATTTATTTCAATTAGACCACCTAAAATGGCACCACGTTTAACGTCAAATAAAATATAAAGAAGATTCTAGTTTCCCCTTACAAAAGGTAGTTTTGTGTGGAGAAGAATGGGCAAGAACCTCCACACTTACTCTTTTAAAATAGGTTTACAATATTTTGTTTACATTTGTTAAATAATTATATGTGAAGACAATGTACTCTTAGAATAAAACTACTATACTCATAATGTTAGTATATATCGATGCCTCCAATTAACACTACTCTAACTCAAAAAATTGAAAATTTCGTTTTTCACGTAATTTGATTAACTATTTTATAAGGATTAAGTCCACCAAATTTTGTAAAAATATCACGAGAAACAAAAAAGTTTTGAGATTTACATAACGCTAAGTATATGTACTACAGCAATCGTGTGGTAGACAAACCACTATCTCATTATAGCGGAGTGTATGCTGCACGCACGGCGGCGGCCCGCGAGATATATTCCGCCAACTAGGATTGGCGGGGTGAAGCGCGGGGAATTCCCGCCGTTCGTTAGTTTATGTTTACTCTATTGACAGTTAGCGGTGTATCGTCCGTTTGTGCACTTTTTATGTGTTAATTAGCTAATAGCGTAGTGAAAATACATACTAAATACGTCAATGCTTAATATTTACTTATAAGTTTGTGTTTCGCTTATTTAAAATAATGTCTCGGAATCGGGCAAGACGTTTGGTCGGATTGTGTAAAGAAGACACCGCTCAGCTGATAATTAATGATGACAATATAATATTAAATTACGACGATATGGAAGATTGTAATCATGAAAGAGGTAAGTAGAGTTTAATGAACCTATTAAGCTTAAAATCATCTGGAATCATTTTATTTACATAGTATAATAATGATTGAAGTACTTTTTATAAAATTCGAACGTCACTCCTTTATTTCAAGTTGGCGGTTTGTATTCCGGTTGCGGTTGTTTTTAGCGCGCTTAGCGGGGTATACGAAGATGAAATTCATGGAAATTTATGTTGAAATACTAACCGAATTTTGATTTACACAATGTAAAGATAACAATTACTATAGATTTATAAAAAAAAATCTTGAGCGACCGAAGTTTTGTACGGAACTTGTTACTTGAGCGGCTTTTTTACATTTAGAATAGTTTCAAAGGCCAAAAATATATTTTTTTATTTATTTTTTACAGAGTCGTCTCCATTGCGTGATAATGGCGAAATAACACCAGAATTCATGGCTTTGTTTGAGGATGTATTTCAAAAACCTATTGACCAAAACGAGTATTTATTTTCAAGACCACTTATCTCACCAGCTCACTCGACCCGTAGTCAGATCATAAAGGACGTGAACATACACACCGCAACGGGAGTCGATTCACCGATGAACCCTTATTCTCCTAATTTAGTTTCTATTATTCAAAAAACCATCTCCGATAACACTGACTCCACAGTCCGTTGAACCCGCTTTCCTTGTAGCGTAGAAAACTATGAACCAGACAACAACGAAGACTTAACAAAATCCCTCATTTCATGTGGCGCAGAAAATTGTGAACATGATAATGAAGGTGGAGTACCTGCCTTCACCTTATTATAACTTTAGTGATTGTTCTGACAAAGTTGATAACACTTTAGTGCAGTCGACAACTGTTAAAGATTTAACGCTAATACAGGGAAATGGTTCCGAAGAAGATTTATCAACTGACACACCTCTGCGTACTATTTCAAATGAACAAAATTCAGAGTTAGATGTGAATCCTCTTTCTGTTGCTACGACTTTGATATCCAATGAATCCTTTTATTTAGGAAGTGAGACCAGTACCCCAAACAGTAAAAGAAAATCAAAGAAAAGATCTGACGCGGGGCGTAAGCGCAACATATACATATGTAGAAGACTGGGTAACTACAAAAAGAAAACGTTTATGTAATTTGGGACAGGAATATATTTCTAGAAGAGGGTCTGTAAAAAAAGCAAGACAGATGAAAGGAAGTTGTACTAACAGTTGTCATTTGAATTGTTATATGACTTTCACTGAAGAAATACGCTCAGGATTATTTTATAACTTCTGGGGTACCGGGAATCATGTGACACAATGGCAAATTATATCTAAATATGTTTTTAAGAAAAGTAAAAAATCTTGTACGAATCTGGAAAATGTTAACGTTCGCCGATTACACACTTTGCATTACCATCTTCCAATGAAATCACATGATAACAAAGTAGCATTAAAAAAAGTATATAAAACGATGTTCCTGAATACTTTTTCCATAAGTAACGATTTTGTTTATACTGCCCTACAAAAAAAACATGAATCAACTGATTTTAATAATTTTATTGATGGCAGAGGTCGCCATAAACATCACCGTAGAGTAGTTACAGACGAAATGAAACAAAACGTTTTAGATCATGTTAATTCTTTTGCACCGATGGAATCACACTATGTTAGAAAAAATTCAAGCATCAAATATTTAGATCCCTCATTATCATTTTCAAAAATATTTAACATGTATTTAGAATGGTGTCCAGAAAATGGTCATAATAGTAAAGTGCAGACTGTAAGGCAATATAAAGATATAGTAAATGATAACTTGTTAAAGGCAATATAAAGATATAGTAAATGATAACTTGTTAATGTAATTTAATAAATGTATAGATTGTGGAGTCTTTCCAGACCAGATGAAGATAAGTAAAATCACACCGTTATTCAAAACGGGCAGCTCTTCGGACCCCACAAATTTTAGACCCATATCTGTGCTGCCGGCTTTGAGTAAAATCTTTGAAAAAATCATTCTTGAACAATTATTGATACATTTTAATAATAATAAAATTATGCATAGCCAGCAGTATGGTTTTACAAGAGGTCGCTCCACAGCAGATGCTGGCATTCAATTAATTTCCGAGATTTTAAATGCTTGGGAAAATTCTCATGATGCCATTGGAGTTTTTTGCGACTTATCAAAGGCTTTTGACTGTGTCCATCACGAAATCCTAATCAAGAAACTTCAACACTATGGCATTGGCGAAAAAGCGCTAAATCTTGTGGAATCATACCTGAGCGATAGAATTCAAAAGGTAAATGTAAATGGAGCTATATCACAGGGATCCTCTGTTACTATGGGAGTACCGCAAGGCTCCATACTTGGTCCCTTCTTATTCCTCGTCTATATAAATGACCTGCCATTTCTTGTAAAGGAGCTTCACGAGATAGTACTGTTTGCTGATGACACTTCGCTTTTATTTAAAGTGAAACGACAAAATCCATCACTTGATAACGTAAACAGTGCCATCTCCAGTGTAGTTCACTGGTTTAATACAAATAATATTAAGTTAAACGAAAAGAAGACAAAATGTGTTAAATTTGTAACTACAAATTAATGTAAAAAGTAGTCATTCTCAAATAATAATTAAAGACGAGGAAATAGACTTTGTTGATAGTGCAGTATTCTTGGGAATTACTTTAGATAGTAAACTCCAGTGGGGCCGACACATAGAAGGTCTTTCGAATAGGCTAAGTTCCGCAGCGTTCGCTGTAAAAAAGATACGCGTTCTTACGGATGAGAACACAGCAAAGCTTGTTTATTTCAGCTATTTTCATAGTATTATGTCATATGGTGTTATTTTGTGGGGTAATGCAGCTGACATTAAATCGATATTTGTAGTGCAAAAGCGGGCTATAAGAGCGATCTGTGGGTTATCCCCACGGGAGTCGGTCCGAAGCAAATTTAAGGAATTACATATTTTGACTCTGGCAAGTCAATACATTTATGAGAATATTTTGTATGTGCGGAAAAATATAGATATCTTTAAAAAGAATAGTAGCTTCCATAATTATAGTACTCGTAATAAAGACAAAATTAGCGCACCAACCAGAAGGCTGCATAAAACGAGTAATTCTTTCCAAGGCAATTGTATACGTTTTTTCAACAAAATCCCTAGTGAGATACAAGCGTTGTCAATAAATAAATTTAAATCGTACATTAAAGTAAAACTGCTGGCTAAGGCTTATTATAATATAAATGAATATTTAAACGATCCTAGTGCTTGGATATGAGTTGCTCCAGTATATATTATAGGTAACACGACTGAATCTCTCGGCTGCATTTCCAGACTCTGGGGTGATCGTCAACATCCACGACTGTTTTAATGTAAAGTGGGAACAAACCGTGATCCATGTGGTATCCAATTATTTCAGTATTATTATTATTTTCTTATGTAGCCAAGTCCACATTTCAAGGATCGTCATGCTCGCTTAAATGTCATTGCTTGTGGCGGCTTCCATGCGTCGGGTTGTCTCTCTCCCTAAAATATGGCGAGGGGGCCGATGGCTGGCCATGCGTCATACTCGTGAACGGGTGCTACTTGTGGTGACTGGTCGTACTTGAATTCGTGTATGCGGTGATGTTAATTATTTCGACTATGTGTTTGCGTGTTGTTCCCACGAGAATGTAAGTGCGTGCTCCTATTTCACCATGCCTCCTGCTGATAGGGGACAAGTCTTTGTTTTTATTTATGTTATTATTATTAATTACTTAAAATGTCATGTGGAACATGGTGTAATGGTTGCAGCTCCTTACAAACGTTGTGTAAAAAAAAAAAAAAAACATGGCGATTAAAAAGAGTGGCGGAGAGTTTATTGCCAGTTCTTCTCTTCCGTTCTACGCCCTTGATTTGAGAACTGGCAGTAAATGTAAAATTAGAAGCATGAATATTTATTTCTTTAATGACGAATCACAAGTGTACATTGTGTTACCTACGTGAATAAATGATTTTTTGAATTTGAATTTGAATTTAACATGAAGATTGGCTTTCATGTTCCTAAAAAAGATCAATGTGACCTCTGCCATCAATTTAAGAACACGCCTGCAGTTTCTGACGAGCAACTCCAAATATACGAAAAACATCAGAAGGAGAAGGAATATGCTCGAATGTTAAAGCTGGAAAACAAATTAAAAGCTGGTAATGACAACAAAAAAGCATGCATTGTTTTCGATTTCCAGAAAGTGTTAAGCGCACCGCATGGAAATATCAGTAGTTATTATTATAAGCGAAAACTTAATGTGTATAATTTTACTGTATACGATATGGCATCCAAAGAAGGATATTGCTATATGTGGGATGAACAGATTGCAAAAAGAGGGCCTAATGAGGTAGCAAGTTGTCTTTACGATTTTATGTGCAAATTGGCTTCAAAAGGAGTGACTGAAGTTTATTTGTGGTCAGACAATTGCGGCGGTCAAAACCGTAACCGTATAGTTTTTTACATGTACTTGTTGGCTGCGAGTAAACTGAAAATTAAAGTTTGCCATCGGTTCATGGAAAAAGGTCACACGCAAAATGAAGGCGATTCGGTTCATGCCTTGATTGAAAAATCGGCGAAAGGTAAAGAGATTTATTCGCCAGATGAGTGGTATTCGTTAGTTCGATGGGCCAAAACAAACGGAAAGCCTTATACTGTTATAGAGGTTAAGCAAGATATGATTCTAGACTTTAAAAAAGGCATTGTTGCAAAAAATTGGACCAAGAACTTTAGTAAAGTTAAAGTTTCTTCGAATAAAATAAAAGAGATCGAAGCTTCTCCAGAGAGTGAAGGAGTTCTGAGTTATAAATATAGCTTAGGTGATGAAGAAAGGCAACAGATTGAATGCTTCAAAAAATTGGGTACTAGACGGGGTCGTGTGGAGCCTTTGCCACAAAAGGCATATGAAAATGTTTTGCTAATTAACAAAGCTAAATACAAGGATTTAGTATATTTTTGTAATAATAACATAGTCCCTCAAAAATATCACAATTTTTATAAGAATTTGTCAGTAACAGATGTTCAAGAAACAGACAAAAGTGACGAAGATTAACACATTTTAAAATAGTTTTATTTGTAATTTTTTGATAAAAACAGTTATTTTTCTAATAATTACTTGTAGTTACGTAAATAATTAAAGTTTGAACTGAACTTCTAATTGTTATTTTATAATTATAATAGTACAACATGTCAATGGCTTGTTGCTTGAACTCAACATCTCTTTATATAAAGTTCCTACTGTGATTTATTGTATAAGAATATTCATTTCTAGAAGTTTTAAGTTAAATTAATAATTATATTCGTACCCCAGTACGTACTGTGTTATAAAGACATTTATAAATATTTATATTTAAAATAAATAAATATCTATTTAAATGAAACTGTTTCCATAATATTTATACATTCCCGCTACATAATTAGAATAAAATTTTAACAATGTTTCTCAGAAGTATTATAATTATTAGGTACACGTTTTAATTGTCTATTTAAAAACAAAAGTAGTTGGATAAAATCCTGTTATTCTTTGATTTCTACTAATAGAAAACGCTAAGTCCATGCACACTATGAGTTACATTACGCTATATAGTTATTAGCAGCTTGTAACACGGCAGAAGATTTTCTTGTTATTCCAAACTACAAAACTCCAACTTCTATAAATTGATATAAATCGGTGTTATTAGGAGAAAATATTGGATAAAATAATGTAAATAAGTTACAAATTAGATTTTTGACATAACTAATATATTGTTTTTTATTATTCCAAGGATTTCATTTATTTTTCTGTATTATCTTACATATCCTCATTTACTCCACCAACTGTGAGTTAGCGGAATGTATTCGCATCGTGAACTAGAGTTTTACCTGTTACATTCCGCTAACTGGTGCTAACTTTAAAACCAAAAAGATTTACGAAATTTTATTAATGGGGTTTGAAGCAAGAGTAAATCACATTCACATTCACATAAAAAAATCATAAATATGTCTGTAATAATAAAGATTTTATCAAGTTTTTCTTTCAATTGCTTCTCCTGTAAAACCTACGAATTTGGAGTTAGAGTAGTGTTAATTGGAGGCATCGACATGTTCCTCACATATTTACAAATATCGAAACCGTATAATATTATACATTAAAGAGTAATAAAAATAATATTAAAAAAAACACAATAAAACAGTGTGTGAGATAAAATAAAACAATTATTATAATTAATATTTTGTAGTATTATAAATTAAAAATAATATAAATTAAGCATAATTAAAGTTACAAATTTGATAACTTTATTGCTGTATTGGGAAATAATTAACTTAATTTGGACAACAAAGATTTACTAATTGGTTAACTATTTGACGAACCTAACATTGTTTCATCTTATGTTTTTACAATATGTGCTCCGATATATCAATATGAAATATTTTAAGTTTTTTCAGGACTACCAAGCTGTAACGCCATCTATGGCCACTTCAGTCGCCAAGGGAATGTAGCAAGCGAGTTGCAAGCATATGCCAACTTGCACCTCCGTAGATCTTATGAATATCTACTTTCTGCTGCTTATTACAACAACTACCAGACAAACAGAATGGGATTTAGCAAGTTGTTCACCAAACTTTCAGATGACACTTGGGACAAGACCATTGAACTTATCAAGCATATTACAAAGAGAGGTGAGTGAACTTGATTAGTACTATAGCAGTTTACTGGCACATAATACTTTAAAAGGTTACATTAGTCCCGCTACACCTAGGCTTCATACCATTTTTCTTATTTGAAATTTAAAATCATTTATTCATTTTGGTAACACAATGTACACTTATGAACGTCAAAAAAAATACAAATTAAATGCTTCTGATTTTACATTTGATTTTAATTAAATACGATTGTGACATTAAGTACTGTCATCATAATTGCTTTAAGATGAACAGGATGCAGGTCCTTAGGGAGCGTTCAAGTATTACGTCACGCCATACATAAACATATAGAAACATATATTTGACGACTCATTGGTCTAGTGGTTAGTACCCCTGACTTCGAAACCATGGGTCCCGGGTTCGATCCCCGGCTGAGACGAACATCGATGTGATGAGCATTTTATGTTGTGCTTAGGTTTGGGTGTTTAAATATGTATTTATATGTTTATCTATCTATAATATGTATTATATCCGTTTGCCTAGTACCCATAACACAAGCCTCACCAGCTTAGCATGGGACTAGGTCAATTGGTGTGAATTGTCTTTAAAAAAAAAAAAAAAATATATATAAAGACTGCATCACTCTTAAAACACCAATTGTTTAATGTATGTAAGGGAGCGTTCAAGTATTATTAGTTACGATGCGGGGCGGGGATTGAATTACGCGTTATTGTTAATATTATTTTCGACTTTCCAGTACTTTACACCACATAATGGTAACTTTTAGGTACAACAAGTTTTAGTAGTTTAAATAATTTTTTGAGACTACCCTGAGTTTTATATTAGATTTTTGAATATAGAACTTTCAGTTTTACATTCTGGAAATAGTATATATTTTAATTGACTGAGCCCTATTTGATGGTCAGGTGGCACCATGGACTTCGCTCGTCGCAGCACCCAAGAGACGATTACCGCAGCAAAGAACAGCACCATCGAACTCCAAGAATTGGAATCCTTAGCTCACGCTTTGGACACGCAGAAGGAAATCGCTGAACGTGCCTTCTTCATCCACCAGGAAGCCACCAGGAACAACCACAAGACACATGACCCAGAGGTAAGATTCCCCATCAAGTCCTGGTATTCAGGATCTTATTTATATCAATATTTTTTAGATATTCCTACCAATGCTAATGCTTATTAGCTTGATATCTTAAATGGACACAGAAAATTTTCAAATTCATATCAGTTAAAAATACCCGAACGGTAGCTTTATTAAAAAAAATGGTGCGTGTACTTATGTATGTACGCGCGTAAGAAATTATACTTCTTTGGCTTTCTTTATTTTTTTAAAATATTAAATAATTAATATTAAATATTTAGCGTTAATAATTTAACAATATTTAATATTTAGTATATTATTCAATTATTAATTTATATTAATTATAAGTATTATTTATTATTTTATTATATTATTAATTCAATTTAATAACTAGGCATGTTTCATAACCTTTTAACTAAGTCACAATAGGTCTTTGTGAAAAAGCATTGCTAAATTTCTTTGAAAAAATAATTAAAACTCCTTTATTTGTTTAAAACGTACTACAAATGTCATTATGGTCATTCAAAATTCTTGGCATAGCTGCTAACGTCACGCATATTCTATTTCTTTTTACTTGTAGATTGTCTTATTCCCATCTCGCTCGCGCCCGCTCGGCGCCCATACTGATAATTTTGTGTCACGGTGCGCGCGCATCGTAAAATTTCACTCTCATAAATTTTTCATAACGCGCCTAAAGAAGTATAACTTCAAAAAACGTGTGTGTACTTATGTACATGCGTTGGAACTTTTATTTATTTATTTATTACAGAAATACATACATTTATCCTTACAAACTATGCCAATACGATAATGTCGAGAAACATTAACATAGGTACATATATAATATTAAACACATAATATACACAATATCGCTACTGTGAATTCACTTTGCGAACATATAAATATGTCGATAGTTATAATATACTTCTTTGGCGTAATAATTCCCTTCGAGCACTTTATAGGGACGTTTCCCTCTTCGAATTGCATTTTTCTTGTCCATTTTAATTATCACTTCAAATCGAAACGATATGTACTTATCATGATATTTTACAATAAACACTATGTTTTTTATCACATTGGAACGGGTTTTCTATCAAACACGACTCTGAAATACACTACGCCATGACAGATGCAACTTGTCGATAAAACAGAGCAAGCGCCAACTAGCGGCCCAGACTGTTTTACCGACGTTTGAACTCTCATCATTTTCCCTAAAAAGAAGTATAACTTCAAAAGTATTGATTTTTTAACATTTATTGTGAAGTCCAAAATTTTAATTAATTTTACAATTGCATACATATGTATAACTATACATGGTTTAATAGATGTCCATGTAATGGGAAGCAAAGGGTTTCCGCTACTTTTCATGTATTAACTGTTTTTACTCAATTTATTAAGTAGATATAGGAGGATATACTTGTAATAGTAGAAATGGGTTATAACTTTTGTATCGACAATATTATTAACAAGAATACTTTATTTATTAAAGTTCACCACTTCATAATATACAGTATATGTCACAAGCTATCTATTCTAAAATATATGACAAATATGATAAGCAAAAAATATAATAAAAATATTACCCTTCCAATTTTAGATTTTACTAGTAAATCTTGCTTATCAAGAGAGGCTCTTAAGGACCTATCCGTTCGCCAAACTCCAAAAAATTACATTGTTTCTTTCCATTTTTCGTCATCGTTTCTTGAAGTAGGGCGAATGGAAATAATATATGGTGGAGTTGAGTATATGTATCCATTTTGAAAGATCGATACACGATTTAAATAACTTCGCTTGATAGAAAAAAAATCCAAACATAGCCAATTTTTGACACTGAATTCATTTTATGCCGAAATGTATATAGAACATGATTTTGAAATTTACACGATATATTCTATCGCAAGCCAAGTAATCCATTTCAGAAAAAAAATTGATAAAATTACATTAATATAATGTTTTACATAACTAATTGTTATTACGGGCCGGTGCGCCTCAGTGCTCCAGCTTTCCACTGCGCCCCGCAGGCCACCCCGAGACACTGACACAGCAATTCGTGCTGGGAAGTCTTGAAGTATTTTAACGGACGTCCAAAACCTAAAAGTGTATATTTCTTACAGATTGCACAGTACTTAGAAGAAGAATTCATTGAAGACCAAGCAGAGACAATTAGGAAACTTGCGGGACACACGTCCGACCTCAAGCAGTTCATTGTGCAGAATGACGGCAACGACTTGTCTATTGGCCTATATCTTTTTGACGAGTACCTTCAAAAGACCGTTTAAATATTTAATCTGTATAGCTTACTTTTGTTCCATTTTAACCTGTATTTTTTTTACTATTTAATCAAAATATTAATTGTTTAGCCTTCAAGTTTTAGGATTGTAGTGATAAACTATATTTAATTAACTTTAATTTTTGCTTAAGCAAAAATAGATAATAAATGTGATAGACTATCTGGTCAGCCATTTTTAAAATTACTGTAGCTCTGGCAACATTATATAGGTACAAATGCGGCTGTTATTTTAGTTCCATATTCAAATTGTATTTTTTTTTTCAAATAAATTCTAATTAGTCCAAACTGTTTTTTATTTCCCAATTTTTTTAATTCTTAGCAGGTCTTAATTAATTACACTATCTGGTCAATTTATTCTTGAAGCCTTAGGGAGCGTTCACGTATTACGTAACGCAATTTTTGGAGATTATTGACCCCACACGTAACTCACCGTAACGTTTTTCAGTACCCAAGTATAGTAAAACGTTTCGTGACCACCTAGTGACTCTTTAGTTACTATTATGTGGTGTATGTCGAAAAAAATATTAACAATAACGCGTAATTTAATCCCCGCCCCGCATTGTAACGTTTTACAAAAGGAGAAAAATTCGTTACGTAATACTTGAACGCTCCCTTATTGTATAATAACACCAGTAGGTACAATACTCGAATCAGAACAAATCTAAGCGTACGATCAACCACTGCTTATATGGAAATTGTATTCGTTTTTACAACAAGCTACCAAGCGAAATTAGAGAATTAACACTATAAATTCAAAACTCTCGTTAAACGAATTAAACAATAAAACTTTTTATAAATTTGAAAATTATTTAAATGATCCTAATCCTTGGGATTGACAAGCTCCAGTTCAAACAATTTGTATGTCTCAATACTTAGCGATTAAAAAGAGTGGCGGAGAGTTTCTTGCCCGCTCTATGCCCTTGACTTGCAAACTGGTAGTAAATTTAGAATCAATTTAACATCTTTTCTGTTGACGTTCATAAGTATACATGGATACCTATATGAATAAAGTTAGTTTGAGTTTGGGTATATAATATAATTAAGTAGACTACTAATTTAATATATATAATACTACAGGCGATTTAATTGTTAACCGTAATTTTGAATAGTCCTGTTAAAAGCCGCCAAGAAATTTAATTTACAAGTCTAATATTACAAATATAAAAATATTAATGAAGTTAGTTACATGGCGTAATATTTCCCGCCAAATAAGTTGGCGATTGGCCAAGGTCAATTCAAGGTTTCCTATCAAAACTACACGCCTGAACCACCCATATTTTAATATTCTATTACGTTAATAATTACATGATATTCGTGATAAGGCTGAAATACTGGAGTGTGTTGATTACATTAATTATTTATTCACAAAAATACATACCCAATACGATAATGTCAACATTAAATATGTAATATTAAATATCTAAGATATGTCGCAGTCAACGAGCTTAATTAGCCGTTCAATCAACAGCCAAGCCTCCTACCGAAAAGATATTTAGGCAATTGATCAAACAGCTGGATCTGGGATCGACTTGGATCGATGACGATTCATTACTTGCCTAGTCTGTTGACTGTTAATTTAAATTTAATTCCACTTTCTGCCAAACTCGAAACGAAACTCTTCAAACTGGTGTCGGCAAACCACAAGTGATGAAAAACAACAGGTACAATGGAAGAGTGTAGTGACAATAATAATGTGAATTTGACTCAAGCAATTTAATTTAAAAAAAAATTTTTTTTTCATATGTTTATCTTTTATATTTCTACCAAATAATGACTATCGTACGAATAGCCTAAGCATTAACCAGCCATTTATAAAATATTGTAACAAACGCTACGGCTGAATATCTCTCAGGCCGTTAGTTAAACAGCGCCGTTTAGTTAAAAGGCTAGGCTGCTAATTGAACGGCTAATTCAGCTAGTTGGCTGCGATACACAATATCGCTGTGAACTCACTTTGCGAAAATAAAAAGATGGCAATAGTCGGAACTCGAAGAGAGCATTTAGTTAGACGCAACGTTTTTGTTAACGGGGATATAGGCAGCGGCACGTAAGTCTAGCGCTGGTGTAGTCCAATGGATGAAGTTGGCGTCCGCACGCCACTTCGACAAGGCTAAACACCATCCCAACCCTTTGGTGCGTAAAAGCATCAACTATTATCCCTTCCCGCCGACAAAAAAGAGTCATAGGAGGCCCCGACACACACTAACGGATCCGGATGATCCAATTACCGTAGCAAACAATAAATTAAAAGCCGCCCGCGCGGCCAATAATAACAATCAAAGTATTCAGACACAGATTAGGGTTAAAAACCGCCTTCACCGGGGAAGGCGAGGACCTTTACTTCGCACTTCGCTCACTCCAGTGAGTTTCCGTCCTGCCCTTCAGGCGATCGACCACCCCGTGACGGCCCAAGCCGAGGTTCGAGTCTCACAGGAGACGCCCTTGCGCTAGTCGCGGGAAAAACGCTCATTCTGGTCGAGCTACGCTCGCCAAAACAGCCCGAGCTGAGCTGTCAAGGCCCTAAAGGCCAACAGCGAGATCCCTTTCAAAAAAAAAAAATCTAGCGCTGGCCGATACGTGGAGGGGATTGCTACGCATGTGTACTGTCGCGCGGGGTACGGAATGCGACTGGAGAGCCAATCGAAACTCTTCATTCCGCTAGCCCCCCTCAGGTACCTTATTTTTTACTTCTGCGCAATAACGATCAGCGCTAGAGTTTCGTGCCGCTACTTGTATGTGCAACAGACTATTTTTGAAAAAAAAATAGATGCGGTTCGGTAAAAAACTTAGGCTTAGCCGTCCCAGATATCCCCTAGGCACAAAAGACGCGAGTTCTTAGTTACGTGTCGTCTTGTTTCTATTTTATTGTAACCCACCATCGCCAAGATAAATATGCATTAATGAATTATTATTCACTACAGCCGAGCATGGCAAACCCACTAATCAAAATACTTGAAAAACAAAAGTAAATAATACTTCATAAACATTATAGCTTTACCGTAAACGCTTCTTTACGTCTAAAACAGTATTAAAATATTTGTTCGCTGATAAACCAAATTCAGCGTCATAAACGGCTTAAATCAAATTTCATAATTTAAATAACTTCGCATGCTATACAAGATGGCGGACGTTTATGATTTATTAGCTGTGACTTGATTAAATATTATATTTTAAATTGACGTGATGTTTGAGACAATATTTTATTCTTTACATTATTAAGTTAAAATTTCATCGGCATAAACTTGATGGCTGGAAGTCTTCCACGGTCAGCTTCTCAAGACATTTTTTTTGCGAACTATGGAATCGACTTCGGGTAGTACGGCCTCCAACTGTTTAAAAAAAACAGCGCCGACAACTGATAATTTAAATATTATTAATCGTTTAGAAAACACCAAAAAGTATGATCAAAACTTATAGTCATTGCATAAGTCATTAATTATTGTGATATCTTATCTGTGCCATCATTAGGATTGACACTTTGACATTATCTATACGTGCCGCAGACAATGTTTTCAGAGCTGTAATCTGTATTAAATGGCTTATTATTTGTAGATTACAAGACATCTCTCAATATTCTAATAGAAACATGGAGCCAAATTTTTAAAGAGAAACTTCTAGGCGCATGAGAGTAAAATTTTTACGGAACGTCACGAAAATGTGCAGCGTTTTTGTGGAAGAAAAGGGAGAGATCGATTGAGAGAGTGAGAAGAGCGAATTACCTTATAAAAATTCTAGTTTTAAAATTAAAATTTCGGAAAGAGAATTTATGAAATATTAGTAGATATTTTATATTTTATGCAAAATAATTTATTGAAATCTCAAATGACGATTGTAAATTAAAATGCCACGTGTTTTTATTATCGAAAAGATAAATTAAAAATATTAAATATATTATTTGTATTAATTATCAACACTTAATATTTTAATGACAATTTAATTCCATTAAATTCCTAACATATCTTCCATTTTCCCTCCCTCTTAAGTCTCGGAAATCTAAAGTTTTAGATTTGTATAAATATGAACAACTTTAAAAATTAGTTTGCAAATGAAGTTTCACTTCTGACATAATATTGTGTACTTTGTACGAACCCACCTTTTTTATTTAAAAGCTTCGATCCCCGTGGCAGTGTATCTTTAATATTTATCGTTCGCCAATTACTGGTACTCTGGACCCTAAATCACTTCGCATTGCCATCAGTCTTCGCTAAGGAGTACCCATATGTACTCCCCATAAGTGTCTATGTAGCTTTGAAGTACACCTTGGACACTATTGCCTTCATTGCCAAAACAGTGCAGGTCGTTCAGGCTGCTCGTTAAACAGCGCTGTTTAGTTAAAAAGAGGCGCTGTTAATTGAAAGGTTTATTAAGCTAGGCTGCGACAGATTAAAAAAAAGGAAAGGTTTTAAGATCCTTAGAGGTAAAATGTATAATGCGGAAATGTTGGAAAGACTGGGGCTGCGTGTACCAAAGCACCACACTCGGCGTGGTAAGAGGTCGCAATTGCTGGCAGTGCTTTGGGCGCGTACGAACTTACTCAGAGAAGCACCATTTACGCGTGTTTTGCGCACCCTGAGCACTATTGCTTGTGAGGCGGATATATCTAGTTGCAATAACTTCACAAGAATTGCATTATTTATAATTAGTTATAAAATGGTTTAGGTTTTCAAGTTTTTACTTGTTATGTTTATATTATGTTTAACGTTTTTTTTTTTTTATAGAACGGGGGGCAAACTGGCAGGAGGCTCACCTGATGTTAAGTGATACCGCCGCCCATGGACACTCTCAATGCCAGAGGGCTCACGAGTGCGTTGCGGGCCTTTTAAGAATTGGTACGCTCTTTTCTTGAAGGACCCTAAGTCGAATTGGTTTGGGAATACTTCAGTGGGCAGCTGGTTCCACATAGTGGTGATGCGCGGCAAAAACTGCCTTAGAAAACGCTCTGTTGTGGAACGTCGGACGTCGAGGTGATACGTTAGTTTTCTATTGTATTAGTATTAAGTTACTGTAAAAATAGGAAATAAGGAAACTAAATAAATAAATCTCTAAGGCAGGCTGGTTTCCTCACGATGTTTTCCTTCGTACGAGCGAATGTTAAATGCGCACATAGAAAGTCCATTGGTGTTCCTACAGGGAGTCTACTAGGCACTATTTTGTTGTTAATAAAAACAGAATTTTTATAAGAATTTATTAAACAGTATATCCAGATATATCGTAGCCCCACTTCAACATAGTTTTATCAACCCAGTTCCGGAAGAGTGACACTCGCGCGTATACAGCCGGTATGTTGTTCCCGCATCCGATGCCCCACGCAACTAAACCGGTTAATTTGAACCGGTTTTGTTGGAATGGACAAACGAGGGGCGCGCCGCCGTCACCCTGGAAAACAGAATTTTTTTATTGTTAGTTATGGGGTATAACTTGTAATTTTTTTTTTTTTTTTAATGGTTTTACAATATTTATTGTGTATAATTGACTTTGTTATTAAATTTATTCAAGTATTGACATAATTTTATTTACACAAATACAGTATTTACAATGTTCTTAACCTATAAAGTAATAATAAAAATAATTAAAGAAGAAAGAAGAAAATCAAAACAAATTTAAAAAGTTTGGTCCCTGTGGCAGTGTACCTTTAACGCTGGCAGCATTTCCTCGCTGTATTGCGAGACTTATTCTTTGAGCCAGGAAAGTGCCAGCTCTGTGGTCACCGGTACTATCTACCAGGCGCCAACTTAAATCTTTAATAAGCGCCTGTGCACTTGAACCCCACGGCCCAAGAGTCTCTACTCCAAAGGGAACAAAATTGAAGTTGGAGGAAAGACTCTTATATTTGTGCCGTTTGTTAATTTCTGCCTGTTCTGCGGCCGCGCCAGCTTTTTTGCTTGTCCGAAGGAGATGAGACGGGGCAAAGGTGTCTACACAGGTAGCATCCCATACTAAAGCCCGTCCCATTTTCCAAGGGATCAAAGACATTCCATCCGGCCGCTTGCCATCGTCTCTTGCGATGCCTGTTGTCTCCAAAATTGCTGGAACATTGACAGAGGCAAGAGAGCGGCGTATAAATGTCGTTTAGCGCGGCATGGCGAGAAAAACGACCTGCACTCTTTGGCCAGTGTAGGCCATGGTGTCCAAGGGCTCTACTTCAAAACCACAGGGACACTTATGGGGAGTACATATGGGCACTCCTAAGCGTAGGCTGATGGCAATTCGAAGTGATTCAGGGTCTAAAAGGGTGCCAGTGTTTGGCAAAGGATAAGCATTAAGCCAATGTCCAGCTTCCCTAGACCCCACAGCCATCAACCTTGCACGGTCTGTTATTGGAATGTGACCTAATAACTTTTTGAATTCACATTTGCAAAGAGGATCATCCCAGCTTCTTTGAAAGTTGACGCTAGAAGGCAAACTCAAACCTGGGTTGGATGCTATCCACGCGTTTCTTGCATCTGTTAAATCCGCAATCTCGTAGTTTGTAGAATAATATCTAAGGATTTTACCTACCAGACTGCTAGATTTGTGAGCAGATGAGAGAAACGCTGGAAGAGCTACACTTGTTATCTTGCGTACTCCTAATCCGCCAAAGCGAACAGGAAGCGATGCTTGATTCCAAGAAGGTGTATCAAAACGAACATTTAAAATAGATTCCAAAGAAGTTTTTAAAAGATTATCCAAATCACTTAAAAAAACTGAATGATTCCATAGAGGGCACAGCGAAGTACGTTAGTTAATTTGGGAATAAAAAAGGCAGAATTTTAAAATGAACAAAGCTGAGTGTGCTGTAATATCCACACTTGTAAATTAATTTATCAAAAATCAATATTTATTTGTGTCTTTCTTCATTGTATTAAATAAGCCGAATCGTTTATTCGAATTGAAAATGGTACAAAATAATAATAAAAAAAAGTGTGTGTACTTATGTACGTGCGTTAGAAGTTATACTTTGGTTATACTTTGGCGTAGCAAGATAAAAAATGTTTTCAAAATTTTTATCTTTCGCCTTATTCTACGTTTGTAGAAAAAATGACACTAACAATAGAAAAAACTAAAATGTTGACTATAGCTAACTTCAGGGTGTCGGTTTTCTGTGACGGTGTGCGCGCGCTTCTTAAAAATTTACGCGCCAAAAGAAGTATAAAATCAATAATAAAAACTGTATTCATGACAAATATGTGACAAAATTCATCTATCGCTGGTTCCCACAAGGGAGTCCCTGTGTTGTGTAACTAGATAACAATTGGCCAGTGGCACATAGTACGAAAAAGTAGGTTTAGTGTTACAACTAAAAACACAAATTTTATGAGACATTAAGTCTTTGTTAGTTTTCGGAACCTCTGAACCAAATCGTAAAATGACTGATCACGACTGATTTGAGCGCGACCGCCGCGGCCGCTGCGAAAACCGCAGTGTGAGATCGAAAACTGAGTTACAGAATCGCAAGGCAGAGCCAAGATCTGTAAAATAAAAATCCAATTCCGCGTAATTTTATGTGATTTGTAAGTTGTATCTGGATAGTTTGACATAATATTATGGAATAATTAAAACCTTACAATCAGGTATATCAAACTAGCATGTCTAATTATCGAGAACAGATTTTTTTATTACACAGCAGTAAACATCGTGACGTTGTACTCAGTTTAATTTTAATAAATTTCGAGAATTTCAGCGTACTCAATTACCCGTAGTATGAGAGGGAATGGTCTGTAGTCCCCACGCTAGCCTAATAGGTATTGAATTGGATATACACATTCATCCATGGAACATAATATCTCTTGGGCAGGGGCCCTCTTAGGTCGGGGGCCCGTGGCATTTTGCCTGCCCTGCCACCCTATTGTTATGCCACTGTTACACATAATAAAAAAGGATGATGATGAAAGGGAAAGTGCACTACAGGATTCCGTGTCGTAGGCACCTCTTCCACTCGACATTTTAATGATTTAACGTAACAACTTCTCCACTTTTTCTAGGTATTTTAATATAGTGTCGTGTTACACGCTGCTGGGATCCTGCTGTGTTCAGTGACGAAACAATAGGGTGGCAGGGCTGGCAAAATGCCACGGGTCCCTACCCAAGAGGGGTGACTGGTAGAGTGGTCATGGTCCTTACAGGGCTAAGACTTGCCGAGGATAGGGGGGGGAATGGTATATACCTTTAGCAATGAAGAACGCGACTTAAGATTAGCTTCTTACCGTGCAAGTGTCCTTTCCAGGTGAACCACCAGCGCACACAAAGCTCTTGTGCAGCTTGAAGTACCTGCTGAGCCGGGTCTCTTGCAGCGCAGCATTACAGGTCGCATGGGGCACCATGTTTATCTCCACCTTCTTTAGGATCACAGCATATCTGCCCGCTTGACCTGTAAGAGAACAATGAAATATGTTTTCTGTTACAAGACTCGCTTTACGGTTAGCGCCTGAAAAATACTTTATAACGGCACTGTTAAGAGACTAGGCTGTTCAGTAAACAGCCTAGTTTTTTAACAATGCCGTTTATCCAGCGGCCTGAAAGATAGTCTCTTGTTAATTGAAAGAAACCTAAAATCATTAATATGTCAAATGCACATAGGGGATCCATTTTCACTTTCAATAAAACATCATTCTTCTTGCAACCAACAACGGAGCTGGTGCGGCTTGTGATGCGGCTGAAAAAGCTTAAGTCTGCAAATACAGGGATCTAGGCTCTGAATATGATTTTGTCTCATTCGGTGACGAGACCCTTGGTCCGTGGGGTCCTAGCGCTATAAGGCTTTTTGAGGAATATCAAAAAGGTTAGTCGACATCACAGGAGACCGAAGAGCTGGCAGCTACCTCGGACAAAGAATTAGTCTAGATATTCAAAGGGAGATCCCTGCCAGTAACTATGGAATTTTGCCTAAAGGGACTCCTTTTAATAATATATTTTAGTTATTATATTGTTACGAAGACGGGTCGACTGCAATGTTTTTAATTTTTCCACTACTTAGAGAACTTTTCAGCAGGCTGAAATGTATTTCTGACCGTTTAGGGGAGGGTCAATCACATATTAGAAAATCGCAATTTACAAATGTTACCCTATTTTCAGGACTGAACATTTTTTCAGGCCGTTTCAGAACACGTGTAGTCGAATGGTACACTTTTCAGGAAACCCGTTTTCAGGCGTTTTCAGGCCTGGTTATACCCCTTTGACGAAGGAATTTCTAGAACGAATTTTCTAGGTGTAAAGGACGGAACATACAGAAGAAGGAAGATCGGAACCTTCTCGAAGCTAACCGAGCACTCTAGAACGCCGTACGACAAGGACGGAGCAATGTGCGAAAGAGATAGCTAGTACGCACGTTCTAGAATTGTGCGATGCTACTCAGTTGCACTGCCGCCTAGAGAGTTCTCGAACATCGCTCCCAGGGATATATAAGGAGCGAAACGGACCGATTAGTTCATTTTGAATGCGATACCAAGCGATAAACACGGAGTAACAAAGTGCGAATAAAGTAATAAATACTTTAAGTCGTTAATTAGAGTAATAAGTGAGGTGTGGATTTAGTGAATTTTTGTGCGTAATTTCCAGTTTTTAGTGTTAACAAATTCCTCGTAGATTTAATTGAAAATAAACCCTTGAAGAGATTTACGGCGTTTCTATCCGATCCCCTAGCTCGTAACAATATTTTAAGGTTAGTTATTGTTTTTAGTTAAGAAAATTGTAATTAATAATAAAGTTCAAGATTGTAATTTATAAAACATCCCTTTTTATTATGTGTAATAAAGCTTTTTCTTCTTCATTAACAACTGGAAACAAGTTTGTTTTAAAGAACTATCGCTTTTATTTTATAAGTCTTCAATTGTACTTAAGCAGACAAGAACTTACCAAACACATCCTTTCCCCATCCATTGGCAACACAGTTTTTAGAAGTCTCAAATTCTTCCTCAGTTGACGGCATACAGATAACGTTGATATGATCAGCCAACTCCACTGGTGATTCCAGGCGGAGTAATGCCAGGTCATTTTGGACGCTCGCTGCCTGGAAGTCTGTTATAAAAAGAAATATTGCCATCAAAAACATAAATTGCAAAAAAAGTCTGACAACGCAGTTCTTTTACCGTAAAATTGAGATGTTTTTTTTAATAATTATAAAGTTCACAAAAAAGAGGGTTCTACGACCTCAGAGAACAGAGTCGCACGCTGAAGCCACTAGGCCAACACTGTTCTTGCTGCACCTAATCATGGTAAAAGTAATAACACGATCCTTACCTGGTCTGATGATAATTTCACTAACAATTCTCTCTTGAGACTGTAACCTCTCTTTTGTCGTCTGTGTATCCCATTCTCCGGCCCGGATTAACAACGACTGCGGACCGTATCTATAAGGTTTTTAAAGTCAAATATTAGACAACATTTATCACTGCCAACTAAACTAACTAAAACACACAAAATAACAAAATAAACAAGAAAATAAAATAAAAAATAAAGTGTACACTCTTTATAACGAATTTCAAGGGAATGAACATTTTTGATATAGAGAGCTTTCGTAATACGGAAGGAAAAAAACAAATTTAACCAATTACAATAATTTATATATACAGATAGGTGACGATGGTGCGTTTAGTAACTGAGACCGAAATTCCCTACAGGCAATGTAATCTAAGAATAATGGCACACGTGTTAATGCAATTAACAATAACATAGGCAAGACGGCTGTTTATGACCTCAGGTGTCTTTTTTAGAAATTTCGGCATCTCAAAAGGTTAAACTCAAACTCAAACTCAAAATATCTTTATTCAAGTGGGTAACCAAGTACACTTTTGAATTGTCAAGTTAAATTAATTGTAAATTTACATTTACTACCAGTTCGCAAGTCAAGGGCGTAGAGCGGGTAAGAAGAACTGGCAAGAAACTTTCCGCCACTCTTTTTAATCGCCAAGTATTGTCATACAAATTGTTTGAACTGGAGCAAATCAATCCCAAGGATTAGGATCATTTAAGTATTCGTCAAATTTATAAAACGCTTTATTGTTTAATTGCCGTTTAACAAGGGCTTTGAATTTATTTAGTGATAATTCTCTAATTTCGCTTGGGAGTTTGTTGTAAAAACGAATACAATTTCCATATAAGGAATGGTTTATCTTTTGGAGCCTGGTTGGTCGTACACTCAAATTAGTTCTATTTCACTTATTATACTGGTGAAAGTCACCATTTGTTTGGACATACAACAAGGCTTCGTGAATATATTGACCAGATAGTGTCATAATATTTAATTCCTTAAACTTATTCCGTACCGACTCCCTCGGAGAAACACAACAAATACCCCGAACAGCCCGCTTCTGCAGCACAAATATGGATTGAACCTCTGCAGCAGCACCCAAAATTATATAATTAATAAAAATTACACTTAACTATGTTGTTGATGTCTATGAAAATATTTCTTCGTAATAGAGAATAGCTGTTCCGTTAGAAAGAGTAAATGTTTAATGTATGTTTTTGGAGTTAAACCAATCCAATTTATCTAATTTTTACCTTATAGAGGGTTTTTCGTTATAACGATTGACGTTATAAAGAGTTATTTATTATCTCTATAATAAATAATAATAATAAAACGTTTATTTATGACAAAAGGGTTGTGACAGTCCCCACACTAGGCAGGCCCTGTGTTGTGGGTAACTAGAAAACAATTATTACGTGGTACATGTTTAAAACAGTTAAAAAAAAGATAATAATAATTTAAAAAAAAATACATTTAGTGTTTACAAATTAAGTGAATGAGTGAGTGAGTGAATGGGTGTGTATACGTTGAGAGTGTTGCTGAAAGTTGTTATGATCGTGTACTGCGTTTGTATTAGTTTTTGAAACCTCAACGTCATACCAAGATATGTAGAGCCTCTGAGATTCGAAATCCAATTTGGCTAGTATAATTTCTATGTGACTAGCGAGTTTATATCTGGATAGTTTAACGATCTCAGAATCCATAGATTTCGAAATTAATATAATGAGAGATATCAAAAAAAAAATATTTCCCTTTTCCCATTCGGTTCGTTTCAAGTGTGTAATGCGTGTGTGATGTGGATGTATTAATAATGTGTGGCAAGTTGACATTGACGCATATCAGTGAGTCTATACTAATATTGTAAAGAGGAAACATTTGTATTTTTGTATGTATGTTTGTAATGTTTTCACACAAAAACTACTGGACCGATTTCAAAAACTCTTTCACCATTAGAAACCTGCATCTTCACTGACCGACATAGGTTATATAAAATTTTCAAAAATATAGGGATCCCTAACAAAAATGCAATAATATAACCCAAGGTTTGAAAAATTATGCAAAAAATCTGTGCTCGCGTGCGCTGTGGAAACTATTGATGATAGACCAAGAAAATGTAGAACAGTATTATAGAACGAATCAATATCTACAAAAATAATGTTTTACCAATGGGCAATTGTATGTTGGCCTATCCCGAATCGGAACGTATCGGAACATCAAATTATTTTGCTACCACAAAACAAAAATACGTCAAATATTGTGTATTGAGAAGTTAGGTTTAAAGACTTTATTTTCTCAAAAAAGACAAAAAATGTCATTTACATGAGAATAATACTCTAGATTAACATAAAATTGTAGTCGTTCTTAAAATAATCACAATAAAAGATAGCCGTACATGCAATTAACTTAAAAATAAAAGTAACCAATGAAATTTGAATTAAAAGTTACTATAAGAAATGAATTTAAAAGTAATTTTGTTTGACATATTCACTTAGCTTCGATTTGAATGAATTTATAGAAGTAATATTTTTTATAAGTTCTGCAAATAAATCTCTTCTAATATTATAGAAGAAAGTTTTACATTAGATTTTTTGTTTTCATTTTTAAGAATTCATAATTATCAAGCTAAAAATTCCTGGCCTGATGAAAAAAAATTCTTTCATTTATTCAATTTACTAATGTCGCACATTCTACGTAAATGATGTTACGAATTTAAAAATGTATTAGATATACATTCGTCGTATAAAATCTGTATATTAATTACATTAGGAATATAAGTGTGTATCTAATAATCTGAAAGGAAGTATTTATGATATCATAACAAAAATATATGTATAGTCCGGCTTAGTAGACTTTCCACTACGAGATCGGTGTCTACGCGAGTGAAAACGCTGTAGTGCTACTAGAACGTCTACGAAAAGATGAATAAAAAAGCATTCTCAAATATATTATCTAGCTTAAATTAATGATAACTAAAGCAGGATTTAAGTTAGTTATAATAATAATAATAAGCCTCTTATCCTGAACTGTTTCTTTGACTTTTAGTTGACTCTTATGTTTAAGTTATAAAATATCTCTAAGTTCAGTGTGCCTCTTGGCAAAGGCCTCCTCTAACAATTTCCATTGTACTCTGTCTCTTGCAACCCTTCTCCATTTTGAGCCTGCTGTTAATTTTAATTCGTCTTCCCATCTCTTGCTTTGTCTTCCTCTGTTCCTTTTCCCATCTCTAGGGTACCAGTCAGTTATGATGTTGCTCCACTTTTCTTGTTTATCACGTATCATGTGCCCAGTCCATCTCCACTTCAAACTGTCTATTCTAGTGAGTATGTCTGTGACTTTTGTCTTACTTCTTATGACAGTGTTTCGTATCCTATCTGGTTTCTTAATACCTATCATACTTCGTTCCATAGCTCTTTGGCAGTGTTCCAGCATGTTTCTGTGATGTTTTATGAGAGCCCAAGTTTCACACCCACGTTTAAGTTAGTTAATAAAAACTAAATATTTTTGAAGTGAAACTTCTTTATCGGGGTTGGAAAAAAATTTAGTGTAACATTTTTGCGTTACGCGTCACATTTTTCCGTTACGCGCCGTGTTGCTTTTTGAAGTCAAACTTCTTTATCGGCGTTGAAATATGACATATAGTATGTTTTTGACTTTGAAGTTTGACAACGGATTACATTTTCGAAGTCATTTTGATTAAAATATGACATATAGTATGTTTTTGACTTTGAAGTTTGACAACGGATTACATTTTCGACTTGAAATTTGCTAATCGCAATATGCAGCAATTAATTTGTAAATTGTATGCTAGGCAGTGTATCAAAATTTACTCTGTTTAAAGAAATAGTTTCTAATAAGGTCATAAAGAGTTGAAGAGAGAAGTTTCACTTCTTACGTGTGTACACCTAGTACACGCACACATTTTTTATTTAATCAAGGAACATTTAAAATTGATTTAAAATTGAATCAAAGTCAATATAACAAATTTCCTCCAATTTTGGATTTGTTTTTGTAAAACTCACAGGCGTTAATTAATTGTCCCGGTACTACCGGTGACCACAAAGCTGGTGCTTTCATTGACGAATAAGTATCGCAATACAGCGAATAGTTCCGAGGTTCGAGGCTGAACTATGCGGCACAGTGGTGCACAGCGCACGGCACAAATGTATGTTGTGGTCGACACAGCATTGCCGGTAGAGGCAGAAGCCAAACGTGATACGCGCTAAGAACGTGTTATGCTAATGTTTTGCGCAAAATGTTTGTGAACCATTTTGCCGCAGGGTATTTTGGTAAATTCGTACCTTTACCCACGCTGAAGGAACTTCTATATTCTCTAAAAATCCGTAGGTCTGCTGTGGATTAATTACTTCGAATTTGACGTTACAGAGGACAGGCTGATCTTATATCCTACTGGCGAAGAGATATTATGATTTTCTAACTGTAAAATTACAAATCAACTTACCTATAAGCGATGTGGGCAGCCGTCATCACAACCTGGGGATGGATAAGCACACCGACTCCCACATAACTCCCATTCAATGCATCCAGAAGTGCCACAACCCATGGAAACTCTCCAAATTGCGCTTCGTTGCCCTGAAATTATACTGAATTACGAATAATGTTTAGCTATGGGCTAGTGTCCGACAACCTTGAGGTGCGATGAAATCTTCCTTCAAAGAGCTTACCAATTTATAAAAGGCCGGCAACGCACTCGCGAGCCAGTGAGCAATGAGAAAAAACGTATGGGTACTTATTTTCAAAAAAAATATTCTACGTTTGTAGAAAAAAGACACTATCAATAGAAAAATCTAAATGTTGACTATAGCTAACTTAAGGGTGTCGGTTTTTTGTGACATCGTAAAAATTTACTCTGATCATTTTTCCCTAATGCGCCAAAAGAATTAAAACTTCAAAAATCTTTGCTTTTTTATATAGTATGGATATATTTATTTTTTGCATTTACCATAAACGTCATGTATTTTAGAAAAGATAGCTTGTAACATATACTGTACATATAGTATATGTTGCAAGAAGCAGTTCCTTAGTATTTCCTTGTATTATTTGTGCTTGAAGTTAACTTACATTCCCTCCAGTGACCTGGAAGTCCAGTCCGTTCGGGTTGCTGTACCCACAACCACTGGGTTTGTTGGGATCAGGTTTTGGTATCGGCACCTGGTCAGGCTCTCTTGGTGTCGTACAACAACGTTCAACACTCTCTTGGCAGTCTTCTTCTCCAAATCTGGAATAATTAATTTGAACCATGACTATATTAGAAGAATTCTTTCGTCTATTTATGCTGTCAACCCTGAGATTCTTTGTACATGTACACAAAAGGTGTCAGACAAAGGCTGATCACCTGATCAATTATCAAGTATATACGCAAGTTAATTAGCAAGACCAGGAGTACTTCCATACCAGCAGTCGTGATCCAGAGGTTTAAAAGTTTATTTAATAATTGGGGCGGCCGTATAGCAGGCGGAAAATAGTAAATCACTCAAATATAGACTGTCCTCCAACTTCGATTTTGTTCCTTTTGGAGTAGAGACTCTTGGGCCGTGGGGTTCAAGGGCACAGCTAATTAAATATTTAAAGCGCCTGGTAGATAGTAGCGGTGACCCTAGAGCTGGTGCTTTCCTCAACGAATAATTATCGCAATACAGCAAGGAAATGCTGCCAGCGTTGCCACTCTAAGTGATGCCATAATAAAATTCTACATCCAGACTAAAAGTACATCAATCAGCACCTGCTCAATAAAAATATATAACAAATTACCAGAAAACTTGAAGAATGAAACTGAAATAACCTGGTTTACCAAATTTTTAAAGAAATGATTATACAAGAAATGTTATTACACTCTTACAGAGTATCTGACTGATAGACTTTAATTTATTAAAGTTAGTTAATAATGTTAAGTACATTCTCCTTTTCGCAACGCGATGCCAAATAAATAATGTATCTTATAATAATAAATATGTATAAGAATAGAATTAACTATAATAAAGCATGCCCTCTCACAACATTGCTGTGCAAAGTCAAAAATCATTTATTCATGTAGGTAACAACGTACACTTATGTACGACAAAAAATACATTAAATGCTTCTAATTTTACATTTACTGCCAGTTCTCAAATCAAGGGCGTAGAACGGAGGAGAAGAACTGGCAATAAACTCTCCGCCACTCTTTTTGATCGCCAAGTTTTTAGTTTTACACAACGTTTGTAAGCTGCAACCATTACACCATGTCCCACATGACATCTTAAGTAATTAATAATAATAAAATAAATTAAAAACAAAGATTTGTCCTCTATCAGCAGGAGGCATGGTGAAATAGGGGCACGCACTTACATTCTCGTGCCTAACCTAGGTCCTTATTGTGAACATGGAAGGAATGCAATAAAGATTTGGGTTTGAGTAGAACAAAAGAACGGTCGTTTACCTAATATCCAACATTCCCCAGCCGGTGATACTAGAGTCGTTTATCTGGACGCCGTTGAGGTCCTTATCGCACAGGTAATAAGGTACACATTGGCATTTGACACCCTCTTTGTCCTGTAAGTACACTGGCCCTTGTGTGGGTTTCACTGTTATCTGTAATTTAAATTAAATTTCAATTATCTGTCAAAATTATTTAAGTTTGAGTTGTCTATGCGTGGTACAAAAACTGGCGAACCGATTTGAATGATTTTGGACTGTTCCTGCGGCTTATATATTTGAGTTGCTTATTCGTCTGCGTGCTAATAGGTCGTTGTTTGTTTCGAAAAAAGCCATACATTCTAGTCTAACCGTTGAAAGTTCTGTTTCATTGTAAAACTTTAAAGCAAAAAGTTATATTAGCGTTTCTGTTTGCTATATTATACAAAATAATATTCTATCATAAATTCGCTTACATCTTCCAACCTCTCCTTTCCATCAGGTGCCTTCGTTGGAGGGGTCCCGAAGATATCTGCAATGAGGTTTGGGTCCACTGTGACTTGAGGATGAGCAGCTACGCACGCCAGGATTGTGCCGATGATTAGGAGCATCTGGAATATTAAAGATTTTGTGAGGCACAATTGGGTTTTTGAAAAAAAATTTTTTGTCATCAAGGGAAGAAAAAACTATTTTTTTTTAATGTATTTTAAAATATAATTTTTGAATCCAGTACCACAACACGTATCAAACTTATAATGTAGTTTTCACTCATTGCAGGTGATAGAAAAATCATAAAAAATGTTTGATCTATTTAATTTTGTTAATTAATATTAATATTTAATATATTAAATTACTATATATATATATTGCTTTAACATTATGACGTCACTAAAGGCATGGTGATCGATCATTCATGGCGCGTTGTATAGTCACGTGATTTTTATTTAAATTTCATAAATTTTTACTTGTTTACAATTAATTGAAAAAACATTTTTTTAAGTTTTTTGTATTAAACATCATTATTAACATTAAAGTTTTAAAATACATAAAAAAATCAATATTTATTTTCAAAAACCCAATTTGCTACATCATATCACATTGCATACTCCTAATTTAATTCAATACAAGTATTATCATTTAGTAGGTATATGGCTATGTTCACATGTAACGCGCGTTAACGCGCGATCAAATTGAAGAGAGTTCAGATGATGAGCGCTAATGCGCGTTGCGAGAGTACTCGTCAGTCTAGTTCGGTATAACGTAGAAAATGACGTGAAGAGGCTATTATTTTGTGGTTATGTTATAAAGAAAAATATAGAAAAAGAAAACGTACACATTGGGTTCATCCAATTTTGAAATAACCATTTTTTATATATAGTTACGAAAATTAACAAAATTACATGCGATGCGATGAAAGCGCGCACAACTGAACAGCAAGGGCGCGCTACAATAACATTAACATTACGATCGCGATCAAGGCGATCACCGCGCTCGGGACTTTGCTCCTGAGCGCCGCGTTGACGGGTTACGCGTCATGTTTCGGTACGTTGTATGAAAAACCACAATTTTAGTCGCGCGATTTTGAAAACGCGCGTCAGTTTTTGCATCTGAACATAGCCTAACGTAAACCGACTAATATAAATAAAACAGACTTGTAAAACATAGTAAGGTCAATAAATACTTATAGCGAAACAGCGTGATTTATACGAAATCAGACATTTGAACTTGGAAATCCCATGTAATAACAGTCAATACAATTTATTGGCCTAATATATTGAAGTGCTTTATATATACACCCCGGTAACTTTGTTGCCTAACAGTCTAATAATTCGTGTTAACTTTAGTTAGCCATAATTTAATATTTAAGCAATACAGAAATGTTTTATTGCTAGCCATTGAGAAAGAAGAGCGACAGTTTTATACATTAGGCCACTCTCTGCGAAATTGCGATACTGCATGTTAAAAGCACTTTCTATATACAACATTTTTTGATGAAGAACCCATGACTTGTCAAGACAAAGATAAGGCACCTCCTCAATCACCTCAAGATAATTTCTTGAGCTGACGATTCGATGTAACATTGCGTAATTTTGTCAACAGATGGCACCACAGGTATTTGCACTCGGAAAAATACCATTAATTTATTGTTATCGAATATTTTATACTTATTTGCTAATGGAGAGGAAAAACCTCAAAAAAAGAGATAACTTGGCCTTAATATAAGTGGTGTACTAACAGACTTTGTTTTATATATATATATATAGAAGAAATACTAGCAGACCGACCAAGCGTTGCTGGGGCTAAGGTTAACGTTTAAGGGAAACGGTAGGAGAGCTTATGTGAAAGGTAGATAGCTCATGTGAAACGTTGGTACTTTTAACACAGCGCCATCTGTTAGAATTGTATCAAATAATAAACAAATATTTGTAATAAAATTACATTGCGGGTATAAAATGAGATGTAAGCTATCCTATCTTTTAAGTTGGATCAAACTAAACACGGTGTGCAAATTTGATTGATATCGGTTCGGTATGTTAGGAGTCCATAGCGGACAAACAACGTGACACGTAATTGATATATATTAAGATTTAATGTAGTTACAATCAAGTATACAGGATTGACAATTTTCTTAACCTACAAAGTAATAATAAAAATAATAGAAATTATTAAAAAGAAAATCAAAACAAATTTGAATACTTTGGTCCCTGTGGCAGCATTTCCTCGCTTTATTGCGATACTTATTAGTTGAGGAAAGCACCAACTCTGGGATCACCGGTACTATCTACCAGGCGCCAACATTAATCTTTAATTAGCGCCTTGCAGGGCCCCACGACCCAAGAGTCTACTCCAAAGGGAACAATATAGAAGTTGGAGGAAAGACTCTTATATTTGTGCCGTTTTTTATTTTTTGCCTGCTCTGCGGCCCCAGCTAATGTATTATTTATTACAATGTTTACTTGCTTTTCCATCCTCTCATAATTCTGCTGTCCAAGTCAGGCCATCGCCTCTGTTCAGATCTCATTTGAACATTGATCAACTGCTGACGGCTCAAGTAAGCTAACACACACACCGTTCACAAGAGTAATTTAAATGTGTATTATTGGAACATTGATCAACTGCTGGTTCTCACGTGGATGTTCTTAAGTCAAAAATCATTTATTCATTTAGGTAACACTTATGAACGTCAATAAAGAAATATACATATTAATGCTTCTAATTTTACATTTACTGCCAGTTCTCAAATCAAGGGCGTAGAACGAAAGAGAAGAACTGGCAATTAACTCTCCGCCACTCTTTTTAATCGCCAAGTTTTTTGTTTTACACAACGTATTTAAGGAGCTGCAACCATTTCATGTTTAACATGACATCTTAAGTAATAAATAATAATAAAATAAATTAAAAACAAATTGTCCTCTATCATATATAAATTTTAACAGCTGTAGGGGCGCGATACACCAACAGATCACAAGAATAATTTTATATTGTGTGAAAATGTAACTAGTATTGAAGATATAACAATAAATCAGATTTGATTATTGCCTTTATTCCTCCCTCAGTGGCGAAGACTTCGCTAAATGTGGGATCCCGATAGCTTTGAGACCACCACCTTGAACCTCTGATCCTAGCTGGACTCCGTCTGCTACCTCCGGTCCCATGCATCATATACTCATTATATATTCACTATTTATGTGTTAAGGTTGATAGGTACGTAAGTCTCACCCTCTCATATAGTTCATATAGTATATAGTTATCTATTGCAGTTAGCACACATACACTTTATAAATACAGATACTCCTATGATTTGGCATTCTGATAAACAATAAACTACAAGTCCCCACCTTTTCAGAATGCCAAATCATAAAATCACTGCTTCACGACTGATTTGAGAACGACCGCCGAAGCGAAAACCGCTGTGTGAGTTCGAGAAGTGAGTTACAGTATCGCAAGGCTGACAGCTAATACATATAAATTAAACACGCATTTCACAGTCCAGAGTGGCAAGCTGTGCCTCCATAACAATCGCGGCAATCAAGGAATATAGCGTAATTATTTTCTGCAACTGTATTTCCACGGTCAAGGCAGAATACAAAATATCATCCGTATCACCTAGACGTCCGCCGTTCCACAATTGTGCGTTTAATGCAGTTTTTGCCGCGCACCACCAGTGGCTATGTGGAACCAGCTGCCCACTGAAGTATTTGCGGACCAATTCGACTTAGGGTTCTTTAAAGAGCGTACCAATTCTTCGTAAAGGCCCTCTGCGAGCCTTCTGCATTGTGAGTGTCCATGGGCAGTATCACTTACTCGTAACATCAGATGAGCCTGCCCGTTTGCCCACATACATAAAAGATATGTATGAAAACAAATAAACAGGGAAAAACAAAATGCATTACAATTGCGATTACAGTTGACTTGTATTATCTGTAGCGATAACCTTTTGGACTTATGTGCATAGTAATATGTTTTTATATAATATTGCAATAATAGCTCATGAAGAAGAATTGGCCAATCTTTTTGCACGACTTTTCTCCTTGGTTGTATTGCTTTCCATAAACTGGATGTTAAACACTCGTTCGTACTGTGAATGAAAACATCGTGATACCGTCCTTAGACCCAAAAAGTCTCTCATATCTAGGCTGATCACCTACTTCTCTATTGAAAGAATCAAACAGTTGCAGAAACCTGATGCCCAGAAGGTTGCACTAATAGACTTTTCTCTCACATCGAACAACCACTCGTACAGAGCAGGAAACATCCTGAAATAGTCCTTAGATCCAAAAAGACTCTCCTATCTAGGCTGATCTCCTACTTCTCTATTGGAAGAATCAAACAGACAACAAACAGAACAATCGCTGGATCGGTGAAGGATAATATCGTGAAACCGTCTTTAGACAAAAGAAGTCGACATGTCAGGCACAGAAAGCGCCTGTTACGAAATAGATGAGGTCTGAGGTGACCAGGGGTGACCACTGGCTATTGTCATTTAATACTCAACTGGAGGCTTCAAATGGCTGGATATTTTTATAATAATTTGGAAATATATATTCATATATAACATGATGATGATATGATTGTATGTGCATTTTATCGTTACAAAATACAAATCTTTCCTCTTAATTGGTAAATACAATTTACATTAAGATAAAAATGGAATTGTTTTCCTGATTTAATTGACGCATTGAGGAATACCACAAATATTATATATTAATTAAAGGAACTAACACGAATAAACTTCTCTTCTCTCTTCTTAATTAACACTAATCTCGATTTGTATCTTCTGTACATATCTAGCAAAAGATTTTATTATAATAATTTGTGATAGAGCGAGACAATCAAGGCCTGGATCAGACATGTTATTTAAACGGGAAGATGTGGAAGAAGTACTCCTAAAGGGAAGATCCTCGACGAGAGTAACCACTGACTGGCCGGCTTTAATAGCTCAGCTCGGGATGTTTTGGCTAGTGTAGAATATTCGATGTAGTTATGAATTAGTTGATATTCGCCCCTAGTTAGGGCCGGTTTTTTGATCCGTAGTTAACTCAACTATTGGTTAAAAATCCTTACTATTAGTTAAATATCAGCAAAATGCGTTTTTTGATCCGTGGTAAGA